AAAGAAAATCCTTTTAAAAATGGGTATTTTCTACTGTGAATAACTTAGCTATTCTCAGCAACACAACGATCCAAGACACTTCTGAAGGACTTAGGATGAAGGGTGCCGTCCATCTCCAGAAAAAGAAGTGGTGGAGCCTGAATGCAAATTAAAGATACTTTTTCTTTACTTTCTTTATTTTGGGGTTTGTTTTTTGTCAGTGTTTTCTTTCACAGCATGACTTACATGGAAATGTGTTTTCCATGACTACACATGTATAACCTATGTCAAATTGCTTCCTTTCTCAGTAGGAGGAGGACAGTGAGGGAGGGAGGGAATTTAGAACTCAAAATTTGAAAAAAAAAATTAAAATTGTTTTTACATGTAATTGGGGGAAACAAAATATTAAATAAAAATATTTTTTAAAAAATAAATAAAAATGGATATTTTCAAGGTCGGGTATGATCAGAAAAGAGGGGAGACCAGTAAAAACAAATAAACAGCCAGGGGCTGCACTGGTTTTTATGAACTATTAAAGCTGAGGAAAGGCTCCAGAATACTGTGGAGGGTTTATGGAAAGACACAGAGAAGAATAGGCCAGGACAAGAGGCATGAATGGACTGTGATCTGAAGCAGTGGACAGAGTACTGCGTGACACATGAGGAGATCACAACTTCTTCGAAGTGAATCAAAACTCCCAACTTTGTAGAGCCCAGGGGTCTCCTCTCAGTTTGCAAAGAGTTCCGAGTGCTTCAAGTATATCTGGTGGGGTCCAGTTGGATCAGCTAGCGGGAACCAACAGACTCCCAGTTCAAGCATGAAATGAATGCTCTCTATATTGATAAATTCTAGCCCGGGGTGATCTCAAATTACAAAGGCAGAATTTTTATTCACTTCTGTCAGATAAGCAATATTCCCAGCTCTGGAGGCCTGACCCCATAAATGAATTTACAACGAACGCCCATGATTCATTTTCCTGAAGCGTTAAAGAGAGATGAAAATTTCACAAGTCTGGGTTCTCTGACAAAGCCATTGAACTTGGGAGCATCCACTTCAAAGGCTGGCTCCCCAGAAGGGAGATGCATCACAAGTCCGACTTCTCGAAGCTCTGCCCTTTCCACATTCTGCCAACTCAGTCTAGGAGCTTCTGCAGACAAACAACCCGCCCGAGGCACGTCTTCCTAATTTGGGAGTTTTAATAACTGTATAACACATCGGGGCTCCTGAGGGGAGCAAGGGTGACAAGTCATGAATCTATTCTAATTACTAATCTTCAGAGGATTGAATTAGAAACAAATCATTTTCTCCTTCTCTAAAGGTAAATTAATTAGAATAGATGCCCATACTTGCTGACTTAAATGCTCCAGGGATATGTTCATAAAAACAAAGTTTGGTAGCAAGTTCTGAACACTGAATAACCAAGTAAAATTTTATTTTAAGCTCAAGGGGCATGACGATAACAAAACAATCAATAATTTTTGATTTGAGAAAATAAAGGAAACTGGTATAACAGTTTGACTGCTATAGAATATAAGTTTACTTAGGGCAGGGGCTGTTTCATTTTTCCCTGTATCATCAGAGCCTCATATATCAATGAATCAATCAACAAAAAACATTTACCAAGTGCCTGATATGTACACTTCCCAAAGCACTGGGGGATATGACAAAAAATTATTACAATAATAATAAATAACAATAACAAATGTCTGTTGAATGAACTGTATATAGTACTAGAAAGAAGGGAAGTTCTATAGACTTTGACCCACAACAGTCTATTCAGAAGGCTCCTTCCCATCCCCATTGAGCCTTACAATAGCCCTGTAAAGTCAGTAGTACAGATAATATTATCCCCATTTGACAGAGGAGGAAACTGAGACTCAGAAAGTGATTCTGCCCTAGGTCACACAGGTAGCACATGAAAGAACATGGAACTCAAACTCGGGTTGTCTGACCTGGAATCCAATGATGCTTCTCCATCACTACATCTATATCATGGCCGCCTCCAATAAATCAAGAGAAAATGGCATCTACAGCATATCTTGACTCCATCAAGATACCTGATCATCTCTCTGTGATGCAGGGAAAAAAGAATTATGTTCTGAGAAGGCTTTGGGGAACCAAAGTCTATGCAAAGGAAGGCAGCCATGAAGCTGAGCAACAGCAGAGGCAATTAGGGGTGTTTAGCATGGAGAATACTGGGGGAGAGAGCAGAGTCCTACTCTACAAATATCTGAAAGGTGGTCACACGGAAGAGGGAATAGATGAGTTCTCATAGACATGAACAACTCATTTCAATGAGATGTGCATCCAGGACACTACATTAACATACCTAACATGCTCTGTAAGCCTGAAAGCACTATATAAATGGTAGTTATTAATGTCATATTTTAAAATGTGGACACTTGTTGAATATTCAATCATAAGAGAGACTTTTTTTTCACCTCACTAAACTTCAGTAACGTACCATAATCCATACTTTAAAATTAAAGAGTTTGTGATCCAGGCTGCACTCCTGACTTTCACTACAAAGTACCAGCAATCTCTTCATCCTGAAAGCTCACTCCACCCCACAGATTTCATACACTGGAAGTATCTGCCATCATCCCTGTGGCCTTATCCTCTGATTGACTGCTTTCCCCCAGAACCTCCCTTTCAAGAAGGTCACTCGGGCCAGCCTAGTCTTCATTCCTTTCTAAATTGAACCCTTGACTCTCCTCAGTGTTTTCTTCCATATCCCACATTTTCAGCTTCCTTTGATGTTTGCTTCCTGCATCAGAATGTAGCTCTCTGAAGGCAGGGGATGTCTTTCTGCCTGCATTTGAAACCTCAGTCCTTAGCACAGTGCCTGCAGCTTAATAAATGTGTGGTCTCTTGCTATACCCCTAGTAGTTATTGTTGGTGGTGGTGGTGGTGGTGGCGATGAAAGCGGCATCATATAATGTAATTAAATTAAAACTCAAATCTGTCCCTTTTTTTTGAGATATCAGGATGTGCCTGTGATATGTCTGATGTTGCTCCAAAAGAAAAGATCAGGACCTATGGGTAGACTCAGAGCAATACACAGTTTCTGACTCTGTTTTAATGGAGAGGTCCAAAAACTGAATAACAACTCCTATTTCTAACTCATTTTAAGGCTTACTTTTCTTCCAAGATAACGAGACAGGTAAATCTGACATTGACATGTGGGGATAACTGAGAATCAGAATAGTTCAGAGATGTGCCCAAGGCCATGGAACCAGAGCTGGGCTTCATGGTGGAACGGCAAGGTCTCTTTGTCCCTTAAAATTTCCAAGCAATATGGAATTACCATCTGATGGGGAGAGTACAGAAGGGGCTGGGACACGAGACCAGAGAGAACTTAAGGTTCCATCCAACTTTTGGGAACTATAATTAATAATATCTAACACTTACTACTATCACCTCCTATATGCCAGGCATTACGCTAAGCACTTTACAATTCCATCTCATTTGGTCTTTACAACAATCCTGACAGCTAGGGGCTCTTATCTTTATTTTAAAGATGAGGAAAATAAGGCAGACAGAGGTTAAGTGACTTACCTAGGGTCCCACAGCTGGTAAGTATCTGAGGCCAGATTTGAACTCAGGTCTCCCTGAGTCCAAGCTCAGCACTCTACTCACTGTACTAACTAACTACGGTAAAATGGCATCCAATGATAGAATACTTTAAGGCTTGCAATGAGGTTTCTGTGCCTTTTCTTCATATGATACCCCAGAGAAAGGCAAGACAAAAAGTAGCATTATCCCCATTTCACAGATGAGCAAACAGGTTCATACCACTAATAAGAGTGGAAACTGGGACTCAAACAATAACAAAAAAAAAACCTTGTGCCTCCTTAACCTCCCCCCACACCACAAAAAAAAAAAGCCGTATGAACACATTAAAGCGACTAACAGCTGAGTCATGGTCAACCAGGAAATGGATGCAAAGTTACTACAGAACCACCCAAAGCACTGAATTAAAATAATTTCAGGACTGGGCTGAAATAATCTTGTTTGCAAGGAATCTTGCCAATATGAAAACACCCAGTGGTGGTTTACACACACATGTGGCCCTCCTGCTGCCTAGAGAGCCTTCAGGGCAGCCTGGCTACAGAACGCTACCCTCCATTCGAAAGCATTCTTCCCTCCTGCTACTGCGGACACCCTGGTCAATTGCACCAAAGACAGAAAGAAGGGCAGAAGGACACACACACAGACTCACTCAGAAGAGATCAGCCATCTGAAGAAGGCTCATAAATGGTGAGCCTGGTGGGTCTTATTTTTTTCAACCAGCCTGGACACAGCCCAGCCCAATGGCATTTTGGACATAGACCACATCAGTCTGTTTGCTTGTAAAGAAAGAGACATTTCAAACAATTCCAAAAGTTTATTCATACAAATAACATCTTTAAAAAATTCATTTAAAAAAATGTATAGCAAAGGGAAAACATAAGGATTCATGTACAAATTGGAAGCATTTGATAGACACTTACACAGTAAGAGGTATACAACATGTGGTCACAGAGCCGGGGGACAAGCTGGGATTACCAATGCAAACACCGGAATGGTCACGAGGGATTGCTTACCAGGGTCCCAAGAGAGCGACAGCACAAAGCTATGCTTTCTCCAGAGTCACTGTTCCTGACAGAAGGGGCCAGCCCTTCTGTCATTATATAATCATTCTTCCTTTGCTGTCCTGTCTTGGAAGCCCTGGATGAGGAAGGCTCTTTTGATGGGAGAGAAGGCACACACACAAATAATAACCCTTAAAGCAAAAACATGCAAACATGCTTCAAAAGTATTGTATTTTAAAGGTAACACCAATGCCAAATCAATGAGAGGTGATGTGGTATAGTGGAATCGGCACTGGCCTTGGAGTCAGGAAGACCTGGATTCAAATCCTACCTCAGACACTTACTAGCTGTGAGACCCTGGGCAAGTCAGCTGACATCTTTGTGCCTCAGTTTCCTAATCTGTTAAATGAGAGGGTTGGACCTGATGGCTTCTAAGCTCCTTTCCAGTTCTACATCTCTAATTCTATGAACAAACCATGCCTGGCTGTGTGTAATTAGAGGTGTTTTTGGAAAAGTCACATATAAATATTGCTATAAATCCAATTCTGACCAGACAAAAGGAAACTATTTACATGCTAACTAGTTCTTTTTAAAGGGAAAAACAACAACTTCAGATTTTCATATATTGGTTTTGGTTAAAAGGGCATATACCTGAGGCTGTTATTCTCTACGCACCATGAGAAAAACTTAGCTCATGGAGAACAGCAGAGGGTCTGGGGGGTGTTTTTTATCCTCCTTGTCCATCAGTGAGCTCTAAAGTTGTCCTGAATCCTAGACATCCACTCTAGAAATACGCTCCATGATGTATTTTCTTGCTCTCAGTAAGTCCATCAGCTTAGCACAGATGACAGAAAGCTCATCAGCTGCACACCCACAGGTGACATCGTCATTGCATCAAGACCCCACCACAGAACTCTAGTTTCTCATCTAGACTTTTCTTAAGACTGGCAAACTGCATTTAAAAATGCAGAAAGCTTGGCTTTGTTAACTGTAATAACAAACCACATAAGAGCTTCTCCCTCCGATATGAGGGTGAAAGCGCTATTGATGCCCACCTTGTAGACTGCATAACTGAGGCTCAGAACAGTGAAGGAATGTGGTTAAGGGCGAGGGGCAGGACTCCTGCTTTGGTAGCCTCATTTCACAGCTTTCATGTTGCAGCAGAAAGAATGCTGAGCTTGCAGAAAAGGACTGGAAAGTTCAGGTCCTCACTCAGTCACTTGTGATCTACGGGACCCTGGGCAAAGTCACCTCACCTTTCAAGGCCTCGGTTTCCCTATCTGTAAAAGAGGACTAGAGGATCCCCTGAGAGAGCTCTATGCTACAATAATACTCCTCTAATTCTCCATTCCCTTCCTCCCACTGCTGAATACTGGTATAATTTTGCATTCGAATGAATGGCACTCTCTGGTATGGCTAGATCATTTAGCAAGTTTCAAAACAGTCAGTCCTGAGATATCCGCAGCACCCCAAGTGGAACACCCACTTTTCACAGGGGGCAAAAAAAAAAATTCTACAAAGTTACAACTGGCATTGCTGAGAGTTATAAAGCCTTTCCTTTAAACATGGACCAAGTCCTAGAGGGTTCTCTGTTCATTTAAAAAAAAAAACCAGCAGTTTTAAAATCTCACTGAGATGGAAGGGACCTTCAACGACCATCTAGTTCATTTTGTAGCTAAGGAAATGGAGACCCAGAGAGATTAGCATAAGTCATGCCATTCGTCAAAGAAGCAGATAGCACTATCAAAGCATAATTCAATCTATAATTAAACTTTCCCCTAATGAAGATGGGTTTCCCTTACCCCAAAACTACTTTCCAGTAGAAAGGTATTCACTCACCAAAAAAAAAAAAAAAAAAGGATTCTAATAATTCTGAGTCCAGGGCTCAGACAACAAAGGATTCTGACCAGGATGGAGTGGTGAAGGGACTGAGAGCCCATAACATGAGGCCCAAACCACATTTCTAGAGTTTACTTATGGCTGGCCCACTACAATCTCCCTGGTACCATGTTCACTGGGGGAGGGGGAGGGAATGAAAATATGTGGGCTAATGGATTTGGTTTTTCCTCATACTTTCATAATGACTGTTTTATAAAGGAACAAGTTTGAAATTTAAAGGTTCACTGTCCTGAGTCAATTTAAGTCAACATTGCAACCACAAAATATTTTTAAAGCAGTTTGGGGGGGAATAGCCCAGACCTGTGACTTCACTGGTAGAGACCCTGATATAGAAATTCCCTCTACCAATGCAGATCATCTTCCACTTAATAGTTTTAAAGAGTGGGACACTGACAGGTTAAATGACTTTCCCCTACACAGCAGATGCAGGAAGTGACCCCACGTCTTCCTGACCCCAATGCCAAGACGGCTCAATTACACAGCTCCTCATAAAGCACATTTATGAGATATAACACATTTTAACTTAAGAAATTCTCTTTCATCCAAATGCCTTCCCCCACAATGGGGGGGCGGGGGGGGTGAGGTTCGGTTAGTGGAAGGTAATAGTTCCTCTGTGAAGGCACCTCCCTAGACCAACCCCCTAAACTTGGAAGGCATTTATCCTACTTCCCAGATATCTATGTTCTTTTTACTGAGTCTCATTAATTATGTCAACTAATTTGAATATATCTGAAAATAGAATTATATCAACAGTATAACAAGCTACATAAATTTCCTTCTGCATCTGAAAGTACAAACTGTTAACAATAATAATGATTATGGAAAACAAGATTAAAGGTGTGCTCGTTTGGGGAAAAATCTACATCAACATTATTCATCTGACAACAAGCACTTGTAATGAATTCAATCCTGCAAAATGATTCACAGTTTAGTAAAACTTGACACACAAGAGTCTGATTGGGACCTCCCCCTCCCCCCAATTCCAAAGCACCTAGCCCCAAGCAGTCACGGATGACTTACGCCGGGGCGTAGCAATATCATTCTAGTGCTTGTAGTACATACAAAATTCCAAGATTATCAACAGTCACGTATGTTTTGAAACGAGGAGACACGTGTATCGTCTTGAGGTTGGTTCCATTGGTGTAGAAGGTCTGTAAGGATTCGCCGGTGTCCACGTTCCACCACTATCAAAAGACAAAACAGAGTCTCAGATGGAGTTAATGGCCTACACAGTGAACCACAAAATCACAGAATCTGTGAGCTGGAAGGGACCTCAGCGGCCATCGAGTTCAACCCATGATTCTGACTAAGAGAGTGGTGTCCCCTACTAGCCATCATCTGTGTCTCATCACTTCTCCACTCCCAAGCCCACTGAAACCCAACCCAACTGTAGGTGAGGATCCCCTGATGAGGTCATGGGCTTCATGCGGAGAGGGCAAGTGAAGGACAGCATGGGGTTAGGAAGGCTGGGTTCAATCTTGATTCTGGTATTTGACCCTGTATAAAAATTACTTCAGCTCTGAGCCTTAATCTCTTTCTCTGCTAAGTGAGACTAATGCACATTGTACCTACCTCACTAAGCTGTTGTGAGTTCCTGCAATGTAAGTGAATGAGTTCCTGTATGTAAAGCGTTTTGAAAATGTTAAAGTGCTATCTAAAGGTCAGGTATTATAATTCATTATCTTATTTTTCTCATCTTTTGGATGAGGTTCTGATTGAGCCAGTCCAAAGATGATCACTATGCTCTTATTATACCTACCTATATCACACTCTTTAGACTCTTAGACAAGTTGATAAACTGACTGCTTTTTGTAATTTTAGTAAGAGTATCTGCTTATTACCTACCAGTCAGACTCCCTGATCAACCTCAGTAACTGCTACACAAGGCAATCCATCAACATGCACATATTAAGTGCCTACTGTGTGCCAGGCTTTGTGCTAGTCACAGGGTTACAAAGACAAGAACGAGACAATTCTGCCCTTAAGGGGCTGGAAGTTTGTAGGGGGAGATAACACACACACAGGCATAAACAGAGAGACAGAATAAATACAGAGTCATCTGGGGGGGAAGGACTGGCAGGCAGGGGAATCAGAACAGGATTCAAGAGGAAGGCTGGTCTTTGATCGGGGTGAGTCGCCAGCAAGCATCTATAAAGTGCCTGCTGCATGCCGGGGATACAAAGAATGTCCAAAGACAGTCCCTGCTCTCTTGGAGCTCAGGGCCGACGAGGGAGACAACATGAAAACATCATGGACACACAGGACAGAGACAGGGCACACGGCGGGCAGTGAGGAAGCGGGGCACTCCAGAAGGGAAGGTGAGGAGGCTCTCCAGGCGTGATGATGGCCAGTAGAATATTCTGGGGGAAGATCAGCACGGCCAGATTGGCTGCCTTCTGCAGCGTGTGGAAGATTGGAGTGAGGCTGCGAAGGGGTTCTAATGACAAAAAGAGGAAGAGGCTAAGGGGCCACTGGAGTTTATTTAGCAGGGGGTGATGTGGTCAAACCTTATTTAAAGCATGCCAGTTTTTGGTAGCTGAATGGAGGATGGATTTAGAAAAAAAAAAAGAGGCGGGAGATTAGGAGGCTATTTAAATAATCCAGGAGGTCAGGAGAACCTGAACTAGGGTGTTAGCTATGTAAGCAGAAAAAAAGTGGACAGGAGGGAGAAAAAGGGAGGTAGAAAGGGAAAGAGAGAGAGGCAGAAAGAGAGAGATGATATGATAGTATACTTAGAGAATCAACTAAAAAACTACTTGAAATAATTAACAACTTCAGCAAAGTTGCAGGATATGAAATAAACCCACATAAATCATCAGCATTTCTATATATTACCCACAAAGTCCAGCAGCAAGAGATAGAGAAATTCCATTTTAAATAACTGCAGACAAATAAAATACTTGAGAGTCTACCTGCCAAGACAAACCCAGGAACTATATAGACACAATTACAAAACACTTTTCATACAAATAAAGTCAGATCTAAATAATTAGAGATACATTAATTGCTCATGGGTAGGTCAAGCCAATATAATAAAAATGACAGTTTTATCTAAAGTAATTTACTTGCTCAGTGCTGTGACAACCAAACTACAAAAACCTATTGTACAGAGCTATGAAAAACTAATAACAAAGTTCATCTGGAAGAACAAAAGGTCATCAAAGGCATCAATAAAAAAAAAAAGTGAAGGCCAGTGGCCTAGCAGTACGAGATCTCAAACTACATTCCAAAGCGGTAACCATCAAAACAATCTGGTACTGGCTAAGAAACAGCTGTGGAGCAGTGGGACAGATCAGGTACGTCATACACAGTAATAAATGATCATAGAAATCTAGTGTTTAATAAACCCAAAGAGCCAAGCTTTTGAGAAAGAAACTCACTATTTGACAAAAAACTTCTAAAATTGGAAAAAACGGAAAAGAGTTTGGCAGAAACTAGGTTTAGACCAACATCTCACACCATATACCAAGATACAGTCAAAACGGGTTTAAGTTTTAGACATAACAGGTGATATCATAAGCAAATTAGGGGAACATGGAAAATTTTACCTGTCAGGTCTAAGAATGTATAGAGAGCATTAGAGGATGTAAAATGGATAATTTTTGATCGTATTAAATTAAAAAGTGCTTACACAAACAAAATCAAAATAACCAAAGTTAGAAGGAAAGTAGGAAACTGGGGGGAAAAATTACAGCAATGTTCTCTGATAAAAGCTTCATTTCCCAAATACAGAGAACGGAATCAGATTCATAAGAATACAAGTCATTCCCCAATTGACTGATAAAGTCAAAGAAAGTGAACAGGAAGTTTTCAGAAGAAATCGAAGCTATCTATATACATCTGAAAAAATGCTCTAGATCACTGTTAACTAGAGAAATGCAAATTAAAAGGACTGTGAGATACCACCTCACTCCAATCACATTGGCTAATATGACAGAAAAGGAAAATGACAAATGTTGGAGGGGATGTGGAAAAATTGGGACACTAATGCATCGTTGGTGGAGTTGTGAACCAATTCAACCCTTCTGGAGAGCTATTTGCAACTATGGCCAAAGGGATATAAAACTATGTATATACCATTTGACCCAGCAATACCACTACTAAGTCTGTACCCCACAGAAAAAAAAAAAAGGAAACGGATCCATATTTACAGAAATATTTATAGCAGCTCTTTTTGTGGCATTAAGAATTGAAAATTGAGGATGCCCATATGACCATGATGGGATCTTACTGTGCTATAAGAAACGATGATAAGACTCTTTTTGGAAAACCTGGGAAGCCTTATATGAACTCATGCAGAGTGGAGTGAACCAGGAGAATGGTGCACACAGTAACAGCAATATTATACAATGATCAGCTATGAATGACTTCACTACTCTCAGCAATGAAATGATCTGAGACAATTCCAAAGGACTCATGATGAAAAATGCTCTCCACCTCTAGGGAAAGAACTGATAGAGTCTGAAATGCAGACTGAAGCAAACTTTTTTTTACTTTATTTTTCTTGGGGGTTTTTTTGGCTTGTTTTCTCTTTTGCAACATAGCTAAATATGGAAATATATTTTACATGATGGCACATGTGTAATCTATATCAATTGCCTGTCTTCTCAAGAATGGGGAAAGGGAGGGAGAGTGGGAGAAAATGTGGAACTCAAAATTTTTATAAACGAACGTTAAAAAAATTTTACCATGTAATTGAGAAAAAACAAAATATAATAAAAAAGACAACAATTTTTTAATTAAAAAAAAAAGAATTACCATATGGAGACAGCAATACACAGAGAAGTGCTGAGGACCTGGATTTGAGTTCTGCCACTAACACAAGCAGACTGAGTGACCTTGGTCAAGTGCCTTCAACTCTGAGGCCCCAGGCTACTCTCTGAGACTCGAAGCTGCAATGAGGGTAGGGGATTGATCTATTTGGAAACCTACATGATTTCAACACAAAAAGTATCAACAAAAATGAGTTTTCCCAAAGCTGCCCTAGTTCTTATGACTGTGAGCATCCTTCTCTCTGCACCAGTCAGAATCATGGCAGCCTGGGTACCGTTTCATGTCCACATTCCACAGCCTAGCCTGGCACACTTTCTTTAGTGCTATCAGGAGCATCGACCTGGGCAGTTAAGGGCTGCCAGCATCTCCTTCATCTTCCTGACATTCCATTTCTAGCCTCCATTCAGGAGTAAACAGGCTCCCAAGGCCTGTGTTCCCAGCCATCACAGAAGCTGTTGCTCCATCACTCTCAGGATAATTCCTGAGGCTGTGTAAATGCAGCTGGCACATTACTGTCATCATCAGCTCAGCCGCACTGGTTGCTTCACCTTAAGGGGCCAGCAGACAAGGGCTACCCAGGGACAGCCAAACAGCCTGCGTCAGAGAAAGAGCAGGTCAAGTTCCCAGACTGGTCAGCGGGAGGACTGGGTCCATGAGTGGCAGCTGCACTCCCAGAGCCTGGGACTACGCAGTTGGATCCCTACCGTCTTACAGAAGCTGTTGTCTCCGATGCGTCCACAGCAACGAGGCTTTCACTATACTGATGGTACTTGCTTTGTTTTACAGAGCTCTAAGGATTAGGCCACTGACCACCACAGCACCTGGTAAGCCAGGTAAATTCTGATGGGGGTGGGGAAACAGCACTGCTGTGATATTGTGCCAGAGACCCGCCCCCCTCCAAGGTAAAGTGGAAAGAGTGCTACATCGGGAGTCAGGGGACCTGCGTTCAAATGCCAGTTCTGCCAACCTTGGCCCTGGCTGACCCTCAAGCCCAGAATGCTCCCCCTCCTCACCTTCACATCTTATAGAATCTCTTAGCTTTTCCTTCAGAGCTCAGCTCCAGCACCACCCCTTACATGAGACCTTTCGTGATCTTGCTCACCACAACAGCCTTGAACTTTCTTTGTGCAGCTTTTGTATGTGCCTATAAATGTACACATTATCATCCCCTAACAAAATATGACCTCCGGGAGGGCAGGCACTGTTCTGCGCTTAGCTTACCAGCACTGTATGCGGCACACAATAAGTGCTTACTGCGTGACTACTACCCACGTGATCTTAAGCAAGTCACTTCCAGTCTCATGCTCTCTGTTGGGCTCAATGCCTTCTGAGCCCTGTTGAGATTCAAACAGCAAATGAGGGGTAGTGGGTCTAGTCGAGGGGTCATCACCTCTGTGGAAGCCCAGGGGGTCCTTCTCACAATCACACCTTCTGCCTACGTACATTACTGGAGGAAAGGCTACACTTCTGTGAGTGCTCAGTAAAAAGAAAGGTGTCATTTCTGCACCATCCAAGTTCACAGGCCCCTGCTGATTTTGCTGGGAGGCTGCGTTCCCCAGGTTAAGAACTGCTGGTATTTGGAAAGAGAACCGATTTTGAGTACGAGCAAGTCAGGTTCAATCCTGATTCTGTATCAGACAGTCTGTGTGACCTTGGTCCAGTCACCTCTGGCCTTCATTTTTCTCCTACGTAAGATGAGCAGGGCAGCTAAGATGTTCTCCACGATGCTTCTACCTCCAACATGACATCCCTGTGACCCAATCTCATCGAATCAGTATTTCGGGCTGTGAGTGAGTGGAGCCCAGGCCTCTCCAAAGCCTTAAAGACTCTTCAGCATTGGCTCGTAGAGCTGTTAAGACTTTGTGGGTAGTGAAAATAACAAGAAAAAAGATTACTAAAGACAAGGCTCAGAGCCTCAGAAGTGAAGGGCCCTGCCCAAAGTTATCCAGCCACAAAGTGTCTGAGGCAGGAGTCACACACTGTTCTTCCCGAGTCAGAGATGGAAATGTACTTCTGCAGGGGCCCATGGTGGCCAGGGTGCCGACTCTTCCTAAGGAGAACATCTGTACCCTAGGAACTGATTACAGAAGCGTTACTGAACAGCTGGGTGCAAATGGAGATTGTTGCAACTCAAAGTACCTACTTAAATGAAACCAGCAAACTTGCTCAGTGCAGCGGAAAGTGCTCTATCAGCGCCTGGAGTCTGATGCCTCCTGCCAGGGCAACCTTGGGCAAGTCCCTTCCCCTTTCAGGGCCTCAGTTTCCTCATCTGTAAAATGAGAGGGCTGACCTTCTAAGCCCCTTCCAGTTACAGATTTATGACACAACTCAATTCAACTGATTAAGTGCCCGTGATGTGCCAGGCACTGTGTTAAGCTAGGGAGATAGAGAAACAAAACCAATTCTTGCCCTCCTACAAACTACATAAAAGAACCTCAAAATGAGTCCTTTGGGGGTACAAAGAAACATACTGTAATGTACCTGATGTGTGAAGGTAGATTTCCTACATGATACAACTCCAACTGACTAGAAACCAGCTATCTAGAGACCTCAATTAACCAGAATTCTTTCCTAGATGTGAATTTATCAGAAAAACAAAAAATAACCAATAATCCAAAGAATGAGCATAGTGGCTGACGTTCCTGAATACTGCCAGCTCATCAGCTCATTCGGGCCATACGGCTACCCGCACACAAGCACAATCACCCCTGCCTTACACACCAGGCAAACTGAAGCTATGAGAACTTAAACATCTTACCCGGGATCCCACAGGGAAGCAGCAGAGCCAAGCCTGGCACCTGGAGCCCTTCCACCCAACTCCAAGCAAACCTAGGGTGGTGGGAAAAGCCCTGAATGGGGAGTATTACACTTGGGGTCCGGGTCTACATCCTTCTGGTGGGGGCCAGAGGCTCAGAAATGTCATCTCCAGTGCTCTCAGAAAGACCCCGGGCACTGCTCAGACCCTGCCCTCTGCCACAAGGGGGAAGCGAGAACAACAGCAAGGACATGGAGGTAAAGCTGACAACACGCCAGACCCTCTGAATCACTGGAGCCTCCGGTATGGCTGTTCCCATTTTACAGATAAGTAGAATGAGGAGAGGCTTGCCCGGAGGTATCAGAGCTGGGGTTCAGGCCCAAATCTCTCTCGCATTCAGAACAAGGATTTAACGGAACCAAGAGCAGGAAGAGGCTCAGCACTGGCTTCTGGAAGCGAGTTTGCGCTTCCTGCCCAGGCAGAGACAGGAGATCTCTTGGGGTGTGGATGTGTAGAGGACCTGACCGTAGGTCAGCTCACTGCCTCCCTCCCAGGCAGGCAGAGAGGGCATCGGCCATGTCAACGTGGGCTCTTTCTTATCCAGGCGGTGTGCCTGGGCAGAGACACATAGACCCGCCCCCCCAAGGGATGAGGAATTGATACTCAGGAGCCCCAGACAACGCCCTGGCACTATTTCCATGGCTGGGAGGCCCCTCCTCTTCCAATATTCCTGATGACACGAAGCAGGCTTGCTCCGAGAGCTGGGTGGGTGTATGTACGTGTGCACATGGGTGCAAGGTGGGGAGGAGAGGATAGGGCATGGGAGTCTACTACCAAGCATTCACAACCCTCCACACTGAACCCACTCCGATTCCCCTCAGCTTGACCACAGTCAGAGACGGGCCACGTCTCTGACAAGGCCATGCCACGCCTCCCTAAGCCACAGTGTTCTCCCCACATACTGTGTTTGCAGAAATGTTCACTGTATTTGGTATTTGTTCAATTCAGAATAAACATTTAATGCCTATTCTACTGAATTCAAACTTTAAAGAAGATTCTAAGAGAAGGTGCTTCAAGTTTTGGGATCTCCATAACTGTTTTTAGCTATCCCTGAAGTATGACAGGCAGGAGCTCCTGGGGAGCAAACCTTGAACCAATACAGGCCAGCACCTGCTTTGCATCTGATGAGTTTGAGAGAGTGCCTGCATGCACTGAGAGGTTACGTGACTTGCCCAGGTCCATAAAACTGGTGCGTGGCAGGACTTGAACCCAGTTCTCCCTGAGTCCAAGGCCAGCTCTCTCTCCACTACCCCAAGGCTGCCCTTTGTTTATAGGAAAGCAACGATAACACCTGTACTAGCTGCTGCCCCACAGTCATGGGGGCCCAATGCAAGAAGACCATGGCCCCTTCTGGGCCCTGCTGCCATGTCTCACATGCTCAGAAGGGCCTTACCTTCAGATAGCCCCCGGCCGACACGAGCATTCTGCTATCAGGAGAAAAGCGGAGGTCGGTCACCCAGCCCACGTAGGTCGCCTCTCCTTTCTCCACAGTCACAGGAACACAGGAATGAAGCCGCTCCCCCGTGGAGACGTTCCATATCTACACAGACAGGAGGAAGGGCATCAGCAGCAGCAGCAGCCAGAACAAAGTCAGAGCTGGAGGCTGCTGCCCCCTCCCCAGACCCTCCACCCTGGCCGTGGATGCTCCAGACCACAGCACCCAGGACACAGAGAAAAAAACTGACAAGGCTCAACTTTCCCTGCACAAGATGTGAAGACGCAGCCCAAACTTACCACAAAAACAGGGAGAAAACCCTGCCCAGAATCAACTGCCCCCGGCGGTCATGCACAACCCCCTATCTCCCATCTCCTTGCCTTTGCTGCAGGCTGTGCCTCACGCCTTGAGCACCCTCCTTTCTTACCTCGACCTCCTGGAGAAGAATCCTGGGCTTTCCCTAAGATTCAATTCAAGCACCATCTTCTCTATGAAGCCTAGTCTGATGCCCCTAGCAGCCGGTGCCTTCCCACCAAAGGTGACCTGGATTTCTTCTGTGTCTAATTTGCACGAGCTGGCCTTGGCAAAGTGGATGGAGAGGTGACCTCAGAGGCATGGGTTCAAGACGCGCTTCTGACAGAGACTCCCGGTATGACCGTGTATGTCTGTACACACACACAGATGCGTACAGACTGTGTACATATACACAGTATCTATGTTACATACACTTACACATAGACATGTAATCTCCCTGTGACTTCTGGTGCAGGGAGCTCCTTCCACAGAGGCAGGTGGGGCCCCTGAGGCAGCACTTGAACCTAGGCCTCTCTGGCTCCCTCTCCACTGTGCCACGCCTCAGCTGAAGCCCTTCCATATCTGATTACTGCACTCTACATCCAAGTTTACATCAACAAGCGCCACCAGAGAAGCCCCAAGAACAGCACGGAGTGGCAAAGACTCTTCGGCGCTGACCACGCGCCAGAACTGATCTAGGTACTCAGGACAGGGAGAGAAGAGCAGGGCGGTCCTGGCTGCCCCCGAGTGAGGCAACGCAGACAGGAGGGCTCGGCCCGCCGGGTCTTAGGGGGCGTGGCAAGGCAGATGGCAATGCCAGGGAAGCAGAGGGCACAGGGTCAAGGCACAGAAAGAGTGGCCAGAGATGTGACTGGAAAAGAAGGTCGGTACTCTGGTCACGTGGCAACAGCAAGGAACACAGCCGGCCTACCCCCTGCTGCACCGGTACCCATGGACTGTCTCTGGCCTGGGGGTTGGGGGGCTGGTTTTTTAACACTGGGTCTACATCACCCAGGCTGGAAGTGCTAGAGTCACCACTCACGGGCCCAAGCCCGCAGCTAACCCACTCAGCACAGAACTTTGGACCGCTGCATTTCTGACCTGGGCCGCCTGACCTTAAGCAACCTGGTGGCCCCCTCCCACCCTGGCGCTGCCCTTAGTGAGGATACCCGATTGGCACAGCTCACAACTGCCAAGCTCAAGAGAAGCAGTTTCTCCCTCCCCAGACACCTAGCTACACAGGTAATGTCAAAGGTCCCACAGGATAGTCTCCATCAAGTATCACAGTGATTTCGGGGTGGATGAGGACAAGAGCTGCCCAAGGCAAACAGGTGTGGATGGCTCGAGCACCCCTTCAGTGCTGTCCTGGCTCCCCCAAGAAGCACTGTCGCATAAACGCATAGTCTTAGCACAGCCCAAAGGCCTTTAGTTCTAAATAAAACTGGTTTGAGAGACACAGGCATTTCTTAAACTACAAGGAAATGAGAGCCATCTAGCTGCAGGCACACCTCCCCGCCGCCTAAAAACCTCCTAGTGCGACAACTGAAATGCTAATCTCTCCTCCACTGATTAACAAGCCGAGCAGAGGAGCAGACCCTCGAGAGAGAGGACAATACCTCAGGCTTGGACAGCCTGCCTGTTTCATGGTCAAAGGGTTCAGAATGATTGGGCTTTCTTTCTTCTTTAAAAAAGTATTCATTTGCCATTTGAGGAGAAGACAAAGGAACATTTTAAAAAATCATTTCCCCCTCCAATTCTGCCAATATAAACCGAACCCAGTCATCTTCAGAGGGAGGATGACTCCTCCAAGCCCCCATCACCAGGGCTCTAAGACAGAAAACAACAGCAAATGACTGGGCCTGCCCCCCCCACCCCCCAAGGAAAAGCTTGGCTCTGATGGCAAACGGATCATCCTCTAACGTGGGGAGAGACTGTGAAAACAGTACGCACAGAACCTTCCAGGAGACCACACAGGAATGAACAGAGCCAGCTCAAAATCTTGGGGAAGGGATCACAAGGGTGCTAACGCCCAACAGAAGCAGGAGGAACGTGGCCCCGAGAGCCATACCCTGATTTCTCCATTGTCGTCTCCCGTCGCCAGGAGGGTGCTGTCCCCAGAGAAGACAGAGCATCGCACACAGCCTTCGTGACCCCTCAGCTCATGAAGAGGGGAAGGGCTCTGAAAGCTCCAAATCTAGGGGGGAAAAAAGATTTTTAAGAAAGTAGATAAGGGCAGCTAGATGGCGCAGTGGATAAAGCTCCAGCCTTGCAGTCAGCAGGACCTGAGTTCAAATGTGACCTCAGACACTTAACACTTACTAGCTGTGTGACCCTGCGCAAGTCACTTAACCCCAGTTGCCTCACAAAAAAAGAAAAAAGAAAAAGTAGATAGGTCTTTCATAAGCATTGGAAAAACTATTTGGACTACCCAGCCCAGGAATTATCATCTGTTTTAGAGAATGCATCAGAATAATAATAATTGACACAGAGAAAATAATCAAATCACACCGGATTAGGGGCCTGAGGTATTTTGATCCCAGTACATATACAAAAAAACTGATTTTATCCGTGTAAGGGAACTCCTCCACCAAAGAAAACCTTAAATCCAGCTAAGACTTGTAGGTAAGTCTTAGGGAGCAATTTGGTTCAGAGAGGTGGAATGCCTCTCCTCCAAGGTGGGATTTGAACACCCGACCCGCTGCTGCCTGAGCAAGGCCAAATCACCCACAAGCAAATCCCAATTCACCCAAATACCTTTGCAGTCTTGTCAGCAGAGGTGGATGAAAACCTGGTGGCATCGGGAGAAACATCACAGGACAAAACTGTACCTTGGTGGCAAATAAAGTCCTTCTCGACTTTGCCAGTGAAGATATTCCAGACCTTTAAAAAAATAAAAAAGAGAGAGAGGGGGAATGAGGCAAGAATGCTTTGAATTTGTGAGTCCACTCAGGAATAGAAGAGATCGACTCCAGCCGTGACACATGAGCTGTGATTTTTCCCAATCAGTTAATCTAAAGAGCTAGAAGCCAACAGGTATGACCAGATCCCTGTTCGAGCCTTCTTGCTGCTTGGAAGGTCCCACAGAGCTAAACAAAGAAGGAAAGGACACCAATGGAAGGGCCTGACATGGGGGGGACAATGGGGCCGGAGAGAGGCTCCCCCACACCACAAACATTCAGGGCTGTGACTTAATCGATGCTGTTTCTACAAAGTAATCCAGGCCAGTACGTCAACAGTCACCACGGCCACCTGCGCTTCCAGTTACCTTCACTGTCCCATCAAATGACCATGTCAGGAGCCGTGAACTCTGCAGGAGCCGAAAGTCCTTCACGGGCTCTTGGTGCGCTTTGAGAAACACAAACTCCTCCGACTGCCAATTCCACACCTGCAGGACAAGGGGATAAAGTCATCTGGCAGGAACCCGACTTGGGCACACACGCCTTTGTGCCTCCTGACAGAGAAACCTCCTTTCCCATATGCAGGCATAGTGGTACAGTGGACAGCGGTAGACCTTCAGTCGGGAAGATGCGAGTTCAGGTCCTGCCTCAGACACTTCAAAGTGACATTCCTAAAGCAGGCATCTGCTCCTTTCATGCCCTTGCTCACAAAGCTCCAGGAGCTCTCCCATGCCTCTAGAACCCAACTCAAGCCCCTCTTTGTATTTAAAATCCTTTGCGGACCTGACTCTGGCCCACCTTCTCAGGCTTATCGCACCTCACTCCTTTTCTTGCACTCTGCAACCCAGCTCTACAGGGCTCCTTGCTGTTCCTTACATCCCATCCCCAGTCTCTGCACCTTTGCATGGGCTGTGCCCATGCCTCGGACGCCCTCCCTCCTCACCTCTGCCTCTAAGGGCCCTTCCTTTCCTTCAAGGCTTAGCTCAAGCCTCGCCTTCTCCATGACTTACTCCCTGACATCATCAGCTACTCCCCAGCTGCTAAGGCCCTCCTTTCCAACCTACTTTATGTATGCTCTGTACGTATCCTGCATATGCTTAGATGTAAATGTGTTGTCTCCCTTGATGGAACGTAAGCCCCTTGAGGGAAGGGACTGTCTTGTCTTCATCTTTGCCTCCCCAGTGCCTGACACATAGCAGGTGCTTAATAAATGCTCGACAACTAAGTTTTGTGGTGGAAATAATACAAATTATTTATCCAGGAACCACAAAAATCTCTGCAAAGCCAGAGATATTAATGAACTGAAAACCCCTAGTGTTCTGGACTGGTCAGCCGACCCCCACACAAAAGTGAAGGAAGAAAAGATTTCATTCAATGAGCATTTATTAAGCTCCTGTTATGTACCAAGCACTGGTAACAGAAAGGCATTATCATCATCATTATTGTTGTTACTATTTTATATACAAGTATCTTTACAAACAAGAAGGATGAAGTTAGAGGAGCAGCTAATACATGAACCTCATTCTCATCTGAACTGACCAGACAAGGGAACACACACACACACACACACACACACACACACACACACACACACACAGAGTTGGGTACAGAAAATAGATTTCACTCAACAGGGAAATAGGAAGAGAAGAGGAGACAGAGAATTAGAAGGAGGGTAAATTAAATGAAGGATTAGTCCTAAGTAAAACAAACTCTAGCCAAGTACAAAAATATTTACAATTCTTTTTTGAAGTGGCAAAGAATGGGACTCTGAAGGGGTACATGTACCCATAAACTGGGAAACAGATAAATAAATCATGGTTTATAAATGTGATGGAATACTATTATTCTGTACTCTTATTAGCATATGACCTCCCAGGATTCCAGAAGGCTAATACTGAAATATGCCACCCACCTCTTGACAGAGAAGAAAAAGGACCTCAAGCACTCTATTCCCATTCATAAAAACATTTTTCAATTCTGTTTTTTCACTCTCGCTTCATCTGTCCCAGCAATTCTGGTTGAGTTTGTGCTCAAGCTGTGTTTTTTTCTAAGGCTTTGCCTGTAGATGTTTTAGAGTCACTCTCTTCTGGATAGGTATCTTGAGCATCCCTGATATAATAACTCATTATGGTGTGGTTCTTTTTTTTTTGTTTTCTCATTCTTCCTAGCACACTTCCTAAGTTCAGACCTAAAGTTAGGGCTAGATTCTGTGGCACTTCTGGAAGGAAGGTCTGAGCTACTTTCTTGGGGTTTTGAATGTTGTGTTATTTCTCTATCTCAGGGACAGCTCAGGCTGAGAACCTCCAGTTCTCAGTGCTCCCAAAATGGTCTGATTCAGGGTAAAGTCTGGTTGCCTCCCTTGTTCTGAGCACTGCAAGATTCTGACCTTGGCATAGATCTGTGAAAGAAAGATGCTGCAGGACTCCAATCCTCTTGGCCATGTGGAAGCTATGCTGGCCCAGGGCTACAGAACTGCAGACTCCCCTGTGATCTGGGATTCCTGCCTTCATTCTTCCTCTTAGGCTGGGCTAGATGCTGGAAGTGAGACCTTGTTCTGAAACTGAGGTCTGAGTCACACTGCTATGCCGCGGTTGGCTTCTGGATTTCTTTCTTTCTCCAAACACCACCCAGGGCCTTCCTGTATGAGAATGCCACTCCTGACTGCGGGTCCCCTTCTCAGTCTACCCTGGATCTATGACCAAGGATAGAGTAGTGGGCAAGGGACCTGCCAATTCAGCCCCGTCCTCCTCTCCAGGCCATGAGGGTCTACAAAGCTCCATGAGTGTCCTTCTGTGCCTAGCTGAGCCAGACAAGGAAATCCCTGTGACTTCTCATGGATCTCTCCACCAGGTTTCAGTCCAGCACATTTTCTACATTCTTAGGAGGAATTTATGGAGCAGAAGCTCATCACACTGCTTCCTAATACTCCACCATCTTGGCTTCACTGTTTTCTTTTTCCGTCTTTAAAAAATACTATTTGTTATATGGAATGGCTGGGGCTGGGGAGGGGCATGAGGGGTGCTGGAGATAACAATGAAGGTATAAAAAAACAGAAGATTTCAATGAAAACTTTTTTTAATTATATTTAAAAGAAGTTCAGTTTCATGTAAATTCTTCATTTTGCTTTTTGGTTTTCTTTCTGTACTAGAATGTTCACATTTGTTAATGACTGTGCAGGTAATAGGGCTGGAGACTGGACCTGTGATTTTATTGGCAGTGGATACTCCCAGAGGAGGAAATTCCCACTTACCAATGTAAATTCACATTTCTGTTAATGGAGAATTTGGGAACCAAAATTGAGCTTTAATATATTTTAATATAATCAATAATATAATAATTTTATATAAAATACTATTTTAAATATATTGAAGTTGAAATTTGGTACCTATATTTTAAAATAAAATAGGGCAGCTGGGTGGTGCAGTGGATAGAGCAGTACTTCTTAAATTGTGAAAAATTTGGCAATAGTAAAAGGTTTCTGAACACACAACAACCAAGAATTAATTAAAAATCAAACGCATAATGAATCCAAGGTGTTTCTGGTAGTGCTGGCCCATGTTGCATCATGCAACTTCACTGCAGCCTTTGTTCTGAACACAAAGCATGTGTACTTTGCACTGCGGATGCCCTCAGGCCATGCAACGCTAACAAACACTGCTGGGGTTGCCAGTGGAAAAAGTTTTAAGACACCCTGGGATAGAGCTCTGGGCCTGAAGACAGGAAGACCTGAGTTCAAATCCAGCCTCAGATACTTGCTAGCTGTGTGACCCTGGGCAAGTCACTTAACTCTGTTTGCCTCAGTTTCCTCATCTCTAAAATGAGCTGGAGTAAGAAATAATAAACTACTACAGTATCTTTGCCAAGAAAACCACAAAAAGGGCCATAAAGAGTCAGAGATGATTGAAATAACTGAACAACAAAAATAAATCAATTAATTTGATTATTCTATTTATTATCAATCAACTACTTAAAATCTTTTTTTTAAAAAATCCAAATAAATCAGTCCTTCAACAAGTCATAAATTAGAGTTGCCCAAAGAGCTGGGAAGTGCTGTGGTTTGCCCAGGGTCACATGGCCAGCGGGTGTCAGATGCAGCACCTGAACCCGAGTTTTCCTGGCTCCAAAGCCTCTCTGTATCTACCATACCGTATCACGCAGCCTCTCATTAAAATATTTTTAGACACCAGCATTCTCTTCATCTGTGGCCCAGATGGAAACACTGACCATTCTAGCTTTACACCAACGCTCACTGAAAGTGACCTCAGCCTTCTGAGATCTAAGCACTTCGACCAGGTCAGGAGCACTTCTTCAGCTCTACAGGACAAGTTTCCTGCCTTTCAACCACTCCTCATGATGCTGCTTTTTAAAAATCTCAGCTAGGCTGTTTCTCAGAAACCTCGAGCAAGAGTTTTATGATAAGGATCTACACTTCCGGGAACATTCCCTCACTTAAAAAGAGCCTGAGCAAGGGAGAGTGGGGGAGCTTCTAAGAGAGAATCACCAGGGGGACTGCAGGGCCTCATTCTGGCTGGGAGACCTTGAACTTCAAGCTGGTTACAAAACTCTAACTTTATCTCTGACAGGAAAGAGAAGCAAACAGCTGCCTGGCAAGATTTCATCTGCTTCGTTCCTATTTGTGGTCGGGTTTTACAGATTTCAAAGGCATTCATGGGAGAAGAAAGGCAAGCATGTGCGGAGCTCAGGGCTCAAATGCCTTGAAGGTCTACATATCAACACACCTGGGGGCCACATTAGTTAGCCAACCTCCATCTGGAAGCAAAATTCTCCCATCGTATCTTATTCTTTTAATAGATCCCACAAAAAAAAAAAACCGCTCATTTATGACTTTGGAGGGGTTGGGAAGGGGGTATGATTTAGGCTTTTTTTTTTTAGATTCAAAGTAGCTGAAGTTAAACTAGGAGACCAAAGTATTTTATTAAAATATATTGAAGCCAAATTTTGGACCCCAAATTCTTCATTAAAATAAGTGAGTCTTCTTAGAGCTGTGAGGACCATATACCCCAAATATGGCCATTTTATTCTCCAAAGAAATGATGACAGCATCTTGCCTTTGCTGTTGTCATTTTTCAGTTGTTTCTGACTATTCGTGACCCCACTTGGGGTTCTCTTGGCAAGGATATTGGAGTGGTCTATTTCCTTCTCCAGCTCACTTTATAGATAAGGAAACTGAGGCAAACAGGGTGAAGTGACTTGCCCAGGGTCACACAGCTGGAAGTGTCTGAGGCTGGATTTGAACTCACAAAGATGAGTCTTCCTGACTCCAGGCCCCAGTGCTCTGTGTACTTTGGCACCACCCAGCTGCCCTACCTCACCTTTACAGAGTGCTTTAAGGCTTACAAAATGCTTTCCTCACCACTACCCTGTAAGGTAAGTAGTCCAAGTACAAATAAGGACATTATTTCCTATTCTACAGAAGAGGAAGCGGAGGCTCACAGAGATCTTGTGGCTTGAATTAAGTGCTGAGGCCCTTGGAGACCCAGAGGTAGGACAGTGCCCTGACCCGAAACCTATTTGCACCACACTGCCTGCCCAAGCTCCATTCAGTTCAAATTAATACGACGTTAGTAGACGGGCAAAGCTGACCAAAAAGGATAGTGACAAATGTTAGAGGGGCTGCAGGAGAATGGGCCCACTAGTGTCTCGTTAGTGGAGCTGTGGACTGGTTCAGCCATTCTGAAAAGTGGTATTGAACTTTGCACCAAAAAGTTCCTACACTATCCAGGCACTTTGACCCAAACGTACCACTACTGAGCCTGCACCCAAAGACATCCAAGAAAGGAAGAACAGTTTATGTGTAAAAACATCTCTAGTAGCTCTTTCTGTATTGGCAAAGAACTGGAAACTAAGAGGGTCCCACCCTTGGGTGGGTGGCCAAACAAATTATGGTATGAACCTAATTAAATACTGCTGTGCTATAAGAAATGATGAAGAGGACAGTTTCAGAGAAGGCTTGGAAGACTTGTATGAACTGATGCTGAGTGAAGGGAGCAGAACCAGAAGGACAATTCATACAGCAACAACAATACTGGAAGATGACCGACCACGATTCCAGAGGACCCAGCATGAAGCTTGCAGCCAGCCTCCTGCCAAGAAGGGATGGACTCGGGGTACAAAAGGAGATAACAGTTTTAGACATGGCCAGTGTAGGATGTCTTGACTATGTATATTTGTTATAAGGGTTTTGTTTTTCTCCCTCCTCCCCAACAGAGAAGGAAGGAGATAGAAGAGCTTTTTCTTCATTTTTAAATAATTTAATAAATTTATTACAAATATTTATATAAACATCAATTTATTAATTTCATATATTTATAGTATATTATAATAAATATACTATGTTTATGTACAATATATAATACATTGTAATATAAATATAATATGTGTGTAAAATGATTTAGAATATACTATAATATATTGTAATTAATATAATACAATAAAATATAAATATATTTATAAATGTATAAATAAATTTCATGTAATTTTTAAAACTTCATTAGAATTAACATAGGCCCCAGAGCCAGAAGACGTTCAGAGAACTTCTTGTTCTCTCATTTTACAGTTAAGGAAACCGAGGCCCAGTTTCAGTATTCAACCCTGAGTTTTCTGACTCCAAAGCCAGAGCTCTTCACACTGAAGGTATCTACCTGATTAGCACACCAAACATATGTGGCCACTTATAGGATGGAAGAAAAGCGATCAGTCCAGGCTCACCGTTGGGCCCGTCCACACTGCAGCATATCCTCTTCTGGACAAGTCGGCCCGGCTGGACGCCCCACCCCCCAATTCGTGCAGTCCCTAGTGCCCTCTTCTCAAAATTACCTTGTGTTTATTTTGCATCTCTGTACGTGTATAGTCTCTCCCCATAGAACCTAAGTTCCTTGAGGGCAGGGACTGTTTCATCTCTGTCTCTATCTTCAGTGCCTAGCAGACTGTTTGCCCCATGGTACGTACACAACAAACACTGTTTGATTGATTTGTCTTTGCATCCCCAGGGCCACACACAGTGCCTGGCACATAGGGGACATTTAATAAATGCTTGTTGATCTCCAGCACCTGGCATAGTACCTGGGACACAGTAGGTCCTTAATATTTAGCCATGCATGGAGGGATTGATTGAAATGACATCTACTGAGCTACAAACCATGCTAGATGGAGCTGGCTGAAGCCTCTTTTGTTCATTCTCTCCATTAGAGGCTCTAAGACAAGCTGTTTCATCTACAACACCAAAGGAAGGAATTCCACTACACCAGGAATTCCCATCATCGGATATGTACACCTCCAAGGTATGCAAGGAACTTATAAGGAGGGTACAGAGACTATCGGGTAAATAACTATTGTCCTTTTAAAATCAATCTCCTAATTCGATTTCTTATTTGCACATAACATAGCAAGCTCTAGAATTTATTTCCTTCCATGTTAAATATTAGATTTGCTAAAAACCAAGGGGTCTGGAGACCAAAAAAGGGTGGAAAAACACTGCACAGAAGATTTTCCCATCGTCTATATAAGTGACCCCAGCAGTGTGCGACACAAAAAACCGACCCTAAATGACTTCTCAGAAAACACGCTAGATCTGGTTCTTTGACACTTTTAGTATTCATATGCTAGGGAAAGTGAGCCCCAATCCCACAAAGCTTCACTCATACTTCATCCAACTCACCTGAACTGTGGAATCATCAGAACTTGAAATAAGGGTCCTCCCATCAGAGGTGAACTGGACCCGTCGGACAGCTTTCTCATGCCCCATTCGAGATAGAAACTCTCTTCCATTGGGGAGCTCTAAAATCTTCAAAGTGGAAAAGCACACCAGGATTACTTGGAGGAAAGGTGGGCATTTCTGTGCATGAACAGACCCCAGAGCCCTCAGTATATCAGGCAGAAGGGAAGAGACAGCCTTTTTATGGAGGAAAGGTACCTACCCCCCACAGGAAGCTGGCTACCTCTGACTGAAAGGACCACAGATAGCGACTGGCACTGTCTTTGTGAGATGCCTAATAACCAAGTCACCAAACGGGGGGCACCCCAGACTTTGCCTCTAAAGAGCAAACGGCATTCGAGATGGATGAAAGAGGAAAGGAAGATGAATTCCTATGTGTCGTCCTAACCCTTAACCTCTTTGGGCTTCAGTTTCCTCATCTGTACGATGGGGGGCTGGGCTTGCTATCCTTTGTAGAATCCCTTCCTGCTCTAAGTCCATGATCCCATTGTATGTCTCTTCATCTCTCTGGGCCTCAGTTTCCTCATCTGTAAAAATGAGAGGGTTGTGCTTGGTGGCTTCCCAGCTCTGGATCATGGAGCCTCTGAATGGGCTGCCTCAGAGGGCAGCGAGGTGCCCTTGTAAGGCATGTGGTAGAGGAGACATCCATTTAGGTTCGTGTTGGACTAGATAATAATGATAACACTAATAAAGCCAGCACCTGCCCTACAGACTGGAGCCTTCAAAAGCTGCCTAAAGCACTGAAGTGACTTGTCCAGAGTCACACCACCAATAGGTCAGAGGCAGGCATGGAACACAGGCCAGCTCTTTGTCTACTCCTCCCACTATATTTCTCTAATACTAATTATAGTACTGATGCGATGCTTGAAAATTTAAGAAAGTTTAGAGCCCTAAACACGCTTGCAGAAGTTTTCTATGTTTGATTGATAGGCCGTGCTGAATTTGTTCCTCTCTAAGCAGTTTGTTGGTTATTGTTAAGTCGTTTTTCAGTTGTGTCTGACTCTTTGTGATCCCATTTGGTGTTTTCTTGGCAAGGATATTGGAGCAGTTTGCTGTTTCCTTCTCCAGCTCATTTTACAGAGGAGGAACTGAGGCAAACAGTTAAGTGACCTGCCCAGGGTCACACAGCTAGTAATTCTCTGAAGCTGGAATGGAACTCACAAGGAGGAGTATTTCTAACTCTAGGCCTAGCACTCCATCCACTGCACCACCTACTTGCCTTCTCTACATAATATTATTTGTCATATGGGATAGTTGTCTGGGAGAAGGAGAGGGAGGGACTGTAAGGCTAACTATGATGATGTCAAAAACCGAAGATATAAATAAAAATTTATTTTCTAAAAAAAATTAAGCTTAGAAAGAATTTCATAAGCACTTATTTAATCCTAATTTAATTTTATCCTAATAATTACTCTATAAAGAAGGTGGAAAATACATAGTATTTACATAAATACAATGTAATATGTAACAAATAATAAATACATAAAATAATGAGGAAAAACCCACTGGATGTGAAGTCAGATGATCTGGGCCATATCCTGGCTCTGCTATTTACTCTGTGGGACCTGGGGCAAGTCTTTTACACTCTATGGACTTCCGTTTCTTCATCTATAAAATGAGACTTTGAACTAGATCACCCTGAAGGTCCATTTTAGCTTGAAATCCCAAAACTCCCATTCTACAGATAAGAATACTGAGGATTGGAGATTAAGGCTTGGCAACCTCCATCCACTCAGTTCAATTCACCTCATTTCCTCTAAGTCCAATACTCTTTCTACTCCACAACTCCAACCCAACGCTATGCTCCTGAGGTCACTTGCAACTCTGAGAGTTCTAGACACCAGCGAAGATAGTGGAGTGGGCAGTGGCATGTTACCCAGACCCACTCACAACCACTTCAAAAGAGCTCTAAGAAGAGCCAGATTGAGCAGTGATGGGCAAGTCTGAGGAAAAACCACAGCAAGTCATGTCTCAAGCCCAAGAACACAAATTCAACCCAGAGACAAGTGACCAGGGCAAGAGTGGTAAAACAGGCATCTTACACCAGACCCCAAACTCCAAACAGAGCCAGAGAGCACTGCCTCTGACCTAAAGTGGGGGTCTCCTGGCCCAACTCTGAGAGCCAGCAAAGGAAGTAGATAACAGGCCAGAAGTAATAAGTAGGTCAACAGCCTTTCAAGTGAGCCACGGAAAACACGATTTCTGTTCCTGACTCAAATTAGCATTTTCCCAGAGGCCCAAGTTAAAGAGAGACAGCAATAAACAAAGAGAAATGTTAACATTCAAAATAACCAGGCTCTCCCAACTAGAAGCAGACCTTCCAAGCAGAAGGGATATGAGCAGGAAGGCAGCTTATGTGACCTGGTGACTCCTACTGATGGATGGATGGATCCTGAGGCAGATACAGCACACACCAATCTGCTGGGCTTGAGATCCTGGGCAGGCTTTTCGGTAAGACACTTTGAAGCCAGAGAGAGTGTAGGGGAGTGGGTAGAGAGAGCCGGGCTCAGGAAGACCTGAACTCAAGTCCTGACCATGTGATCCTGAGCAAGTCATTCATTTAACCCTACGGGCAGCCAGGCTGTCCTCTATTGTGCTGAGCTACTATAGTAACTCCCATTCTCTGGGAGACAAGGACTCCTGACTGGGAGCTTTCTGAACCCCATCCAGACTCCATCTCACTCCCCAAAATGGGAAAAGATATTCTGGACAAAAGGCTTTGTCACTCACCTTTAGAGGCAGAGAAATCGAAAAAGTCGCGTCCAGTATGCACAAGCACAGGAAGAAACAGACAACCTGGGAGAAGCCGCTCAGGGGACTGAAGCCATCACTACAGATACCCTGCCAGTGACTTCTACCTGCAGTGCCCAGGTGCAGAGAAGGAAGAGGCAAGGCTGGGAGACGGAGAGCTACGACCCTTGGCTGGCATCCGTCAAGACCCCACTCAAATGCCACCATCTGCAGAGGCAGGGTCTGTCCACCTCCCCCTCCACTGTTACTTTCCATCTGCTGCGGATGCGCTTTGTACAAACCTGTTTATGTACCAGTTGTCTCCTACATTAGAACGTAAGCTCTTCCAGGGCACAGACTGCTGCTTTTTCTTGATACCCCTAGTGTTCAGCACTTAGTAAGCACCTAATAAATTACTGATTGATTCACACCAAATTAAGGTACCCTAAAGCACTGTAAGGCATACTAAGTACTTGGCTAAGACAGTGGGAAAGTCAGCTGACCCCTGCGGGCCTCAGCTGTCCATAAAATGAGGGAGTTGGCCTCAGCTCTACCTCTAGGATCTTCTGATCATATGAACAGCTTAATATTATCATTACCCCCACTGTACAGATGAGGAAACTAAGTCAAGTCTAAACCAAGGTACAGAAAGGTTAAGGTCCTTACACAAGGTCACAGAGGGAGGACATGAACCGAGGGCCTCTTACCTCAAAGCCAGGGCTCTTTCCACTACATTTTCACACCTCTCCAGTCAGCTCCATGCAATCCAATTCAACAAGCAATTTTGTTTACACCCCTACTAAGTGCCAGGCGCTGAACTACAAGGACAAAAAACCAAAGCAGACCCTGCCCTCCAGGACTTTCCATTCTGCTGAGGCCAAAATGGAGTTCATGGCATAGCCTCACTCGAAGGCTGGACAGTCTCAGAGAAGACAAACAGCCAAGAGTCTTGGGGGATCTTTGAGGAGGAGAATTGGCAGAACTGGCAGACCGAGAGAAGCAGACAAGAGAAACAAACAAGACCGGGGAAGGTCAAAAGTAGAGATGTCAGTTGGAAAAATTCACATCCAAACAGATGACAGAAGCTCTTTTAAAACCTTAACGAAGCAGCAACAGATGGCCAAATCATGCTCAGCATTCTCACTGCCAGGAGGAGATATGCTTTTTCTGTGAAACGAAAAGATCCAAAATCCTGAAGGCCACAGAGGTCAGTACCTACCTTTACGGACCCCTCTTCTTCTCCCAACGCCACATAGCGCAGGCCTGGACCCAGACAACAGCAGGTAATCCGAGATTTTTGGGCTTCTGTCAGATAATCGGTATGACCTGTCTTTCCATTAATTAGCTAAAATGCAAAATAAAACAGAGCAAGTGATTAAATGCTAATTGCTGCTGTGTTCTCTAGTACCGAGTTTCAATTGGAAAAGAAGGGGGGAAAAACCCAGAATGTGCACAAGAACGTGGCCCACCAGGGCTCCCACAGGAACAACAAAACCCTCTGCACATCTCAGCAGCTGCCTTTGGCATCTCGGGCTTGCATTTACCTTCCTGTTTATAGCAGTGCTGATGCGCGAATACATTTTCATAAAATGAAACGAGCTTTTGAAGGTTTCCCAAGCCGCTGCCGTGCCTACCACCTGAGACGCATCTGTCTGCTTTGGGGGTCTGCGACTGGCTTCTCCAGCCTACAGAAGCCAGGTCTGCCGTTGTTCACAAAGCTTATTTTAATACAGGATAGGATATGTTGAAATAGACTTTTCCGAAGCAAACCTACCATTGTTCAAGGAAGGTGAACCTGGCCTGAGACACCCATGCCTCAAAAGACAAAACCCAAATGTGGAATGGAATCTATACCTCACACATGACCCACAGAACACAAGTAACTAAATGCACCTTTGGGAGAGGCAGAGAGGTGTCCATAGGCACAAGGCGGAGGACAGAAGTAGTCCCCAAATGACTGGGCCACAACAGAAGTTCCTAACTTTTAGGGTGTCCTGGGCCCCTTTCATACCTAGGCTCGTAAAGCCTAGGTGGATCCCTACACAGAATCATGTTGGGTTTTTTTTAATTAATTTATTTTGAATTATCAACAATCACTCCCATAAGTTTTTGAATTTTAAAATTTTCTCCCCTTCCCTCCCCATCACCCTCCCCAATACATATAGGCAATACATATACAGAATCACGTTTTTAAATGCAGAAAACAGAATCCATTGGATTACAAAGTCAACCAATTCCACTAAAGATATAATTTTTTTTTCCCACACAAGTTCAAGGGTGTCCTGAAATCTATCTTTGGATCATTCTGAGCTAGGCATGGGATTATCTCAATTTGCAGCACATACAAAGGTAACATTAGGTGTCATCTCTGAAAACCTGTTCTTCCCTAGTTCTGCCAAAGCATCACCCTTTTCCTAGCATCCTTAAACAAAATTTTACTGTCTTCTGGTTACCTAACTGTACACCCTCACTCACCATATATGCACCGCTGCCGGTAACAGAAACACAGAGAATTAATTCAACAAACATTTAGTTATTTTGCACCCAATGCTTCCTTAACATATGGCCCTGTGCTAGTACTAGTGATACAAAGAGGGCAAATTTCACAATCCTTCACCTCAAGGAGCTTGTGATCTAATGGGGGAAATGTGACAGGCATACAATTAAGATATAAGAGAGAGTGTGATAAGGGCAAAAGAATAAGCCAAACAACAAGAAAGATCACGGACTGAGTTGGAAGGGACCTCGGTTCACGTAATCAGATCCCTTCATTTTACAAATGAGGAAACTGAGGCCCAGCGAGTTTGGCAAGTTCCCCAAGTACCACCCACAGGTAGTAAGCATCAGCGGTGGGCCCTCTGACTACCAAGTCTGCAGGCACTCTCTCCATAGGAAGGCTTCGTGGAGAAGGTTGGACCTGAATCGAGACTGGAAGGATGAGGAGGATTTCTCACTGACTCCTTAAAGGAAGAGAAGCATCCCTCTCCTTACTGTCACTCTCTTAGACTATGAAGGAGACACGCAGTTAAGAAAGCAAGTCTAAAGGAAACAGTTAGTGACCCATCAGAATGGCTGACATTGCTAGATCTCCATTCCTTTCCTTTTATTTCAATAACCCTAAGTCTTACAACCTAAGACGTGGAATTCGCTTTCTTTCCTACAGAGCTTACAGGGAAATCATTTTAACATCGGTACTGCATCATATAGGGTTGTAACTTAACATATTCTCTATTTAGATGGAAGTTGCAGCTATTGAAAACAAAACCTTTCTTTTCTCCAAATTCAATTTCAAGAAGCTTTTTAAAAAGACAAAAAAAAATATTTTGTTCACTTAAGTAAAAGCATATTGAAACACTCCCCCCAACTACTAAAAAGGGATAATGAGACTGATCTTTCTCATGAAAAGCAATGTGACATAAGGAATATAAAGCCAGTCTCAGACTCAGGAAGACTTGGATTCAAGTCCTGCCTGACACTTACTGGCTGGGAAACCCTGGGCAAGTCACTTGTCTTTCAGTGCCACCAGGGTACTTTGCAGACAGGGATTAATGAAGGATGTTTTCTCATCAGACAAAAAAAAAAAAAGAAAAGCAAATAAGAGAGCTACGAATAAAGTAAGTCGAATGCCTAAAAATGAAATGGATCTCTCTTCAGAGCCAGCTCTGCTTACCTCCTAGCCCAAACTCCAACATCACATGACACATAACTCACTCTCACCTCCCATCTCCAATCAGCTCTGGGGTCCTGGCCATCCTGTATCTGTCTCTCATCTCCCTAAGGACCTATATGTACTGGTGTTTTCAAAGGATCCTCAATTTGGAGTTGGGGGTCCTGGAAAAGACCATCATTGAGTCTAAACTGCTCACCTGACAGGAAGATGAATGATTCACCCAAGGTCATTCAGGTAATGAGAAGCCAAGCTTGGGATATGACCTCGGGTCCTCTGACTCTAAAGCCAGCGGGAACTAACCCACTGCCACACCCAGTCCAGTGCTGTTGTTGCCACTGTAGACCAGGCCCTCATCACCATCCTACCCGACTCGGCCTAGCCTCCTAAAGAGCATCCCTCTCCACCACAGTCTCACCTTCCTGCCCACAAATCACAGGAATATACATTTAGAGCCACAAATACCATGAGGTCATCTGGTCAACCCTCTCATTTTAGAACAGTAATCAGCACAGCCGACAGTTGAATCCAGGTCTGCTAATTCCAAAGGCAGTAATTATGTCCCTTATCCTAGTCCACTTATCAAGGATTCTTAACCCGGGGTTCGTCAACTTGATTTTTAAACCATTTTGATAAATGTATTTCAACATGATTAATTTTCTGTGCTGTCCTATCTTGTTTTTTTTAACGCATTTAAAAATGTGATTCTGACAAGGAGATCATAGGTTTCCCTATGATCTGTGGTACAAGAAGGGCCCAGGATCTCTTCTTTATGTATGTAATGCTTTGGTCAATCTCTCTGCATTAAAGTCACAAAACAACACAGACCCTGAGGATCTCAGAAAGAGCATGCACCTCAGAGACTATCAATTCCAACCCATCTCTGATCCCCTCTCGAATACACCCAATAAATGATCACCCAGTCAGAGAACTCACCACCTCCTAAGGCATCCCACTCCACCTTCACATGGCTCCAAGACCCTTTCTCACTTAGACCACGTCACCGTCACTCCTACGTAGTTCTGCACTGGGGGGCCAAGCAGGGTCAGTCTACTCTCTTCTCCACATGCTGGCCCTTCAAATACTCCACTGCTCAGTGATGGCAATCCCCTTGTCTTCAGCTTTTTAGGCTAATATCCCCATCCTCATAAGGCATGACCTCGAAGGCCTGGATCACCGTCCTGTCTGCTCTCAAAGCTCTCAGGAGGTCCAGAACTAAATGTGATGCCCTAGACGCAACCTGACCGGGACGGGCTACATTAGAGCTAGGCTCCTCTTGGCCTGGACACTCAGTCTCTCTCAATAAAGCCTGAGATAATACTGGCCTTCTTGGCTGCCTTACCACACTCTAAGTCATACTGAGCCTATAGTCCATTAACACATACAGCTCCGCCCCAAATCTAGGTCCAAATTCTGCAGCCCGGTATTCAAAGGCCTCCACAGTCATAAACCAGCCGAATTCTGCATATACTTGATGCTCCAATGTAAGGGGGCCAGGCCTGCACTCTCCCACCTCCACCTCTTAAAATCCTATCCATCCTTCAAGACCCAGATCAAATGTCATCACCTCCATCTTTGAAATTCCTTCCTCAATCCCTATTTAGGAATATCCTCTCTCAACTATCTCCATTTAACCAAACACCAGAAAGGAAGGGCCCCTGGCCTCAGAATTCCTAACTTCCTAAACACTCAGCTCAAGCTTTCCCTATGCCTCATTACCTAATACTTACTTTTTATCTATTTCCTATATCCATATACATGCTCCCGTAGTGTCCCCCATTAAAATGTAAGCTCCTTGAGGATGTGGGAAAATTGGAATACTAATACACTGTTGGTGGAGTTGTGAACTGATCCAACCATTCTGGAAAGCAATCTGGAACTATGCCCACAGGGCTTTAAAACTGTGCATAGCCTTTGATCCAGCAATACCACTACTAGGTCTACATCCCAAAGAGATCATACGAAAAGGAAAAGGAGCTACATGTACAAAAATACTTATAGCAGCTCTTTTTGTGGTGGCAAAATATTGGAAATTGAGGGGATGCCCGTCAATTGGGGAATGGCTGAACAAGCTGTAGTATACAAATGTAATGGAATGCTATTGTGCTAAAAGAAATGATGAGCAGGCAGATTTCAGAAAATCCTGGAAAGACTTGTACGAACTGATGCAAAGCGACATGAACAGAACCAGAAGAACACTGTACACGGTATCGGCCACACTGTGTGATGATCAACGATGCTCTTCTCAGCAACACAACAATCCAAGACAAGTACGAAGGACTCATGAAGGAAAACGCTGCCCACCCCCAGCTGAAGAACTGAGGGACTCTGAATGCAGATCCAAGCATATTTTTTTCACTTATTCTTTCTTGTGGTTTTTTTTTCCTTTTGATCTGCTTCTTTTACAACTGTGACTAATAGGGAATTTTTTTTTTACATGATAGCACACGTATAGGCTATATCAAACTGCCTAGCATTTTCAGGGGAGAGGAGGAGAGGGAAGGTGAGAGGAAAATTTGGCACTCAAAATCTTGTAAAAATGAATTTTTCTTGACATGCAAATGGAGGAAAATATAAAATACTATTAAAAGTAAATAAACAAATGTAAGCTCCTTGAGGGCAGGAACAGTTTCATTTTTGCCAAGGTCTCCCCAGTGCCTCATCCAAGAAGTGCTTTACAGATGCCTGACGGGCAGCCCTGCTGGGATATTCACAGTCACAAGTGTTAGCTGAACCAGGGTATACTTAGAATCATGGATTTAAGAACTGGAAGGAACTTTACAGGTCAGTTTGTCCAACCTCCTCATTTTACAGATGAAGAAACTGAGGCCCATGGAAGAAGCAGGTATCTGTATGAGCAGACAAAGTTCCCACACCACCCAAACCCCAGATCCCTGGACTGTGGTTCACTCATCCATTCACTCCACCAACATTGATTGAGCCCCTCTGGGGTGGGACACCGTGACACTGTCACCAGACACAGTGCTGGTGTCTGTATCGTCTCATGTGCCGTGTTGGTGGCACAGTGCATACTAGAAGTCAGGCCTGTTCCTGCATCCTAGCCTGTAAGCCCTCTCTTGAGATTTTTTATCACTCAACTGAGGTCAACAGCATATGAGTATTGTCTGAGTTTCATTCTCTCAAGAAATTAATTGGATTCAATGAGGATGAAATCAGTAATACCTATCTCCCAGGCTGTTGTGAGGACCAAATCAGACAACATTACCGTGCCTGGCACAGGGTAGGCACTTAATAAATGCTTGTTTCCTTCCCAAGGTCATACAGTTGACCTTGTAATGGGCAGAACCAGAGTTCAAATCCTGACCGACTGACTAGACTCTTTCCACTACACCTCACTGGAGCCAGACTGTGAGGGGGTTTAAATGCCAAAGAGAAGAGGGTGCAGGGTTTTTTTTCTTTTTTTATCTTAGCGGTAACAGGAAGCCACTGTCAATTCTTGAACAGGGAAATGGGAGTCAGATCTGGGCGACAGGAGTATTTTTTTGGCAGCTACACGAAAAACCAGTTAGAAAAGAGAGGATGTATAAGCAGACAGACCACTAAGAGCGTCTGTACCAGGTCAAACTAGGGTTTTCAGAGGGGTCTTTTGGATGCCCTAGATCCCCCCCACTTTAGCCTTCAGTCTGAACTCCTTCTCAGGGAACAGGATTAAAAAGGAAAGCTACTATGCTGAAATTCAGTTGCCAAGACATTTTTCAAGTGCACAGACCCCAGACCACCACTCTGGATGAAGTTGCAGGCACTTCTGGAAAAGACACTGATAGGATGACCACTTGCCCTTTCATATTTGCCCCAACGGCCTGAAAGACTCAATGCAGCTTCCCAGGGTGGCCAGTAGAATGTCCCACTGTGGTATGGACAGGACCCTGGGTTCTCACAGGCTATGCCAGTAGATGAGAAATCTCTAGTAAGTCTTACCCCATGCTGAAAAGGTTTCAAGGATAAGCCTCACGATGGATTGGACAGCAGCTGTCAAAGAACTAGCCTGGCAAAATTTGGAGAAGCTCAGCACCAAAAGGCTGGCCACCAGATGCTGAATTTTTTAATCTCTGCAAATCTTAAAGACCACTTACAAAGGTCTATCTCAGGGGTTCCTGACCTGGAGTCCACAGACCCTAAGGGATCCAGAGATGGATTTCAGGGGTCCATGAATTTCTATGTAAAAAAATTTAAACTACTAAATGTGTCCATAACACAAAAAAAGTTTCCAGGAGAAGTTCCCACAGTGCTGAAGCCATGGACCTTTTCGGCACTGATCTACTGTTCATTTATTCATATGACCAATATGTATTTATTGAGCATCTACTACGTACAGGGTAGAATCCCAAAACAGAATTCAGAAACAGAATTATATCCATAAATTGGATGGACTGAATCAGAAAACTTCTTTTCTACTTCATTTTTTTTAAAATACTCACTTGTAGGCGTTGTATGTTGTCAATTGCAAGAACCATCACTTCATCCTCTCGGAATACAACATCTACTTCCTGCTTTAACATGACAGCAGAATTCTTACATACTTTTCTTGTCTCCCAAAGCTGTTTAAAATAAATATGTGAATTTAATTAATAAACAGACAGATGAATGAATGAATGACTACATATATAAGTAAGCAAATAAGTAAATAAATAAGAGAGGAAGGGAAAGGAGGGGAGAGGAGAGAGAGAGTGAAGGTGGAGAAGGGGAGAGGACAGGTGAAGAGAAAGTGAGAAGGAAATAGAGAGAAAGGAAGGAAGGAGGGAAGGAAGAAAGGAAGGAAAGAAGAAAAAGAAAGAAAAAGAAAGAGAGAGAGAGAGAAAGAAAGAAAGAAAGAAAGAAAGAAAGAAAGAAAGAAAGAAAGAAAGAAAGAAAGAAAGAAAGAAAGGAAGAAAGAAAAAGAAAGAAAGAATTGCAAAGCAGAGGTAAACCCGGGTCTGTTTTCTGCATGAAGGACATCCCATAGAACCGGAAAAGGAAATAGATTGATCAAGTGGTGAGTGAGAAGTGATGAACGGCCCATGTGCCTGGTATCCAGGCAAAAACAAGAAAGGGGAAGCATGCTGGATAGACTGCTTCTCAAGGATTTATGGAAGGAAAGAGACAAGAATGATAATAGAGGATGAGAAGGTGGAAATAGGCTGAGATCCGCAAGTGTGAAAGGGCTACCCACATCATGAAGGATGGAGGTTACAGCTCCATCAGATATAGATCGTGTCTTCTACAGTCATGTAATAAGAAATGCTTAGTCTTTGATTATGGTACAAACAAGGCTTTCAAACTGTTTACTGAAAAGCAGGTCAACCCATCAGCTCTATGTCAGTAAACAATCAAAATGTTACCATTTGAAAATAATCAAATGAAACCATAGACCTCTGACTTAAACTCCAGAATCAGCTCTCACAAGCTCCAGAAATTCCAAGGGTGAAGTAATGACGATGGTTAATAATAACATCATTTATATAGCACCTCCTATGTGCCAGGCACCATGCTAAGCACTTGACAAATATCTTGTTTGAAAAACTGCTATATCCTTTAAGGGGAACATATCCCATGTCCCTCCTAAACCTTGCAAAAAATTTCAAAATCTTCACAACTGAGCCAAGCAAATGTATCTGATATATAGTTTTCAAGGTCCAAGTAAATACTCTGCTGTCTGCCCACTCCTGCAACACATGGCACCAGTTTCTCAGTTTGCAGGAAATGGCAGCCTCACAAATCTTCTAGAAACGAAAACCTGAGCTGACTCACCCTGATTGTCTGATCATCAGAAGACGTCAAAAACGAAGATCCGTCAGGAGAAAACGCCACACAGTGAACCCAACTCAGGTGTCCTTGGCAGTCCGCTACTTTTAAACCTGTATCTGTATTCCATAACTACAAGGCAAAGAAAGAGAGGCAGAGATGAGGAAGATAACCCAAGGAAGGAGCCCGTGCTGCCCCGATGATCTCCAGGGGCAGCAGAGATGTTTTCCGGGGGCAGACATTTCCCATGCTGTTCAGGCCTGCTCTCAGCATCTGCTTCCAGCTCCCTTTTGCTCTGGCTCATGTCTCCCTGAAAATTAATCATCTACACTCCAGCCTCATAAAATACCCTGTGCGGCACAGCTCCAATCATTAGAATTTGAATAACAGTCATGCTTCAGGGTTTCAGAACTTGCATGGATTTAATTAAAAAAAAAAAAGAGGGCTTTTTCCATGTTCTTCACTCAGCAAGTTCTGTAGGACTCAGTATAAAATTTTTCCCTGTGTTATGCCAGTCTGAGACAGCATGATGATGAGGATAACAATAAGAAGAAAGACAGCTTATATTTATATAGCACTTTAAAGTCTGTAAAACACTTTACAGATATTATCTCATTTGATCCTCAGAACAACCCTGGGAGGTAGGCGCTATTATTATCCCCACTGTACAAAGACACCGAGGCAGAGGTCAAGTGACTTACAAAGGGTCACAAAGCTATCAAGTGTCAGAGGCAGGATCTGACCTCACATCTTCCTTGCTCCAAGTCCACCCTCATGCACACCATCACCTTAAAGTAACAGGATTCCTCTCATAATCCAAAGATCTCCTTTAAAATACTGCTTATGCTCCTTTTGGTCTTACTTGTAACCCAGCAGAACAAGAAGGGCCCAATTTTTCGTGCAGAGCGACCCTTAGCTTCTCTGAAAGCTTGAAAGATCCCTCCAGAGGGAGGAGGAGGGAGGACTCACAGTCAAGTTGGGGAGTTTGAGAAGAGACAGCAGCCGTATTTTAACCATCCAATCAATCAACCAAGAAGCACGTATTCACTGACTGCTATGTGCCAGTCTCTGTATTACCTGCCAGGACACAGACAAAAATCAAAATATCTGCCCAAAAGGAATTTACGTCTTATCGGGAGGAACAATACAGAAAAGCACCCAGCACCTGGCAAGCACTCAAATGCTCTGTCTCTATCTCGCCATCTATCTCTCTATCAACCTCTCTGTCTACCTTCCTATCTGCCCGTTCATTCCTCCATCTAGGTATAAGGGATAAGGACTGAAGCTATGATTTCCTGGTGGGGACCTAGTCCAAACCCCCCAACAAACCTCAGGGAGGCAGGCACATCAGCAGCAGCTGGCTTAGATATCGATGCCCAGGGAAGACTGTGGGTTAGCCATGATGGCTCGCATTTCAAGAGGGCTTTCAGCCTGACCAATGCTTTCCACATAAGAACCCTGGGAGGCAGGTCGCCCAACAGCCTCATGCCCATTTCCCAGATGTGCTTCTGACTCCACCCCCTTCGCCAGCACAACTCAGCAGCCTTCCCACTCTGAGCAGCCCTCCACCACACCAGTCCCCTTCTCCAACCAGCTCCTTCTGGGGCCTCCATTTTAGGGATGGATCCAAGCTGGACGTGTTTCATTCCCCTCCTGACTAGGCTTCTGACTCTCCTAGACTTTGCTACCATGCCCTGGTATGTTCCTCCACGTTCCCCTCCCCTTACATTTCAGCTCCTTTATCTTCTTATATCTCCAAGCATTAGAGGATAAGCTCCTTATGGGCAAGGACGGTCTTTCTTTTGGTTTATATTTACCTCCCCAGCACTTAGCCCAGTGTCTAGCATACAGTAAGTGTTTAACAAATGCTCATTGCCTGCCTGCCAGATGAGCAAGCCGATGACCTGAGAGCTTGTGTTTTGGCACACATGCAGAAAGCAGAGCTGGGATTGAAGCCTGCCCCCCAAATCTTCTGACTCCAACTCCTCTAGCGTTCTCCCCAGTACCAAGCCGCCTAGGTCTTGATGCAAAGCCGGTGCCCTCACCATAGGAGAGTCTTCCCAAGGATATCACTCATGCTTTCCTAGGCAATACCTGAGCTTCGTGGCACCTGCCTGATCTCACATTCTCATTCTCATATGTTCATTCTCATGAGGAAAAACTCTTTAAGCAGGTGCCACGTACGCTCCTCCAGAGCCGAGGGCTCTTGGGCCTTACTTCTCCCTCTCAGCAGATCCTCCCAGAGCTCACTGACATCACTGACTGAAGAAGAGCTTCCCGCAGCATCAGGTCACTGGGAAGGGCCAACTGTAACTTGAACCTCACGGGAAGGCTCCATGCTGGCCTGGGACCAGCCCAAGGCCATGAACAACATCAGAAAGTGGCAGCAGCTAGGCACAAGAGACAAGACCATGGACTTGGAGACACAAAGCACAGAGAGTCTGAGGTTGGCCTCAGACACGCATGAGCCATGGGTCCCTGGGCACACAGGGTCACTGTCCCTGAGCCTCAGTTTCTCTGTCTTCAAAATGAAAGGAACATCACTTGCCATCCAGAGTTGTGAGAACTGGATCAAGACACAAATGCAAAGCGCTTTGCAAACCAAAAAGCACAACATAAATGCCAGCAATGATGATGAACAAGGAAAGCAGGGGCGAGATGAGGACCTAGGGCCACCATAAATGCTAGCGATAATGACGATGATAATAACAAGGAAAGCAGGGCCGAGATGAGGACCTAGGGCCGCCATAAATGCTAGCGACAATGACGATGACAATAACAAAGAAGGCAGGGCCAAGATGAGGACCTAGGGCCACCATAAAAATGCTAGCGACAATGACGATGATAATAACAAGGAAAGCAGGGCCGAGATGAGGACCTAGGGCCACCATAAATGCTAGCGATAATGACGATGGAATAACAAGGAAAGCAGGGCCGAGATGAGGACCTAGGGCCGCCATAAATGCTAGCGACAACGACGATGACAATAACAAACAAAGAAGGCAGGGCCGAGATGAGGACATGATGCTGCCATAAATGGTAGCGACAATGACGAGAAGCAGAGCAGGGCAGCAGGGGCTGTGGCGGCCGTGGCAGCTGCAGGCTACACAAAGCTAAGCTTGCTCGCTGTCAAGCACAGACAATTCCACTGCGAGCTGAGAATAGGCAGCAGTAACAGAACAGTTCTCTAGAGCAGGGCTAAGAGTCCACCTTCATGGACATAATGTCCTCTCAATGGCCTGGAGGCAGCCACTATCCTTGGTACCTGCACACCCTTCTCTCCTAGTGAACCCAAATGGGGTCATGAACAGTTGGACACGACTGAAATGACTGAACAACAACAGTCTCACACACATACATACACACACACACACACACACACACACACACACACACACACACACTCACTCTATAAACCTTACAGCATTATAAAAATGTAAGCTATTGTTGCTATTAAATGGGAAAATTTTTCCAGTTTCCCAAGCCTGAAATACCCTAGTAACTGGAATTTCTTCACTTCAAATTTCCACTCAGTCACAGCAGGCCCTAATTAGGGAGGACCAGGGGGAAAATGCAGTCATTTCCATCAATAATTTTTTTTAAACAAAGAGAAGAAAATTCAAATGTCTGAAGGGGACATAAACAGCATAGTCTTGTTGCCCCCTTGTTAAATTAATGCACATTTTGAAAACAAATTGTAGATAATCTAATGGCCTTTTGTCAGTCCTCATCCTTTCTGACCTCTCTGCAGCCTCTGACACTGCTGCCTGCTCTCTCCTCCTAGATTCTCTCATTTCTCTGGGTTTTCATGACATCATTCCTCCTCAGTTCTAGGTGCCACCATAGGGGATACAGCTCTGGTCTTGGAGTGAGGGAGACCTCAGTTCATATCTGGTCTCAGACACTTACTAGATGTGTGACCCTAGGCAAATCACTTAACAACCTCTGTCAGCCTCAGTTTCTACAACTGTAAAATGAAGATAATAACAGCACCTATTTCATAAGGTTGTTGTAAGAATTAAAGGATACACGAATCACTTTGCAAACCTTAAAGTGCTATAGAAATTCTAATTATTGATTAACTGTCAGTTTCCTTTGCTAGCCCTTCCTCTTTGGTTGTCCCCCAAGGGTCTGCCCCAGGCCTTCTTCTCTCCTCCCTCTACACCACCTTGAAGAACGATCTCATCAGCTTCAATGGGATCAATGATCATTGTGCAGGGGATTCTTAGTTCTAGGCCAGCCCTAACCTCTCTTCCGAGTTCTAGTCCTGAGTCACCAATTGCCTAGGGGATGTCTCATATGTCCTGCATATCCTACAGACCTCTCAAAATCGACATTTCTGAAATAAAGTTCCCCCGCTGTCCTTCCCCCGAACTGCCTTCTTCTCGATGCCCCCATTACCACTGACAGTAGTCAATGAAACCACTATCCTCCCAGTCACTCAGGCTGGCCACCTTGGCGGATCTTGACAATCCTCTCCCATTCATTCTTGTCCTTCCTACCTTCACAACCTCTCTCAAAAACACCCCCTCCTCTCTGACATCACGGCTCCCACCCTGGTGCAGGCCTTCACCCCCTCACACCTAAACTACTGCAATAACCTGCTGGTGAGTCAGCCTACTCTGAATCTCTCCCCAATTCCTCCTCCATTAATCCACCAAAGCAATCTTCCTACAGCAGCAGTCTGATTATGTCACCTCCTGCTCAACAAACCCCCATGGCTATCATTTCCAGAGCAGAGGCTGTTCTTTGCCTTTCTTTGTAACCCCAATGCTGAACACTGTCTAGCACACAGCAGGTGCTTAACAAATGCACGGTGGTATGATCTGGCTTGATGACCCTCCATCTCCCAACTCTGCATGGTTGTCCTCCCCCTGGAACGCTCCCCCTCCCTGCCTCCACTTCCTGATTTCCCCAGCTTCTTTCAAAGTTTCAATTGAATCTGGTGTTCCATGGGAGGCCTTTCCAGCTCCTGCACTACCACTGGTGCCCTCCCTCTGAGGGCACCCCTCATTTACACCATGTATAACTTCTAAGTACAATTTGTTGCATGCTTCTCCCCCTTAGAACGTGAGCTTCTTGAAGACAGAGGGGCGGGGGGGTGGTTGATTTTCTTTGTATCTCCAATACTTAGCACAGTGGCTGGCCACAGCAAGCATTTAACAGACACTTGCTCACTAACTGAAGCTCATGGTTTCCTATAGAATCCTCCTTTTTTGTCTGTTACATTCCTACGTCATCCCCTTCATATGCTGTAGTATTTGTATTTGCAGATGACTGGTAGGGGCAAGAGAAAAGAAAAAAATCCTGGGCAGTCTTTGGGCTGTGACAATGGCAAGAAATTCATTCTTGTTTCAAGAAAGAAGCAGAACAGCTCAGCAGGCAGGTCTGGCCACAAGGCAGCTTGGGCTCAGGGCCCTGCCAGGCGCTCTTGAAAGCGCAGCCCTCAGGAGGCACAAAGCCCAGAAACAGATGCCAAGGCCCCTCCCTTCTGCCCATTCCCATTCTGGAGCTCTGCCTTGCCTGCCCTTCTTGGCCACCCAGGAAATCTGAAGGGGGACTCATGAGTCTTTACTTCTCTCCTTGAAGCACTGACCTAGACTTACATTATTTAATCAAAACTACGCTTTGTTCTATGGAGAGGAGCTGGCAGAGCCCTTCTCCCCATAAGGCTGAACTTGAAGTTTTAAACCCAACAGGCCTTGCAGTTCAAGAAACGACCACCACCGGGCTTTAGCTGCGGATAAACCAACCTCTTCACTTCCTCTCAAGCACATGGAGGGCCACTAACAACTTAGACTCCTCTTATGCAGTCAAAAGAAGTCCCTGAAGTGCCTACTGTGTGCTGGCGACTGGACTAGGTCCAGGACATACAGAGACAAAAGTGAAAAATGGTCCCCATGCTCACAAAGTTTATATTCGACAAAAAGGCTGGGAGGTCTTTGGTGAGGGAAGAAGGGCACCGCATGTATCTCTCATTCCCCTCACCTGCAGGGAAAATGAAAAATGCCTGAAAGACCAATTTGCTTCCAGGCGCAACGTGGCTGCAAGCGTTCATAACTGATTTTGGCCCTTCGGTTCCCACGAGGCCCTTCATGTTCTCCTCCAAAGGGGAGGGAAGGGATTCTCAGTCAGGGGTCAAACCTTCCCACCCACAGGCGGCATGGATACAGTGTATAAAGTGCTAGGCCTGGAGTCAGAAGGACTTGAATTCGAATCTCCCCTCAGATATATATTGGTGTGACCCTACGCAAGTCACTTAACTTCTCTCAGACTCAATTTCCCCATCTAAAAGGTGAGGGATGAGGACTCAATGACCTCTCAGGTCCAGCTATAGAACTACAATCCTGTCTGTCCATCCAGCCCGAGGGGAGAAGGCTCCACACATTCAACGGATTCGACGACTCACCTCCACACAGTAGTGGGACAGAGCTACCACAGCGAGGTGACTCTTGGGAAAGAAATCGCAGTACCGGATGGTGCTGCTGTGACCAGTGTGGATGTCTCCTACCAGGTTCCTGCTATGACGTCAAAAACCTGCAAATAAATGACAAAGCAAGATTCATGCAGGGGATGCGATTGTGTTCAAGCAAAATGAGAACTCATCATCTGCCTTCACTTCAAATACACAAAGGGAGATACCACGCAGCCAAAATGCCACCTCACATGTACCATCTCCTTGACGTTGCCCAGGCTGGCCCTCTCATCTTTGAAGCCTCAGCTCCGGCCCTCCTTTCACAGAAAGAGGCCTTCCCAATCACCCTAGGCACTAGGCCTCTCCCCTGTCCCCTCCCTAAAATTACTCGTGTAAAGACTGTGTATTTACTTCTCTGTGGACAGCACAGCATTTCCCTCCTGTAGAATGCAAGCTCTTTGAAGGCATGGGCTGTTTTACATTCCCCACTGTATCCCCAGTGCCTGGCGTGAGGTAGGCGCCTAATAAATGCTTGTTGGTCAAGTGATATCCCCAGTGCCTAGCAGTCCCTGACACATAACAGGTGTTTAATAAATGCTTGCTTAATCAAAACGTCCACAATTATCATTATTAAAACTACTGACCACTACATTTAAAAGGAATGAATTCCTTTACTCATTCAACAAGTATTTATTATGTGCCTACCACACTAGGCACTGGGAATACAAAGACAAAAATGCTTCCAGCATGAAAAATAAAAGGTTCTGTTTGACATTCAAAGCCCTTCCTAAGCCAGCCCCCTCCCACCTTGCCAGTCCTTACACCTCACTCCCCAGTACATGTTCTTTGATCCAGTGACACTAGCCTCCTGGCCATCCCACAAACGAACCTCCATCTCTCAGTTCCATGCTGTCTCCCATGCCTGGAAGGCTCTCCCTCCTCTGCTCCTACTGACTTCTCTGGCTTCCTTTAAATTCCAACGAAAATCCCATTTTCTACGGGGAGCCTTCCCCAATCCCTCTTAATTCCAGTGCCTTCTGTCTGTTAATTATTTCCTATTTATCCTGGATCACTGCCTTGTCATGGCAGAGGGGCTTACATAGCTCAATGAAACCATGACACGCCGTGCAGGGTTACCAAAGACGTTCACATCATAGTGGAGAGTCTGACAAAAGGTGACCCACTGGAGAAGGGAATGGCAAAGCACTCCAGTATTTCTGCCAAGAAAACTCCATGGACAGTATTAAAATGATAAAAGAGATGACACCAGAAGAAGAGCCCCTCAGGTCAGAAGGTGTCCAACACGCTACTGGGGAAGAGCAGAGGAAACCACAAGTACCCCTGGTACTAATGAAGCGGCTGGGCCAAACCCAAAAGGAAGCTCAGCTGTGGATCCATCTGGTGACAAAAGGAAATTCCCATGCTACGAAGATCAGTAGTGCATAGGAACCTGGAGTGTAAGATCTATGAACCAAGGTAAACTGGATGTGGTCAAACTGGAGGTGGGAAGATTAAATATAAACATCTTGGGTGTCAGTGAACTTAAAATGGACAGGAATGAATGAATTTAATTCAGGTAATCACTACATATATTACGGTTAGAAAGAATCCCTTAGAAGAAATGGAGCAGCCCTCACAGTCAATAAAAGGGTGAGAAAAGCAGTACTGGAGTATAATCTCAAAAGTGACTGAATGAGATCTGTCTGAATCCAAGGCAAACCAGTCAACATCACAGTTATACAAGTCTATGCTCCAACCACTGATGCTGAAGAGGCCAAAGTTAATCAGTTCCATGAAGACCTGAGACATCTTCTAGAAATGACAACAAAAGATGTCACCTTCATCACAGAGGACTGGAATATTAAAGTAGGAAATCAAAAGATAACTGGAATAACAGGAAAGTGTGGTCTTGGAGTGCAAAATGAAGCAGGGCAGAAGCTAATAGAGTTTGGTCAGGATAACTCGCTGCTCATAGCAAACATTCTTTTTCAACAACCCTAAAGATACCTCTACACATGGACATCAGCAGACAGTCAACACCAAAATCAGACTGATTGTGTATTTTGAGCCAAAGGTAGAGAAGCTCTACACAGTCAGTTAAAACAAGACCTGGTACTGACTGCGGCTCAGATCACAAGCTTCTTATTGCAAAAATCAGATTTAAGTTGAAAAAGGTAGGGAAGATCATCAGGCCTATACGTATGACCTAAATGGCATTCCTTATGAACATAAAGTAGAGGTGATGAAAATATTTAAGAGATTAGATCTGAAGACAAAGGTTTGCAATACTGTAAAGAAGGTAGCAACAAAAAACATTCCAAAGAAAAAGAAGAGCAAGAAAGCAAAATGGTTGCCTTACAAACAGCCGAGAAAAGAAGGAAAGGAAGGGAAAGGGAAAGGAGAAAGGGAAACATACACCCAGCTGAATACAGAATTCCAGAGAATAACAAGAAGAGATAAAAAGGTTTTCCTAAATGAGCAATGCAAAGAAATAGAAGAAAACAACAGAATGAGAAAGACAAGAGAGCTCTTCAAGAAAATTAGAGCTATCAAGGGAATGTTTCATGTAAAAATGGGCGCAATATAAGATAATATCATAGGGACTTTACAGAAGCAGATGAGATTAAGAAGAGGTAGCAAGAAAATACAGAAGAATCATACAGGAAAGATCTTAACTTCATTAATAACCATAACAGTGTGGTTATTGACCTGCAGCCAGAGATCCTGGAGAACGAAGTCAAGTGGGCCGTAGGAGGTACTACTAATAATAAAGCTAGTGCAGGTGGTGGAATTCCAGATGAGGTATTTAAATCCAAAAAGCTGATGCTGTTAAAGTGCTGCACTCAATATGCCAGCAAATTTAGAAAACTCAACAGTGGCCATTTTTTAAAATTTAAATTAAGTTCTGAGAATATGTATACTCAATTTTAAAAAATCTTAGTCAAAATGGTCAATTAGTCTTATGGATTGGAAAAGATCAGTTTACATCTCAATGCTAAAGAAGGGCAATGCTGAAGAATGTTCAAGTTATCACACAGCAGCAAGATTATATTTAAGATTCTGCAAGCTAGGTTTCAGTAATAAGTGACCTGAGAATTACCAGAAGGGCAGGCTGGTTTTTGAAGAGGCAGAGGAATTGGAGACCAAATTGCCAACATATGCTGGATTTCGGAAAAAGCAAGGGCATTCCAGAAAAACTTCTGCTCCATTCAATACACTAAAGCCTTTGACTGTGTGGATCACAACAAAATGTGGCACGTCCTCAAAGAGATGGGAGTATTGTATCATCTTACTTGTCTCCCAGGAATCTGTTTGTGGGTCAAGAAGCAAGAGTTAGAACCAAATATGGAATAAATGATTAGATTAAGATTGGAAAAGGAGGATGACAAGGCTGTATATTATCACTTTATTTAACTTATATGCAGAGTAAATCATGCAAAATGCCAGGCTGGATGAATCAAAGCAGGAACTAAGGTTGCCAGGAGAAATATCAACAATCTCAGATATGTCGATATCACTCTGATAGCAGAAAGTGAAGAGGAATTAGGAAGCCCCTTGATAAGGGTAAAAGAGGAGGGTATAGAAGCAGGCTTGAAGCTTAACATCCAAAAAATTAAGATCTTGGCAACTGGTCCCCTTACTTTCCGGCAAACAGAGGGAGAAGAAATGGAAGCAGCATCAGATTTTATATTCTTGGGCTCAAAGATCACTGAAGATGACAACTGCAGCCATGAAATTAAAAGATGCCTGCTTCTCAGAAGAAAAGCTATGGCAAATCTGGACAGCATAGTAAAAAGCAGAGACATCACCTTGCTGACAAAGATTTCAATAGTCAAATCTATGGTTTTTCCAATAGCAATGTATGGTTGCAAGAGTCAGACCATAAGGAAAGCCGAGCGCCACAGAATGACCACTTTTGAATTCTGGTACTGAAGATGACTTTTGAGAGCTGTTTGGAGAGCAAGGAGATCAAATTAGACGATACTTAAAGAAATTAACTCAGGCTCTTCAGTGGAAGGTCAAATACTAAAGCTCAAGTTTAAATACTATGGCCACAAAATGAGAAGATCAGGTTCACTGGAAAAGACCCTGATGTTAGGAAAGATTGAAGGCAAAAGGAAAAGGGAACAGCAGAAGATGAGATGGATAGATAGTATCATGGAAACAATGAAATTGGACAGCCTGGACGTGAATCTGGACAGACTTCAAGAGACAGTGGAGGACAGAAGGGCCTGGCATGCTATGGTCCGTGGCATCACAGAATCAGAGAAAACTGAATGACTGAACACCAGCACTGATCCTCTATACAGCTTGCTTTGTACATATTTGTGTGCTTGGTGCATCTCCCATGGGCAAGGACTGTCATTTGTCCTTTTCTGGATCCACAGGACTTAGCACAATGCCTGGATGGCACATTTTGTGGTTATTCAGTCATTTTCAGTCACGTCTGAACCTCGTGACCCCATTCGGGGTTTTCTTGGCAAAGAAACTGGAGGGCACAAAGCGGGTGCTTAATAATATGATTGATTGACTAACTGAAACATATTGAAACAGACTGACTGAAACCTCAAGAAGCTTCTATTCTATCAGAGAACAGAGAGCATTCAGAATCAACACATACACAGAAAAGTAAGTCCAAACAATACACAAAGCCATTACCAAGTAACTTCTGGAGCACAGGACACTAGTACCTGGGGAGATCAGGACAGGCTTCCTGTAGGAGGCTGTGCTGGAGCTGGGTTTGCAGGCATCTAGGGGGTCTATGAAGTATTTTTAACACTGGCTGAACCACCCACCTTCAGGCAAATGCGCAGTCCTTTCAATAATCCTAAACTACTCTTCATAGCCCATTTCTTTAACATGCCCCCACTCTCTGACTTCAAAGCACAGACCATGAATTTGGAAAAATTTAAATCATGAGTAACTTAAAGGGTGAAAGACAGATGCAAGGTGAACTCTAAGCAGTTTGGTGCCATGAAGGTCCCCCAAGAAGTGGTGAAAAAGACATCATCTGACCACAGTAATATAAAAGAGAATATTGTCAAAAGAATTCAAAACCCTGAACAATAAATAAGGTGAGGAATTGTGACTTCAGGGCACAGGCAGTGAAGCCTGCTTCCTACCTCTCCAGCCAGAGGTGAGGGACTGCAGGTGCAGAATGAGGTATACGTTCTTAAATATGGCCAAAGTGTCTATCTTGTTTGACTGTAGCTCTTTGTTTTGAGAGAAAATTCTTTTGTGAGTAAGCAGTGCCAGGAAGGCAACCGTGCTGTTTTTTAAAAAAAGAGAATCAATAACTTTTTAAAAGGGGGTGAGATAAGACAAAATCCCATTAAGGACACATAGCCAGAAGAGCATGGTCATGAGCTGTGCAGGAGGAAACCAGAAAGAGGCAGCCCAAGGTGACCACTGGCACTTCTGAGATATTCCAAAGCCAGAGGAAGGCCTCTGGGGAGTCAAGCGGAGCCTCTGGAAGGGATGTGTGCAGAGCTCCAGATGAAGACCAAACAGGATGAGAACGTCTGAAGGGGCTGCGATCTATACGGGGAACAGCGAGATCACAGGCAATCAGCGCGAGTCTGCTGTGTGCCGATTTATCCCAAAGACTGAAAGCGTCACAGCGAGTGAAGACTTCTGCAATGATGCCGAGCAAAAACTGCAAAAAGACAATTAATTCAACCATTTTTAGTCTGTCGTTAAAGCAAAGAAACGACTTCAGTGTGACCAAGACATTTCCCCATGGGAAAACTGAAAAACAAACTATTTTTGACTTATTCACACTTCCTTTCACTATCTAAGAAGTTTCTAAGCCACTGCATATATTCTTTCAGGACTTCTTTTTAAAGCAGTAAAAATACTTTATACCTGGATGGCAAATGAGGACTGAACTGCAGTCCTCAGGGGGAAAGAAATTCAGGCCCATATTGGTAACTGGGAGCCACAACATGATTATATTCCTGAAAGCATCCCAGGTATTTATCTATTCCTGCAAAAGGAGAGAGGTAGTGAATGTATCCCTGAGATAGGAGGCAAATCTTGCAAAGACCAGACAATGCCACAAAGAGGCTGCCTGGAGGATCGTGGGAGCTGAAATATTTTCAAGAATAGACGATTCCTGAAAATTACCTTCTGAAAATGAGGACAGGTGGGGAGAGAAGACCAGCTGCAGCCATCCCCATTGCCTGGGCAGTGAGGAAAGAGGCCCCATGTCAGGAGCAAGGCGACAGCCCGGAGGGCTGTGGTAAAGGAGGCAAGCGCAGGAATGAGGACTCGAGGAAGGAAAGGCCAACCGAACAAGAGAAAATCAGAGCTCCCACGGCGCTGAGGGCAACCCTAGGAAAGGATCTGAAAATAAGGACTAATTTCCTTTCATTCATGCATTTCCTCAATAGCTTTGATCTAACATAGAAAATGAGGCACAAGGATTTCAGAAGCAGGAAAGGCGGTTCATGTTTAATAAGAAATGGTATGTTTCTATTACACTTTAAGGTTTGCAAAGCCTTTTGCCTACACTATTGCATCTGTAGCTTCCCATACATCACCCGCTATTACTGATGACAACAATAACGTCAGAGACAATGTGGAAGAGCAAGGAGCCAGTTTTTGAGAGACACTGGATAAAGAACCAGCCTCACAGCCAGAAGTCCCAGGTTCAAGTCCTGCCTTGCCACTTTCTGGCTGTGTGGCCGGGCCAAGTCCCTTAAGCTCTAAGTGACCCAGGCCACCCTCTAAGTTGCAGCAAAGGTGCTGACCCACCGTGGAGGAGGGCGCTTCCTCACACAGGAGTTCCCCGTACCAGGGAAGTCCCAGTTACAGGACCATCCTGACCCTAATATCACAGGTGACACGTACAAAGGAATTTATCATCTCGTTCAGGACAACCTTCTGAGATCTTATTACTCCCATTCTGGAGATGAAAAAACTGAGGTTCACAGAGCTGAAACGACTTGCCTACAGTCACAGAAGTAACGACAAGACCAGGATTTTGAACCCAGACTCCTCTGACTTCAAACCCACTATGCTCTTTCTACTGCATGCCACAGCCACCCCCTTTTTTCACTTCATATTCTCTCCCAAACTTACTCAGTCTTCAGTGACCAACAAGAATTTCATGAAGTCACAGAATCACATTAGGGCTGGAAGGAACTTCTAAGCAATAGTCATCACGATGATGATGATAGCATTCACATAGCGCTTTAAGGTTTGCAAAGCACTTTACAAATATTATTTCATCTGATCTTCACAACAACCCTGGAGGCATATGCTATGATCATCCCCATCTTAGAGAAAAGGGAAGTAAGGCCCAGAGAGGCTTAGTCATTTGCCCTAGGTTACAGCGGTTGGGAACATCGAAGCCAGATTTGAACTCAGGTCTTCCTGACTCAAGGCCCAGTGCTCCATCCACTGAACCACCTGCCCCCTCACATAATCTTGTCATCTCCTCCCACCCATTTTAGGGATGAGGACACTGAGGCCCAGGATGAGTGATTTGGCCAATATCACACAACTACTTTTCCTTATTTAACTGTGTCCAAGAATATCTATACATACTTTGGAATAAAGAAAAGCCACCCACATCTACCTTTCAGCAATGAGAAGGAAAACACTCCTACTCATCACATCACACGTCCATACGTACTAAAAGCCTGTTGACGGCGGCTGCCATCACTCGCGCCCCATCGCTGGACCAGGAGCAACATTTCACCATCAGGTCCGCGTCTTCCTGAAGCCCGTCAGAACTCAGGAAGTGCTGCCGGACATCAATGGTGCTCCATTCGTTGGCCGAACTCACATCCCAAAGCTGCAATTTAAAAAAAGGAACAAATCAAATTTCTAACAACTCAACCTCACACAACCATGATCCCTAAGGAATTTTTTTTCTAGGTGAAGCGCTACTTTTTATTAGATTTTTCATTAAAGTTTCCATTTTCATCTTTTCTGAAAGCAAAACAGCAGAAGCAGGGTCAACAACTGGAAATGCATCAACACAGGAGGGGAGGCGTGGCTGGAATCGTCAGCACCTTCTCTGAACCTAAGAGTCTTACAGAGCTGCCTAGGGCACTAATAGAGCTGGTGACCCACCCAGGGACACAATGCACACGCTGTGTGTCAGAGGCAAGCCTTAATCCCAGCTCTCCTGGCTTCCAGGCCGGCTCTCTAGTCACTAGACTTTCCTGCCTCCCAACAAGCAGGATGTAAATGGAAACAAAGGGGCAGCGAGGTGGCACTGCAGTGCACAAAGTGCTAGGCCTGCAGTGAGGAAGACCTGAACTCATTCTAGCTGTATGACCCTGGCCAAGTCACTTAACCCTGTTTGTCTCAGTTTCTCATCTGTAAAATGAGATGAAGAAAGAAATGACAAACCACTCCGGTGTCTTTGCCAAGAAAACCCCAAATGGAGTCATGAAGAGTCGGACACAACTAAAAAATGACTAAACAATAAAATATGAATAAAATGTCCAGATAATCATGTGGATTTTTAAAAGTACAAATCCACCCATCACTTACTTGCAGCAGAACAAGTTAAAGCCTGGGTGGTGACAAATGAGGCCTTTTGCGGAGTGCAGATACATAATTTCAGTGGCTGGTGTGTTTCAGTCTTTGCACTGCACTGTCAGCATCTCAGACAGTGCCCAGCACAATGCACAGCCTTAACTGCTTAATGATACAAGAACACAACAAAACATGCGATAAGGGGACACAATGCACAAAAGAGAAAAGTGAGTGACGGCGAGTGGGTGGATGATGAGAGACCCACAGAGCTGATTCCAGAGCACTAAGCCAGAGAACCCAAGAACACCTGAGCTGTGGCACCTGACGACAAGGCAGCCAGGATTTTCTCCATCCTACCCTGACATTGCTAAGGAAATCTGTTCCTTGAGTCGTAAGCCAGATGCCAGACTAAGAATCAGAGAGACCTGGGTTCACATCCCACCTCAGCTACTTCCAGCCATGTGACACTGGACAACTGTGCCTCAGTTTCTTCCTGGGCTTGAAGGCCTCTACAATCTGTGATCTTAGACAAATCACTTAACCTTTCTGGGCCTGTTTCCTCCTCTGTAAAATGGGGCCAGCAATACCCATAACACCTACCTCACCTCCCAAATTGTAAAGCGCTCCATAAACATCCGGTACTGTTTTTCAGCTGGCACCATGCCAGCTTCTGAGGAACAGTACTTCCAGGAGATGGGCAAAGGCCACCCTGATCCAAAAGATTGGACCCTAACGTTAGACGCTGAGGAATCTGGACTGCCATGGAGAGCCTGGGGGACCCTCCCCCCAGGGCCACACACTCATTTTAATGGGCACGGTTTGGAGTATCTCAGATGTATGGGCAGACACTGACACACACACCTTTCAGGATAGCTAAGGACAAAGCTTCCTCTCCCCTGGTACCCTTGCAATAAGAAAAAAAGGGAGCTCCAAAGGAGCTCAGCAGCCAGTGAAGAGAAGGTCCTCGCCACTTAAGTGTCTAGGGAGGAAGATGAGACTTGGTCTTGTGACTCCTGGAGAGAGAAGGCCCAGGATTGCTGCCTGGAAGCTGCAGACAGCCAGGATGTAGGCTTCGTGTCAGGACGGTGCAGCCCAGAAAGTGGAACGGGCTGCTGGAGAGGCCGTCCAGCGGAGGCCATAGGGATGACCAGATGTTACAGAGAAGGCTCTGGGTCAGATGCAGCCTTCACTAAGTGATGCCTGAGGTCCCTGCTGCTCGGACGTTCCGTAATTTCTAACATTAGAATGGCTGCACACGACTCCTCCTCTGGGTCTACCATCAAATCAATGATCACAGGATTGTAGATTTAGAAATGAAAGAGACCTCAAGAGGCCATCTAATCCCCCACCCCCATTTTATAGATATGGAAACTGAGGCCCAAGGAGGCCAAGTCACTTGCCCAAGGTCACACAGGGAGTGAAGAGGAGGGATGGGACACAAACCCTGGTCTTCTGTCCCGACACCAGCTTCCACAGTATTGTACTTCCTGGTACACAACTCATTTTGATAAGATTTATCATCAGAAACTGTAGAATAAACATGATGTAGTGGAAAGAGCAATGGCTTACAAGTCAGAGGACCTGGGTTTGAATCTCATCACAGATTCTTAGAATCTCACCCCATGTGACCTTGGGACAATCACTGGGGACCCCAGGATGTAGGAAACAAGGACTGGACTGCGCAGGACAGGATGCCTCCGACGCTCCTATCAGTTCTAAGCCCATGACTCTCAACACTCTTAGACTTACCACAGGGATCTACCCAACATACTTCCACAATGCTTGGCACATCTGAATTTTTCAGAGGAGAACTGGTAGTGGGGGGTAGGGGGTGTTATTAGTCAAAGGTTTCAGAGGACTCTGTAAAGATTATCAGACATCATTTTATAAAGGACATTCACATGGAGAAACCCCAGTGGCAGTGCCTGGCGGAGCCTATGGGGCCCTTTCCCAGAATGTTTTTAAATGCTCAAAATAATATACATAGGATGACAAAGGAAACCAACTGTCCTGAAGTGCAGTTATCAAAATATTTAAAAAAACAAGTTTGGAGACTCCAGGTGAAAACCCTGATCTAATCAAACTGAATCATTTTACAAATGATGAACCTAGGAGAAGGCAGGTGAGAGAATATCAGATGGATGGATGGATGGATGGATGGATGGATGGATGGATGGATGGATGGATAAACAGATAGAAAGATAGAAAAATAGACAGATAGACAAATAGATAGACAGAGAGAGAGACAGATAGACAGATATAGCAAGCATTTGTTAAGAGCTTAAGCTATGTGCCAGGTACCATCATAAGCACCAGGGAGACAAATACAGGCAAGAAAACAGTCCCTGCCCTCAAGAAGTTTACTTTCTAAAGAGAAAGACAAGACCTGAAGGGGGCTGCCAAGCAGGGCTGGAATGAGGAGAGGGCACCTGAACCAAGGCCAGGCTCTCATCAAGGAGATAGAGAAATCCAGTCAAGCCTCTAGTGACACAGCCTGGCTGGCACCTGACCACCCTCAGAGCGGGCCTGAGAGCAGAGACGGATGCAGAGGGGGTGGATGGGAAGAGAGGAAGAGCAGAAATCTTTTTAGATACGGGTGAGCCAGGGTCTCAAGAAGCAAACAAGGCATTACCTGCCCTCCAAAGGAGCTTACATTCTTATGGGAGGGACAACTCCTCATGGAGGGGAGGTCAAAGGGAGGCAGAAGTACATAAGGAGAAGTCATTTTCCTGCAGCCAAAGATCCATGGGTCAGAACAAGCAAAAGCCAAGCTGGCCACAAAATGTGTCAGAGAGGGAGAACCAGGATGTCCTACCAGAACCTGTCCAGGCGGGGCTTTCTTCAAGGCCCAGCTCCAATGCCACCTTCTCTGGGAAGCCCTCCCTGATTCCCCTGGCAGATCACAGGATCTCACATCTATGGTCAGGTCACAAATAAGCCCCAGAGAGCAGGGAGGGTTTTCTTTTTGTCTGTGTACCCCCAACACCAGGCTCAGGGCCCTGCATGAAGCAGGGCTTCAACAAATGCCTGCTGAACTGAACTGAATTAAACAGGTAAATTATATGATGAAAATGGCACCGAAGGGAAATTGCTTTAGCGGCTCTGAGGCCTGGAAAGAACAAAGACTAGGAGGGAAAAGGACCATCTTAAGAAGCTGTCCACAGGCATTAAAGCCTGAGCTTAGATACCAAGAAAAAGGAAAGAAAGGGATGGATCATGAGTCACCCATGTGTAAGAAGCAACAATACTTTTGGAAGGCTGGATCCGAGGCTTGAGGAAGAGAGAAGAGGCCAAGACTGGCCTAAGGAGATAAACCCCTCTTTGCCAGGCCTGGCCCCAGAAGGTGGATGGCGTGGCAGGCCCTCCCCCGCAAACACTAGCTCACAGGGTCACGAGACCACTGATCTGGAGCCAGGAGGGACTTCACAGGCTACCTAAGCCAACCGCCTCATTTCACAGAAAAGGAAACAGAAGCCCAGAGTGACTTGTTACAACGATGCATCAGAGCAGGGCATCAGTGAAAGTATAAAAGTCAGTAACTAAAGTAAGAATTCTTTGAGTTAATGCATCCTTATTACTGTTGGAAGAGACCAGTGAGTTCACTATTATGGAACTCCCAACAAGGAAAGTCTCTCCATGAATGCAGGGAGGCACCTGATCTACAAAGAGGTGACTTGCCCAGGGCCATGCAGCCAGGACACGTCAAGGGCAGCACTTGAATCCAGGCCTTCATGACTCCGAAGCCAGCTGCCTGTGCACTGCACCCTGTTACCTTCACAGGTCTTTTAAAGAGCCAATCCCATACAATTAAAAATGTATTGGGGCAGCTAGGTGGTGCAGTAGATAGAGCACCAGCCCTGGAGTCAGGAGGATCTGAGTTCAAATCTGTTCTCAGACCAGACACTTGACACTTACTAGCTGTGTGACCCTGGGCAAGTCACTTAACCCCGAATGCCTTGCCAAAAAAAAAGAAAAAGTATCATATTCTCCAGCTGGCAAACCCAAAGTATCTGTGCTTCAACAATAAGGCTGTAAACCACTCCCGGGAGTCTGTTATGACAAACAGTGACAGCTAAGTTGACCATGCTCCTGGGAAAAGTTTGGTGGGAAACAGATTAATGACTCCCATTTTAAAACCTAAGCACTTTCCAATAAATCAGAATATATCTAATGAAACCGTCATCCATTTTGGGCGCACACAAAAGCATACCTTCAATGTCCCATCCGCTGAGCAGCTGGCCAGATATTTATCGTTCGGTGAGAATCGGCAGTGGTTCACAGAATTAGCATGACCAAACAGAGTGTTCCGACATTCCTTCTTATTCAGATCCCAGAGCTAGGTGGAAACAGAAACAATAAGGCTTACTGATGCTACGAGAATTATGCAGAATCTCAGGGCTGGAGGCACCCCAGGGGCCAACAAGTCCAGCCCATACCCAAGCAGCAACCTCTTTTACAACAAGGTCAACCAGTGGTCATCAGCCTGTGGCCAAAGACCTCCAGCGACAGAGGGCCCACCACCTCCCACAGAGGCACATTCCACCATCAGACTTTCTCCTTTACACCAAGACTACATCTGCTTCTTCCATTTCCCTGAAGCTAGGGGAAGACATTGAATTTGTAGCATTCCAGAGGTGCCATGAACTAGTGAATACCTCACCATGGGACAGCACTTAGGTGAGAATCTAAGGGACACAAGGGAACGGTAAGATTTCCCTAGTCCATTAGTCTGAACACTAAATAACTGGCTAGACAGTTACTGCCCACTTTAACTAACTAGTTCAGAACAGTTGCAGTTCTGCTTCTGAGCTTGGCATCCGAATGGAAGGTGCATCTCAGAAGTAAGAATTACCCACAGATGTTTTTAAAAGGCAATCTACAGCAAAAGCTGTTATTTAACTCAGAGGATAGATGTCTCTGGGACTCCTTAGTACAAATCTTCAACCCAGTGACATCACTGATTAACTGCAGTCAGCACACGGGAAGAAAACTCCTGAGGGTTTCAAGAAGGAAAATCGTCACTCTGGGACTGAAAAGAATACATCAGGTCTTTCCCAGTCCAAGGGAAATTTAACCCCTTGTCTTTCTCAGCATTCTCACACAGGTATCAAACGTCTCTCTTCCAGTGATTGTTAACTACGAGACCCGACCAAATAGCACACGCACCACGGTGCAGTGGTTAGGGCCCCAGACTTGGAGTCGAGAAGATCTAAGTTCGAATCCCACCTCAGACACTTACTAAGCTGTGGGACCCTGGGGCAAGTACTTAACCGCTCTCTGCCTCAGTTTCCTCATCTGTAAAACAAGGCAGTCAGACTCCAAAGTCTCTTCCACCTCTAAACTTATGATCCTATGTTTAAACATGAGGAAATTAAGGGATGGATTTTAAGCCATGCTGATAAATTTGCTCAAAAAATGATGTCGACATTCACACTCACTTTGAGGAAGCAGTCACTGGATCCGGTGGCTAAGAGAAGGTGCTGCTCCCTGTTGGTAAAGTGACAGCAGTTGACCTGCTCCGTGTGCTCATCATAGGTGTGTACCAGCTCCCCGGTCCTTGCATTCCAAATCTGAACAGGATGGAAATAAATAAATAAATAAAGCGCTGAGGCGGTGAACTGACTTTTCTCCACCGCTCAGAGACTCGTGACAACACGACATTCTCAAAGGAAAGGCAGAGGCCCAGAACCATCATGAATTCGTATTGCGGGATAGCTGACGCTGTGTAGAGCGTAAGCATCAGTCTGTTTAGAGGCAAAGAAGGAAATGTCTCCGCTAGCCTACCCAGAAGTGTCTTTTCTGACATGATTACAAATTTCCTGGAAACCCTGGTTAATGAACCAAGAAGCATTTGCTAAGTGCTCACTATGTGCTGAGCCCTGGGAATGAGAAAACACAGAGGCTTCCACCTCCACGGAGAGAATATACGGATATAGTCTATGCAGACATACCATCAGACCATACCGACAGGAGGACACGAGGGGACAGAAGTGGGGGAGAGGGAGGGAGACACGGAAGAAGGGGATAAGAGAAAAAATACACAGAACAGATCTCAGAGAAGAAGTTAGCATGCAGAAGGGAAGGAGAGGCAGCTACAGAAGCTGGGGCTTCAGCTGAGGGTTGCAAATAATTTACGGACGCAAGTTAAAGAGTTCTGGACTTAGCATAAAAGGACCTGGGTTCCAATCCTCCCTTTGCCTGTCACTACTTCCAAGCCCCTTGGTATGTCACTTCAACCTCTCTGCCCTCGGCTGCTGCATCTGTAAGACTCAGGAGATCTCTAAGGTCCTTACTTGCTTTTAAATATCTATTTTCATTATGTGATGGTAATGATACAATAACAGTAGTAACAACAGTAGCCATTTACCGAGCGCTCTAAGGCTTGCAAAGAGCTTTATAATTATCATCTCATTTGATCCACACAACAGCCCTGGAAGGTAGGGTGCTGTTACTGTCCCGATTTTACAGATGAGGAAACTGAGGCAAACAGCCGTTCAGTGACTTGCCCAGGGTCACACAGCTAGTGATTGTCTGAGGCTGGATTTGAACTCAGGAAGATAGGTCTTCCTGACTCCAGGCCCTGTGGTCTGTGCACTATGGAGCCACCTAGAGCCCCTTGGATACATGGCAAGTGCTTAATAAAGGCTTATCAACTGAATCTTTTCACAAACGATGAAACTAAAACCCAAAGAGGTCAGATGACTTGAGTGCACAGAGCAGATCACACAATCACAGGGGTACAGATAGCTCCAGAAAGGCCTTCAGATCTCTCTAGCCCAGAGGTTCTCAACCTGGAGTCCACAAACCTATTTTTTTTTTTGGCTAGGAAATGGGGTTAAGTGATTTGCCCAGAGTCACATAGCTATGTGTGTTATGTGTCTGAGGCTGGATTTGAACTCAGGTCCTCCTGAATCCAGGGCCGGTCCTCTATCCACTGCGCCACCTAGCTGCCCCTCCATAAACCTATTTTGTTAAATATTTTGATAACTATATTTCAATATAATTGGTTTCCTTTGTAATGGTTATTTTATTTATTTAAAGACTGATTCTGAGAAGGGGGGTTACGGGGTTCACCAGACTGCCAAAGGGTTCTGTGACACAAAAAAAAAAACCCTAATCTCCCCACTTTACAGATGAGGGAACTAAGGTCACAGAGGTCAAATGGCCTGCCCAGGGTCACACAGCGACTTGAAACTCGCATAGGAGGGATTTGAACTCAGACACCTCTGTCTCCAAAGCCCGTATTCTTTGCCAGTGGACCAGCTGTTTCCAGGTCACACGGCCAGATCTGAGGATGGGCATCTCAAACGACTCAATCAGGCATTCCAGTAAGTGGTGGGTAGGCTTTGGGTAAGCGAGCAATACCCAGCCTAGGCCTCAGAGACCCAAACACAGCACTTGCCGAGGGCAGCCAGAGCCCCAGAGGCAAAGCCCCGAAGGCAGTCCAGGTCTCTCCCAGGCCCCCTCACCTGCTCAGAAGGTCATGGAAGAATCAAGTTTATCCTGAACAGGATCCTGGGACCTGAGGCCACCTCACCAAATGGGCCTGGACAGAACTAGTCCAGCCTGAGACTGGAATCCATCCACCCCCCAGTGGGCAGCCTGTAGAGAAGACACCACCCTCAGTTTCTCTGTTGTGTCACATGGAAATATCGTGGCTAAAGACCAAACGGAAAGAGCTATGAGCAAATCCATGACTTATCCTTTGTAGATACACAGTCCTGAGACAAGTTGTACTCTGATTTTGATCCATTAGGGACTATACATCAACACAACTCCCACAAATCACACACTGCGCACCACGACGGGCCAACACTTTCACATGGAAACAACTCTAAGGCAATGACAAACTAATATTCATCTTTCAAAGGAAATGCAGAAGAATAATTCAAGAATATGCAAATTCACCTTTGCCTCTGAAGTTTCAATAGTCTCTGAAAACCATCTACATGTGGAACAAGCTAAGAATCTTTGGTGTCCCACATGCCATGAAATCACTTTCGACAGCACCATCTTGCAGCAGGAGTAACAGATTCTCTATAAGAAAGATATGAAGAGACCGTAGGACTTAAAGCTAGAAGAAGTCTTGGGGACCACCTAGCCTAGAGGTTCTTTACCTTCTTGGTATCACGGGCCCCTTGGGCAGTCTGGAGAAGCCTCTGGACCCCTTCTCAGAATCATGTATTTTTTTAAAGTTCATAACTGAAGGAAATGCTAAATTCCTTTAAAGGCTAGAGAAAATAAAGATATCATTTTTATGCCATTCAACACCAAAGACGGGATGAGTCCACGGACTGACCCCCAGGTTAAGAATCCCTACTTAATCTAGTCGAACCCCTTCGTTTTATAGATAATGAAATTGAGGCCTAATGAGGTGATCGATTGTAATAAATCCTTGTTGACTGACTGATTATTCAATATCACCCAACTCATAAGTAGCAGAACCACGGCCTGACCCAAATCTTCTAGCTCCACTTCCAGTGATCTATACCACCTGCCTTCATGCCTCTATTCTGGAATAAATATTCCAGTAATGTTCTCTAATTTCATTAGTGTGTAGGCAGTCCCTTCACCAGTGGTAGATTGCAGCCCCTCTCTAACTTGATAGGTAGGCTTCAAAAGTCGCTGGGCCAAAAAATTTACCAGCCTATGCCCAGCCAGACGATGAGTCTAACTGAACTTACCGACACCAGTCCACAAAAACAGACACGTGTTCCATCAGCATTGGTCTTTCCTCTGGGACCCCTACCACCACCTAGAATCATTCCATGCCATGAGAAGTCATCAGAATGCGACTTTTAGAAGAATAAATGGACAAAACACATGGGAAAAAACACTACGTGACATGTAACCCCAAGCCACCGGGAGCAGCGTCTGCCCACCTTTACTTTCTTATCCACTGAACAGGTCGCAATGAATCGATCGTCCTTGGAGAAAGCGCAGCAAAGCACTTCATCCTCATGGGCTTCAACTTCCAGCAGCCTCTCTCCCGTTTCTGCTTTCAGCACCTGCACGAGCCAAAAACAACTCCTGATCAATTCTCCACCATCCCCAACCCACTGAACCTAAGGGAGGAAGGAGGAGGGGATCGGAATCCTGCAATGAAATGTTTCAAAGCATCACCTTAACGGGTGTTCACTGCAGAGATGAAATGAGCATCAGCAAAGGACAACTCAAAAATATTAATCTCTCCTGGTAAAGAGATTGCTTCCTTCATTTTAGTGAACAACTTGTCATTTATCAGCCATCATGAGACGTTTGTACATTTCAGTAAGCAGAAGGGCATACTTTTAGGGGAACTATTCTGACGGAGTCCAACCGGCACAAAACATCTCAGTCAGTCTTCCAGGGACTCAACAGCTAAAACTGCTATCACAGAATGTGCAACACTGACCCCTGCAGGCCACAGAAGGAAACACATGTCAGGAAAAACCTTTCCTCTCTCTTTGATAATGAGAGGAGGAATAATAATGGTGGTGGTGATGATGATGATGATGATGATGATGATGACGACGACAATGCCAGGGAAGCCTGATGGCATGATCTGTTGAGAAGGCAGACCTTGGAGTCAGAAGGCCTGTCTTCTGGTGTCACACACACACACACACACACACACACACACACACACACACAAGCTGTGCGATTCTGGTCAAGTAACTTCCATCCATCACCAAGCATGTACTGGAGGCTCAGTCTACAGCAGGCACTGTGCTAGGTAAAGGACATATAAAGAAAGACAAAAACAGGGCCTGCCCACAAGGAGCTTGCATTCTAACAGGGGAAACAGCATGCAAATAAACGGGGACATATTCAGTGCCTGGCCAACTCTCTAAGACTATCAATTACTAAGCAAGTTCAGACCCGCATTAGGAGAAAACATTTCTTCACATGACATTTCCCTACGCTGAGGAAATCCCAGGTGTGCACAATCAAAGGTCCCATTTCTACGGCTCTTTGAGGTTCATAAAGCACTTTACAAATATCTAATTTAAGCCTCCCGACAGCCTTGTGAAGTAAGGGCTGTTATCCTCATTTTACAGTTGAGGAAACTGAGGCAGACAGCTAAGAGATTTGTCCAGGGTCACAGCAGCTAATAAATTTGTGAGGTTGGACTTGAAGTCAGATCTCCAGCCTCCAGGCCTAGCACTCATCCACCGTATAAATGTCTACTAAAATTCAAAACATTCAATCCTGCATCCTTCAGAATTGAAGCCACAATCACCATCTATCCAGCATGCAAATGTTTATAAAAATTACATTAAAATTTGAAAACATTCAATCCTGTGTCCTTCAGAATTGAAACCACCATTACAAGAATATCCACTTTTACTAAAAAACAAAAGACAAATCATTTGGAATCGTGGCACAAAAGTCACCAAACTTAAGACCCTTTGACTCAGAGCTCTCACTGCTGGGCACACGGCCCAGGGAGGTCAAAGAAAGGCATTCACAACAGCACTCTTTATAGCGTGCGCGCGCACACACACACACACAAATGAGACACAAAGGGGTTGCCCATCAATTAGAGAATGGTGGAATGTAATGGAGAATTATTTTGCCATTAGAAATAATGAACATAAGAAATTCAGAAGAACGTAAAAAAGATGGCACGAAGCAGTAGAGTTGGACTAAACAGAAAGAGAACACCCCCAGCGGCTCTAACGCCACAAGGAAGCCGTACTCTAAGCGTTACAGGGACTAATCTGGATCTCAGAGAACACGTAACAAACCATGCGTCCCTCCTCTCAGTAGAGGGAGGGAGCCACAGATGCAGAATGGTGCATACACAATCATGGTGTTGAAGGGTTTTGCTTAACTGTTCTTTGTTACAAGAAAGGGTAGATATGACTGGGATATAAAAGCAAAAGGCACAATGCCAATGTTTTTAAATCATCACCTTGCAGATGTCACAAAGGGACTTCAGAAAAATAACAGTCCAGCTGCTGTCTGCCGGCAGGACAACACTCAGAGCTTCCAGGAGACAGCTAGTCCATGTCCTAACCAGTGCCCCCTGACACGGGCACCTCAAGCAGAAACCATCCGTGGTACCACCCATCCTCCGAATACTCCCAGCTCTCTGCCCATTTTTCATGGAGGAGGTGGAAGACAGATGTGGGGAGAGGAGAGAAGACAGTCGCTGTGTGTGCCAGGGGAGCTGGGGATGGATGGCAAGACTGATAGAGAGCTAAATCGAGGAGGTGAGAAAGCCCCCCCTCATGCCTGGCAGCAAGTTCACTGGCATGTCAGACAGAGGTGGGGATGGCTTAAAAAGGCAAGATTGACCTTAAAAATCCGAGAGCCGGGCCTGTTCCCATACGGTGGTCTCTAAGGTTTGTTTCCTCGCCTTTTAGAACCAAGCGCCATCTCCCTCCCTGCTGGGTGGACATCACACCTCTCACTGGGCAGACCCATCAGGCAGGTTTGTCTTACCTGTAAGGTTTTATCAGCACCACAGGAAGCGATCCGCAGCCCGTCCTCTGAAAAGCAGGCATGGTAAACAGCATCTGTGTGGGGGCGGACAACTAAACGGGAGAGTTTCTTGATGGTTTTTTTGTTTCTAGACAAAAAGAAAGAGAAGAACAGAAGCCCCAGTAAAGGAGGGTCCCTGGCACCCATACATCCCGGTAATAACTGAATTCTCTTCTGACACGCAATGAGGAGCCTGCTTCCCCTTCCTCAGAAAGATGTTTCTCCTCTTCGAATAAAATACACCAGCATGCAGATTTCAAATGTAGAACACCAAAAGAAATAAAATAGAAAAAAATCATTCTTCTCTAAAAGTATGATCATATAAAAAAGCAGTCGGTGCTGGGTACTCTCAATTTCATCCCAACAGAAGCAAATTAGGGAGCCAACTGCATTTGACTTTTTGTTCTGATCGCTGTTGTTCGTTATTAATAATAACAATTTATAAGACTGCTAAAAATGAAATGGGAGGCAGCAAGCTGGTAGCTGTGGCAGACAAGGCAGCCGTGGAGGCAGAAGCCCTGGGCTCGCTTCTCCTTCTACCACGGCTGAGGCTGGCTGGAGGGCCACAGGAGAGTCCCTGAACCGCCTGGTGCCCACACCACTCTCTCTAACTCTACATCAGATCTGAACGGGGAGCTTGGCACAAAGATGAAATCACCCAGCAGCTACAGCACAGAAATGAAGTGGAGTGCAGAGCTCGGGGCTCCCACTCAGGAAAACCTCAGACAACTTCTGAGAGTCTTGCTCAGGGATGATATAAACAAAATGGTCTCAGAAGTCCCTTCCAGTTCTGAGATTCTGTGAGCCCATGATACATAACATCACAGGCTGGCTGTAATCTGTTTTGTGGAGGGCATTTCCCACACTAGGAGCTCCCTACAGCGACAAAACAGATTCTTTGCATAACTGTACATTTACAAAAATGATAATACATAACCAGAAAAATATTGTGCAAGCAAACCTCTCCCCCCTAAAATCTACAATTGGTTTTTCAATCTCATCTACCCATCTGGGGAGCGTATAAAGGCAAAAAGGACGCACTGGATAAAACAGTGCACTTGGAATCAGGAAGACTCGGGGTTCAAACCCTGCCTTGGGCACTTACTAGCTGTGGTCTCTAAGCCTCAGTTTCCTCATCTGTAAAATGGGACTAATACTAGCACTTACTTAACAGAGTTTATAGAATCAAATGAAATTATCTGTGCTTTACCAACCTTAAAATGCTACCACCAATGCTAGTCATCATCCCTGCAACACTAAACAGACACAGGGTGATGGCGACGGGGTGGGAGGAAGGCCTGGGCAGCCAGGCATGGGGGCACAGCCACACACCCAGAATTATGGAACAAGAGGGTAGACGGAGGGTTGTCTGTGGAAGACTCTTGGGAATGGTTTGGTGAGAGACATGGCGAGCAGGGAACAGAAGGTATAGGCAGAGCTGTCCAGCCAGTGGTTGGGAATCTGGTATTTTGGTGGCAGCTAGGTGGCGCAGTGGATGGAGCACCAGCCCTGGATTCAGGAGGACCTGAGCTCAAATCTGGCCTCAGACACATAACACCTACTAGCTGTGTGACCCTGGGCAAGTCACTTAACCCCACTGCCTAGATTAAAAAGAAAAAAATCTGGTGTTTGAGGCAGCTGATGGTACAAGGGACAGAGCACAACTGCTCACTTGCTGATCTGTACGTGAGCTTGGAGTCAGAAAGACCTGACTTCAAATCCTGTCTCATAGACTGACTAGCTGTGTGACCCTGAGCAAGGCACTTAACTTCTGCTTGCCTCACTTTCCTCAACTGTAGAGTCGGAATAATCCCAGCACCCACCTCCCAGTATGGTTGTGAGGATCAAGTGAAATAATATTTGTAAAACGCTCAGCACCATGCCTGGCACACAGTAGGTATTTAATAAATGGTTCTTCCCTTCTCCCCCCTTCCCTATTCTGGGGGTCTAGGAAGAGCATGGAGACAGAGATGTCACTTTGGGAGAAAGCTGTATGGAAATGATAACAGAAGCTATGGGAACAGAGACGGCAAAGGGAGAGAGGAGAGCCAGGAGAAGACTAACAAGCACCATGGAGGACATGCAGGGGAAGATGAGCAACGCGCCCCAGGCCCAGAGAGACGCACAGGGCAGGGCCACAGAAACCAAGGAGCTGCAGGAAGTCTCGAGGGGGAGGCCGGGGTCAGGGACAACAGGAAGGGGGAGCCCAGAAAAAAGGCCACTGACCTGGGCAACTGGGAGACGAAAAGGGACCAACTCTGGTGAAGGCCATTGGACAAGACTAGCAGAAAGAGATCACAGAGCAGGGACCAAACAGCGGCAGCAGGGAGGGTGAACTCTCCTTTCTCAAGGTTTAGCAGCAAAAGGGAAGAGAGAGAACTCAGGAATCAAGGCAGGCTGCCTGTTCTTTTATAAAGATGAGGAGACCTGGATGTACTTCAGGTTTACAAATCACTTCCCTCAATCAGCCAATCACGCAAGCACCAATTAAGCACCTGTTATGTGCCAGGCACTGTGCTGGGGAAACAACACGGGCACAAAGAGGGACACACAAGACATACGGACCGCAAACACAAGGTCAATTTGGAAAGGAAGTCAGCTCCAGGAAGCAGACAGTGCAGGCATCACCATTCCCAGTTTACAGATGAGGAAACTGAGGACCAGGGAGGCTAAACAGCTTGCTCAAGGTCACTCCGCTAGCTAAGTATCTGGGGCAGGGCTCAAACCCAGATCTTGGGACTCCAAGTCCAGGGCTCTTCTCGCTGCCCATTTCTAAACCTTCCGTGACTGATGTAATTATGTCTCTTCTACTCACTGAGCTAGGCTGGTATGGTTTTAGACAGCCAGCCATGAAATCAGGAAGTCCCACCTTCAAGTCCCACCTTGGATGGACACTGGGCACACGACCCTGGGCGAGACGCTGAATGTCCTGTGTTTGGGGCGTCTCTCCAAGGCTCCCAGTTCCAAAGAAGGGGCCAGACCTGCATGGGAAGACGGGAGTTCCCTAGACTATGGGATCCCATCTCTCTCTCCCTAAACTGACTGCCATGGAATTTTCTGAGGCTGGAATTCTTTTCCAAGAATGTTTCTTTAAAAAGCCAAAGAGTTCTTCAGAACCCCCAAATTCTCCCACGCTGTTCGGTGCTTGAAGACGTGTGGCACGATTTTAACTTCACCCCTTTTCAGAGTCTGTCTTAGCCAACTTACATCCATTCCAAGTACAGCCTCCCTTTATCGACCTCCTGCTTGGCCTGTCGTTTGGCTTGCCGGTACACTTCAGAAGTTTCGGGCTCGCAGAGACCTAGCTGCACAATACTGGGAAACGGCTGACGTCCAAGAAGATGTCCATTGAGAGATAAAAACTCTTGAAAATTCTCACAGACGGTACAACCCTACGGCAAATGGAAATCTCTTAGAAATGCGAGCAGATCTAAAATGTGATATTTCTCTAAATGTCCCTGTGATCTTGTCCTTTTCTGGGCTTGATGAAAACACCCTTTCTTCTGAACTAATGTGACGTGACCTCTCTTAGCCTGGCTTTTAAAGGATCTAGTAAAAGCTGGGTTAGCCACATGCCTCCATTCAGGGTAGTTTTACTTTCCTAACACAAGAAATTCTTGTTCTCTTCAAGTTGTTCTAAATTATTATCAAGAGTTATTCAGAACAATCATTATACGTTTCTCTAGTCCCAACCTCATGCCCCCAAAACATACCCTAACTTCAAGAAAAACCCAGAAGATAGGCTGAAAAGCAAATCAGAGAAGAAAACAATCAATTCAAAGAACAGAAGCTACTCAGTTTAGATTTTTTAATTTAATATTGTTCAACTAGCAAAAATCTATTTTCTCTCCCCATGCCACCTCCCCAAATCGGGGAGAAAAGAAAAAGGAAACCACCCAAAGAGTACTCATGAAGCAACTACTGTGTGCCAAGCCCTCGGCTGGGGACACAAAGACAAAGCGAAAATCAGCTCCTTCCCTCAGGGAGCTTCCATTCCAAAGGGAGACTCCCTTCTCCCCTTGATGTCATGGAGTCCCGCTGTTAAAGGCAGACCTCAGCGTCCAAACCAGGGGTCATTCAGGCCCGCCCTTCCCCCCGGGGACGTACCTTCTTATCCAACAGACGGCCATATCGCATAAATTCACATATCAAATGAGCAGGTCCCACCAGCTCGGTCTTTGCTTTAATCCAGTCTAGGGAAAACAGCAGGTCACAAAGCTCCTAAAGCAAAGGATTCATTGATTTAGATTGATTTCCATCTACCCCAGCTCTCTGTCTCTCGCTCTCACACACACACACACACACACACACATACAGACACGGACACACACACACACACACACACACACACACACGGACACGGACACACACACACACACACACAGACGCACACGGACACACACACACACACACGGACACACACACACACACACAGACGCACACGGACACACACACACACACGGACACGGACGCACACGGACACACACACACACACACACACAGACGCACACGGACACACACACACAGACGCACACAGACACACACACACACACGGACACACACACACACACACAGATGCACACAGACACACACACATACACACACACACATATACACACACACACGGACACGGACACACACACACACACACACAGACGCACACGGACACACACACACACACACACACACACAGACGCACACGGACACACACACACACGTGTGCATCGCTATGCCTATCACTGCTGTAGGAAACTAGAAAGAATATCATGTTTCTAAGAACAGGGCCTGGGCAATGCTTGTCAAAAACAATAAGCAAGGCAAAAGCAACTAAAGAAGTCTCTGACATGGCTTTGAGGTACCAATTCAACTTTTTTTATACTTGTTTAAGGAGTTTAAGAAATTGAATTAATACTGTAAACCCTGGATATCTAGGCACTAACGTAAGCAAGGCCTCCAATGATTCCTCAATGCCATGCAGGAAATGCAGAGCTTTAACTATGACATAACAAACGGGACTTTGCCCACGGACTCCGAAATCCAAAGATGCCGACAGCACTGACCCTCCTTCAACCCCAGGAATGACTGTAAAGCACAAAGATTTTCTTAGTCTTTATTCGAAGGGACAGCTCTCTGCAAGGAGCGGACACAAAGGCGGCAAACACTGCTGATGCAGAAACAAAAGGTTTCCATCATTCTTCTCAAAAAAGGCCAGGAGGCCAGGACAGGTTTTGGTGTCCCAAATCTTTCTCTCTCCCCTTCAAATAAATGTCCTTAAAAGCTGACTGGAGAGCATATTTTATACTACGTGTTTTGCCTGACTATGGCTATTTGTTACAAAGGTTTTACTTCTCTCTTTTTTTTTCTTTTAAATTAGCATAGGGTAGAAGAGAAGCAGGTAGGTGGTGCAGTGGACAGAGTGTCAGGCCTAGAGTCAGGAAGACCTGAGTTCAAATTCAGTCTCAGACACTTACTAGCTGTGTGATCGTGGGCAAATGACATAACCCTGTTTGCCTCAGTTTCCTCATCTGTAAAATGCACTAGAGAAGGAAACAGCAAACCGCTCCAGTATCTTTGCCAAGAAAACCATTAATGGGATCATGAGGAGACAGACATGACTAAAAAGAAAGAGCAACGACAACAAAGTATAGAAGAGCAAGAAAATAAATGGTTGTTAATTGAAAAATAATAAATTTGGGGCAGCTAGGTGGCACAGCGGACAGAGCTCTGGCCTTGGAGTCAGGAGGACCTGAGTTCAAATCCGGCCTCACACACTTGACACTTACTAGTTGTGTGACCCTGGGCAAGTCACTTAACTCCAATTGCCTCACCAAAAAGAAAGAGAAAAGAAAAATAATAAATATACACTTTTTTAAAAAAGTTATATTTGGCAGATTCAAAGTTTCATATACAATCCCCTTTTTCGTCCTCCATGTGTGAAAATATTCATATTTGCTGATGAGAGTCAAGTTCTTAATTTTTAAAAAACTATTTTTAAAAAAAGAAAGAAACCAAGTGTCCAAACTCGGGTTCAAGTTTGTATCTGCAACCTGCAGGGATGTGGGCAGCATCCCTGGATCTCTTCTTGGGGGGCAAGGCGGAGGCACTTCAGCTCCCCCGCCCTGTTCTTCTGAACAAGCATCTGCTTAGCTGAGCTCTGCCACCGCCCACCCCCGGGCCTCTTAGCAAAGGAGACAGCTGCATTTATGTAGCACGCGGCACCAGAAATCCCCTTCCCATTTCTAAATGTGCAACTAGAGAAAACAGGGCAGAAACGAGGAAGGACAGAAAGCCTGAAAAATGCTTTCCTCTGGCATTAGGTACAGCTCCACCAAGGACCTCAGGCCCCAGGATACAGGCAGAGGAGGACCTAGCCGCGGCTGCAGCCTTTAGCCACTCAGAAGCGGCACCTCCGGCCACTGGCAGCACCTACTGCTGGAGTCCTGTCACTTCAGGTCCGCAGAACGTAGTAACACCTCACACCTCCACAGCTCACTTCACAGGCAACCTCAGCTGCCCAGAACACAACCAAGAATGAGGAAGGGAGCAAACCAGACATCCAAGCATAAAAAATAAGACCTCTTTCCCCTTCTCCAACCCAATCTCCAGCCAAGCTGCCGAAGGGATGGTCCTAAAGCATGGGTGGGGCCAGGTCACGGCCCCACCCAACACACAGAAATGTCCGTTTGGCATTTAAAGCTCTGCGCCTCTGGTCCCCACTGCCCTGTCCAGGTTTATTACATGTCCCTCCCCTTCGGGACTGCAGCCCAACGAGCCCATCGACCACTCCCCACACATGCCTCTCCATCTTCCACATCCCTGTTTTTGGGCAGCGCCCTCCTTCCTCCCTCAACCTCTTACAATCCCTCACTGCCTCCAAAGCCCAGCTTAAGTGTCCTGTCCTTCATGAAGCCTCTCCTGGTCCCCCCAGCTTCTGGTGCTTCCTTACCCCCCAAAGACTTCATTCGTACTCTGTCCATGTTTGTATTTAGTTTTACATATATGAGCTGTTTCTCTCAATAAAATGTAAGCTCTCCAAGCACAGGGGGTTGTTTAAATTCTTGCCTACGTCCTTAGCTCCTAGCGTGGTATCCAGCACACAGCAGGCGCTTCATAAATGCTTGTGGATTGACTGACTGAAATGAAATGCTAACAGTCTTGCTAATGTTATGAAGTCACAGAATGTCAGATCCAGATCAGAGCTGGAAGAGGCCTCAGAGACGATCCCTTCTGGCCCTACTATTTAACAGAGGGGGAAACCCAGGCCTGGTGCAGTGACTCGCCTGATGTCATGGCGGGTAAGGATCAAACGAGTTGACGCAGGTACGATGCTTTGCAAACAAGAATCAGAATTCAGTGCTACGACCTCCTCACACCACTGTACATCATGACCCCTCCTGATACAACTTAGAGCATGGAATTCATGAGTCTGTGGCTAAAAAGTTCATCTTTCTGAAGCCAACCCAATGATGGGCCCTCTGAACCTTGAGGCTCTGGCAGGCTGGTCATCAGACAAGGGACCCAGACCCATTTCCAAGCCCACACTCCAATGCCTTCCAGCTCAGTCAGCCTAAAGAGCTGATGTTCCACTAATAAACTTTCAAGAAGCCAGGCCATGCCCCAATGAGACAGCAAAGAAAGAGACCAAGTCCTGCCTCTGATGGTCACTACCTGTGTGACAGAGAACCTGGGCAAGTCATTTAAACTCCTGGGCCTCAGTTTCTTCCTCTGTAATAGGAGGCTGCATTTTATCTGGTGTTTAAGCTCAGAATAAAAATAAATGAATTTAAGAAAAAAATTTAAAAGTAAATGGAAGGGGATAGAATCCCTTGAAGGCCTCTGAGGTCCCTCCCAGTTTTCTCAATCTATGAGCCCATGACTTCCCTGGACACACTAGACTATACCTGGTACCATACAAAGCTGTCACCGAAGTTGGGCCAACTTCTTTCAAAGTAGATACAAGTCACGTTCTCCCTCTATAGCTTTTGATCCGGACCTATGATGTCACTGGAGTATCAAACTCCCAGTGAGTAAACAGAGGTCAGCCCCCACTCTTCAACACAGAGCTTCAGAGGACTGCCTCAGTGTTCCCTCTTCAGACTCTCAATAGAAGACACAGACATAATACAGTAGATCCTGTAGGCAAGGGGGAAACCACTCAGCTTGGAGAATCTCAAGAACCAAGGTACCATATTACCATTTAAAACTAAGGCACCTCACACTATTGATAATAACAAAAAGTGGGGAGGAAAGCATGATAATAACAACCCTAACAATAGCTAATACATATTTAGTGCCTTGAGGTTGGCAAAGTGCTTGTACATCCCTGGATCCTGACAAGAGCCCTAAAAGGAAAGTACTATAACATCCTCACTGGACAGATGAGAGATCTAGGCTCACACAAGCCAAGTGGCCTGTCCAGAGTCACATGGCACTTCACACTGTGGCTGGCACAGAGCGGGAACTTCATAAATGCTGACTAATTAATTGGCTAAATTCTGAGAAACAGCACAAGACCACATGAAGCCAACCAGAGTAAAGAATTCAGGGCAGAAAAGATAACATACACAATCACTACAACTTTGTAAATGAAGACAACACAAGGAAGGCTGAAAAAACACTGGTCAATGACAATAGTCAATAACAGAACCGTCCTTTCAAATGTTAGAACCTTCCCCATCTTCTGTGAGGGAAGCTTCCCCCCCCCCCTACCCCGGCCCTAAACCTCCCATATTACCTTACATGTGTGTGGTGTGTGTGTGTGTGTGTGTGTGTGTGTGTGTGAGAGAGAGAGAGAGAGAGAGAGAGAGAGAGAGAGAGAGAGAAAGAGAGAGAGAGAATCCCACCAAACCTGCAAACAAGCCCCCTTAACAGACTTTGAAAAATTTAATCAAATATTAACAGAAAGGAGGGATGGAGATCAACAGAGAAAAAGGTAGATAGTTATATATACCCATATATACCTACACGTACATACATACACACACATATACACATACATATGTAGTTTGTACAACACGATATATAACATGTGTTATATACAGGTTACTGTGCCACACATGTATATGTGCATGTGTTATGTGACATATCCATTTCTTCTTTCTGTTAGCCATCGATTCATTTTTAAGGGGATGAAGTGTGTTGAAGGGGATTGTTTACAAGTTTGTTTGGAAGCCTCTGTCTTGTCAAAACAAAAATGTATTGATAAATTTTTTTTCATTAAAATTAGTACACTTCCTAAAAATGAGTAACACTGGCCTGCCTCCCTGGCAGACCTCTACCCCATGAGAAGATGCGGCTCTGCGTCTTCTAGTCTCAGCCTGATGGGAGGGAAGGAGACAGTGAAGAAACCAAAGTGAGGCCGACTTACTTGGCGCATGTCAGCACTCGCCATGTGATATGCCAGGAAGCTGTACCAGTACATGGAGTCTTCTTGGTCAGAAGCAAGGCAGTGCACCTTGCAATATCTCTGGAACTGAGTCACCACCTTTCTGTGCAGCTCCTAGAGCCAAAATGCAACATTTCAATGGAGGGTGCCCATCAACGGGCTGAACAGACTAGGGTCTAAAACTGCAATGGAATACTACTGTGCCACAAGAAATGACAAAAAGGACAGTTTCGAAGAAAACCAGAAAGGCTTGCATGAAGTGATACAGAGCAAAATGAGCTGAACCAGTAAAGCAATTTAAATAACAATGTAAAGACGAACAACTTTGAAAAACATGAGACCTCTGGATCAATGCAATGACCAACCATGACTCCAAAGGACTGATGACAATCCCTGTTCCTCACCTCCCGACATGGAGGTGACAGACTCAGGGTGCAGACTAAGACATACACTTTTTAACACGGCCAATGAGGCAATCTGTTGTGTTTGACAATGCATATTTATCAGAGAGCCTTCTTTTTCTTTCCCTTTTCTTTTTTTTTTGTTCTTCATTGGAAGTAGGGGAAGATGAGAGACAAAATATGTTTTTAAGAGAAAAAAATTAAATAATTTTTTTAAAACCATTTCAGTGGACAGATAAACTTCAACAACCTTCCACGCTCTTCACCATGGATGGCTCCAGTGCCAATACAAAACCATCCACATAAAGATATAATTTCCAGATCAACTTAATATAACTTTGACTTTTAATTCATGAAGAATCACATGGGAAGAGATAATCAAGGCTCTCACAAATAGCTGGACACTGGCCAAAAAAGACTGTTCAAAAAATGAAGAGAGGGGCAACTAGGTGGCGCAGTGGATAGAGCACCGGCCCTGAAGTCAGGAGGACCTGAGTTCGAATCTGGCCTCAGACCAACACTTGACACTCACTAGCTGTGTGACCCTGGGCAAGTCACTTAACCCCAATTGCCTGAAAAAACCTAAAAACTGTGCCATTCAATGTTGACAAAGAGCTTGGTACCTGGAGCTGGTCACGGTTCTTTTCCACGAGGAAGTCGACCTGAAGATCGTGTAAATAGTAACGGAATGACTTCCCATTTCGGTCATAAAACAGGAGGGACTTGTTAATGAATTCTTGTAGGATGTCCTCAGCCTCTTCAGTCTCCATGTCCCAAAGAATACATAATACCTGAGAAACATTGTGAGCACTTCAGGCACCCAGAACAGCAAGAACAGGGATGTGGGGAAGGGGGCTACACGGTCAAGTCAGATCCCCAGCTCAGGGGACGCAGGCAGCCACCCACATACCCTTCCGGGGAGGTGGCAGGGCACCAGGGAAGCGAATGCCTTCCGGCTTCATCAGAACCACTTTAAAATTTGTGTAAAAGAAGTGGATGCCTGAAACTGGTCACGTGGACAAGCTCTGTGTAGATAACATGTATTTTATACATCCACACACACAACTTCCCGCAACATCGCTGGAGAAGGGGTGTAAGTGGGAGACTAGCAGCCACTCTGCCATGGCACCCCCAATTCAGTGACTCTGCCTCGACAGGGAGCCTGTGGTTCTTCAAGTCCTACAACAAGAGGAAACAAAGGAACGTCGAGCACATCCTCTGACGTTCCACGTTCCGGCTACATGGTGCTGGCCAAAGAGGTCAAGAACAGAAAGGTCCCCTCGACATTCAAAGCGACAGCTTCATGGAAGAACAAGAGAAACACTGTGAGGGTAACCCCTGACTGGGGAACGCCTGGCAAACTACAACACGTGAATCAATCAATTAACAAGTGTTCATCATTGTACGCAGCAGCGGCCACATTGTACCATGATCAACTTTGAGAGATGTGGCTCTTCTCAGCAATACAATGACAAACTGTGCACAAAGACAATTCCAAAAGACTCCCGATGGAAAACGCTATCCACATCCAGAGAAAGAACCATGGAGTCTGAATGCAGATGGAAGCAGACTATTTTCTTTTTTTTTTCTTTCCCATGGTTCTTCCCTTTCGTTCTGATTCTTCTTTCACAACATAACTAATATAGAAATGTATTTAACACGATTGTACATGTATAACCTAGATCAGATTACTCCCTGTCTTGGGGAGGGGGGGGAAGGGAAAAAAAAATTTAGAACTCAAAATCTTATAAAAGTGCATGTTGAAAAAAAAAATAAAAATAAAACAAGTGTTCATTAATCACCTATTTGTGGCAGACACGACATTAGGTGCTAAGGGTACAAAGAAATGATCTATGCCCCCACATAGCTTACATTTTTTCAGGACAAAAAGCACATATAAATATGCTTGTGTGCGTGTCTATCTGAGTCTGTGAATACATATATGCATATGTGAATGCCCACAAGTGTGCATACGTGCACATATGCACGTGTATCCATGTATGCAAAAACAGACAAGGTAAATATGTAAATGCAAGATACCTTTGGGAGCAGGGGAAGCAGGAGCTAAGAGCTGGGAGAGATCAGGAAGATGATGCTTGATCTGAGCCTTAAGGGAAAGGAAGGATTCTAAGAGGTAAAGGGGAAGGATAGCATGCCTCCCGGCACAAGGGACAGCCCATAAAAGAATAGCAGGCTGTCTGGCTGCACCAGAGAGGACATGAAGAGGAGTCATGTATGCTATCTGAAAGGGAGGCTGGAGCCAGATTTTGAAGGTCCTTAAATGCCAAACAGAAGAGATAAAAGGGAGCCAATGAGTTTAGTAAGGAGAAAAGTGACTTACTCAGATTTTCACTTTAGGAAAATCACTTGGGCAAAAACTGCAAGAAAAGTGATTAAACTGTTGATACACTTGGACCTCAGGATCCCACTACTAGGCATATATCCCACGATATATATCCCTATCATATAAAGAGCAGCATTCTTCATGGTTGGAAAAAATGGAAACTAAGGGCACGCCCTCAATTAGGGAACGGCTAAACAAACCGCGATACAGGAATGTAGAGGAATATGATCGTGCAATGTAACGTGAAAAAGAGGGAATTCAGAGAAACATGAGAAGATTCATGGAAAATGAGACAGCAAAGAGAATAACATACATAATGACTATAATGATATAAGTGGATCAATACTAAAAGGTCAGTGAACTCAGAATAATCACAAGGACTATCTCTGGTTCTGGAAAACAGGCTGTCACGTCCAACCCTCCTCTTCACTGACAGGAGGAAGCCCAAGGTACAAAATGGGGCATATGTGGTCAGGCACGGTTGCTCTTCCCATTGTTTTAACTGCTGGAGCCCTCACTCCCTGTCTACCTTGTATTTCTTCTGTATACATTTGTATAAGTTAATGTTGCCTCCAGGGCAGCGTGGTGGAACAGTGATTAGACCACTGGGAATCAGGAAGATTCAGCTTCCTGAGTTCAAATCCAACCTCAGACATTTACCAGCTGTGTGACCCTGGGCAAGTCACTTACCCTGGTTTGCCTCAGTTTCCTCATCTAGAAAATGAACTGCAGAAGGAAATGGCAAACTACCCCAGGATCTTTGCCAAGAAAACCCAAAATGGGGTCATGAGAAGTCAGACATGACTGAAATAACTGAACAACAAATGTTGCCTCCCGTATTAAAATATAAGCTACTCAAGAGGAGGGATTGTTTCCTTCTCTGCACTTAGCTAGCACTTAAGATGTGCAGGCACTGAGGATACAAAGAAAGGCAAAAACAGTCCCCACCCTCAAAGAGCTTGAATTCTCATGGGGGAGATAACATGCAAACAACTACGTCCATACAAGCCATACGCAGGGTCAATGGAAGTAGCCCCAGAGCCTAACATGGTGCCTGGCTTGGCCGCCCTGGCTTCCTGCCTTTCCCAGTCCTTCTTAACCTTAATGCCTTCCCAAGCTCTGAAACCACCTCTGGTGTATTTTGTCTGTATCTGGTTTGTGCCCAGTTATTTGTATATTGTCTCTCCCACAGAGCGAAAGGTCTTTCAGAGAAGGGGCTGTTCCGTGTCTTTTCTTTGTATCCTCAGCACTTAACACAGTGTCTGGAACACAGGAGGTGCTTAATAAATGCTAGCTAACTGACTGACTTATTATAAGGGAGATATCAAGTAGGGAATTGGGCGTGGGGAGCTACTGGAAAATGACTATGACATTAAAAACAGAAGGTAGATGGGGGAGAATCAATGGAAAAATGGAAGAAACTATTTCAAGAAAGATTCCATATCATAATAACCCAACAATGAGAGCCGAGCGTGCCAATGAGACCCTAACTCTGACCCAGCAAACGGCCACCTGGGCTTACCTTGGTGGGCACTCTAACGTCCTTCTGCAGGATGGAAAGGTCCTTATAATACCTCTGGAGGTCTTCATTCAGTCTTTCCACACTTATGGACATGGCTTCATCCAGGGCTTCATAGTCATACGATGAAGATTTCCTAATCCTTTTAAACTGCTTATTCTGAAGCTGCCTGAGGTAGTAGTCCCAGCGATTGGGGAAATCACGTAATAGGGCACCAATTAAAGATACCACAAGAGGGGAACCTGAAAAAAAGGAAAGAGGGGCAGCTAGGTGGCACAATGGATAGAGCACCAGCCCTGAAGTCAGGAGGACCTGAGTTCAAATCTGATTTCAGACCGAACACTTGACACTTACTAATTGTGTGACCCTGGGCAAGTCACTTAACCCCAACTGCCTCACCAAAACACACACACACTCACACACACACACATACACACAAATAAAAAAAAAAAGGAAAGAAAACCAACAATGCCAACCCAAACCCTTTTAAAAGAAAATCATTAACAAGAGAGAGTCAATTCAGACTGGGTATTTCCATTCTATGGGAGAAGAGAAAAAGAGGCAAGTTAATTCTACCCCCACAATGCTGCTGTCTTCACCGCCTCCCCCTCGCTATTCTGACAGTCATCCCCATAATATCGATCATCATTACATCCCACTTGGACTACAGCAATAGCCTCCTAATAAGAGTTTGCAACCTCCAATCTCTTCCTGCCCTTCAATCCATCCTTTATCTCACAACCAGAAAAATCTTCCTTACGCATATCTCTGGTCAAGTGATTCCTCTGCTCAAAAACCTTTAGTGGCTCCCTACTGCCTACACACACAAAAAAAAGTCTGAACTCTTCTGCCTGGAACTCAAGGCCTGACACAGTATAGCACTGTTCTACTTTGTCAGCCTCCTCACAGGGTCACCAATCTCAATTTCAAAGGGCTCTCTGAGGCCACCTAGGCCAAGGCTGTCATTTTACAGCAGATGACACTCAGGCCCAGCCCACAAAGGCAAGAAGCAGCCCGGGACAATCTCCTTCCACAATTCCAGACTGCCCCAGCAGGCCAGGGCCAGAGGAGCTCCTCCTACCCGATGTGAGGTGGCTGTGGGCACCCCGAGGTTTCTGGGTGGGGAAGAGACAGGGTCAGGTGTATGCCTGGCCAATATCAATCAGACAGACATGTGGAGGACAGATTACAAGAGGCAGAAGCTAGATGCAGGAAGCCCAGGGAGGCAAGAAGTCATAAAACCCTGAACCAGGGATGACTTCATGACTAAATTACTTAATGGCACCTTGAAAAAATCCAGGGGCAAAGGGGAGGGCAACGTGGAACTAATGATTAACATTCACACACTGACCTAGGAAAGGGGAAGTGAGGGCCCCTGCCCCTCAAATCGATGTCCTTGTCCTTAAAGGAAATTACCTTTACATTCCCTCACAATACTATGGGCTTGCTCGGGAAGATCTGTTTTCTTCATATTAACAAAGAGCGCCAAGATCTCCAATCCCTTCTCTTTTCTTAAGCCACTCTCCACTGAGACGACGTATTTGGGACCTGCAACGGGAATGTAAGAAAAAAGAAATAAACCACAAGGCACATGTCAGTGAATGGGGTAAAGACACTGGTGAGCCAGCAGCAGGGAAGCTTACCCATCACTGAGTCGGTCACGCTCTTATCTCGGCTAGTGAGAAGGATCTGATGGTGACTGTCAAAAGCTTTTAGTACCCACGAATCCCAAATGTCGTCCAAGATCAAAAGAGACCTAGGGTAGGAAGGAAAATTCTAAGGACTGCTGGGAGCACTTAGGGGATCTCCCTTTAAAAAAAAAGGCAGACGCCTCATGAGAAGCCTAGGAGGGGGCTGGCCTCAAGTCCAGCCTCTGGCACCTACTGGCTGTGTGACCTTGGGCAAGTCCCTTCACTTCTCACTACTCCAGGCATCTAAGACTACAAGCTGCAGGGCAGGTAGGCAGGCAACAAGCATTGATTTAGCTCCTACTGTGTGCCAAGTACTACTATCCTAAGTGCTGGAGAAATTAATACAAGAAAAAAGAGCTGGTCCCTGCCCTCATGGAGTTTACGTTCTAATGGGAGAAGACAACGCATTAAAAAAAACTGAAAAGCAGAGGGAATGTGCTGGGGGCAGATATGCTGCTCTACATTGGCAAGGGGAGTTTCCTTACCTAGGATTCCCCACAACAATGAAATCACAAGTTCAGTTAAAATATATATATATATATATATATGTAAACAGCAAGAATGTTCCTCCAGGTGCAAATTATTAACCATTATATGGAAAATGCTTCAAATAACTAATAATATGTGAGAGTGCATCCCATTCATATTCATAAAACTAAAAAAATTAAAATTAAAAAACAAAAAAACAAATAACAAATACCTTCCATCCACTGTTTCTAGTTCTGCTTTCCAGAAACAAAGAGATCAGGCTTAATCCCCATTCTAGATAGAATTATAAATCAAGAGCTTTAAGGGACCAGAGGCCTACTCCCTCATTTTATCCATGAATAAACTGAAGCCCAGAGAGATTACCTGACTTGCCCAATGCCACACAGCTCATAAGGAAGAGAGCCAAGATTCAAATTCAGGTCCACTCTAAGTACCTTTCTGGCTTCTGGTACTTTACTGACGGAAGACCCAAAGGCAGGGGCCAAAACCAGCTCCCCTTAATCCACCTGGCTCTAAGCAACGAAGAGTAAAAGCCGGCAGTGAGGTGCGAGCCTCAATTTTTACCTCGGATACTTGCGCAGCATCAAGAAACGGAGGCGGTCTTTGGCTTCCTCAAGGTTCAGCGGGAGTCTCTGGGAGAAAGCCCCATCCTGGTCCAGCCGGGTGCACAGATTCTGGAGTTTCATCAGGAGCCCAGATTTGTCCTGCTTGCCAATGGAGACCCAATGCACACCTCCTGGGAAGCAAGCTGGCAAAGACAGCAGGCAAGGCCAGGAGGGTTAACTTCAGACTGGAAGAAGCCTTCGATCCAGTGTACTGCCTGAACAAAAGGCTCCAAATCCACATCTCCCTCTTGCTTCTTTGGAAAAGGAGGAAAAGGGATAAGAACTCACTATCTGACGAAAACTGCTGGGGAAGCTGGGAAAGAGTACGGCAGAAACTAGGCACGGACCCACATCTCACAACCATAGACCAAAGAGAGTCAAGATGGGTCCATGACTTAGACATAAAGGCTGATACTGTAAACAAACTGGGAAAGCAAGGAATAGTTTACCTGTCAGATCTATGTAGAACAGAAGGATTCCCAACCAAACAGGAGATAGAGAACGTTACAAAATGCAAAACAGATAACTTTGATTACAGTAAATTGAAAAGTTTTTGCACAAACAAAGCCAATGCTTTGTTTAGAAGGAAAGTAGAAAACTGGGAAAGAATTTTTACAACCAGTGTCTCTGATAAGGGCCTCACTTCTAAAATATATAGAGAATGAAGTCAAATTTATAAGAATAAAGTCATTCCCCAATTGATAAATGGTCAAAGGATATGAACAAGCAGTTCTCAGATGAAGAAATTAAAGCCATCTATAGTCATATGAAAAAATGCTCTAAATCATTATTGATTAGAGAAATGCAAATCAAAACAACTCTGAGGTACCACATCACACCTGTCAGATTGACCAACATGACAAAACAGGAAAATGATAAATGTTGGAGAAGATGTGGGAAAATTGGAAAGCTAATACATTGTTGGTGGAGTTGTGAACTGCTCCAACCATTTTGGAGAGCGATTTGGAACTATGCCCAAAGGGCTATCAAAATGTGCATACCCTTTGACCCAGCAACAACAGCTCTTCTAGGGCTATAACCCAAAGAGATCATACAAATGGGGAAGGGACCCACATGTACAAAAATATTCATAGCAGCTCTTTTTGTGGTGGCAAAGAACTGGAAATTGACGGAATGCCCATCAATTGGGGAATGGTTGAACAAGTTGTGGTATATGAATGGAATGGAATACTGTTGTGCTATAAGAAATGATGAGCAAGCAGCCATCAGAAAAACCTGGAAAGACCTGTATGGACTGATACTGAGTGAAGTGAGCAGAACCAGGAGAACGTTGTACACAGTGACAGCCACGTTGTGCGATGACTAACTTTGATAGACTTAGCCCTTCTCAGCAATGCAAGGATCTAAGACATCTCCCAAGGCCTCATGATGGAAAATGCTATCCACATCCAAAGAAAGAATTATGGAGTCTGAATGCAGATAGAAGCATACTATTTGCTATTTTTTTTTCTTCTGTTGTTTTTTGTTTCCTCTTTCTGGTGGTTCCTCCTATTGGTTCTAATTCTTACTTACAACATCACCAATGTTTGAAAATATGTTTAATAGCAATGTATATGTATAGCCCATATCAGATTGCAAGACGTCTTGGGGAGGGAGGTGGGGAGAGAAGGAGAGAAAAATTTAAAGCTCAAAAGCTTATGGAAGCGACTGTTGATAAATCATAATAAATTAAGAAAAAAAAAGAAAAAAAGAAAAAGGAGGAAATAATGGAAAATCAGGTCATTCTGCTTGATTCTTTGGGGGGGCAGGGATTTGCCAGGGTGTCTGTGGGAATGTCTCTGTCCTCAGCACTGCCACCTCTGGCACTGTGGAAGGAGAGATGGCCGTGGAGTCAGCAAGACCTGCATTTTAGACTCAGAGGCACGTTGGTTTGGACATGGCCAATGTGGTCATTTGTCTTGTCTGACTATACATATTTGTAACTGAAGTTTTATTTTTCGTTCTTTCTCAAGAGGGAAATGGGAGAGAGAGAAAGCAGATTTTTGTTAATTGAAAAAAAAATAATTAAAGAAAAAGAAAAACCTGGGTTCAAGTCCTACATTCTGACTCACAATGGTCACCTATGCCAGTTACTTCACCTCTTAGCACCTCAGGGAGCTAGATCTCTAAAGCAGGTTCTCCTAACCTGGGGTCCATGAACCAGTTTGGGGTTTTGTTTTTTTTAATTATTCTGATCACTGTATTTCAATAGAATTGGTTTCCTGTATAATCATGCATATGTCATGAAATTGAAATTTGCATTATTCTGCAAAGGGGTCCCTAAGCTTCAGCCAATTCTGCCAAAATCATCACAAGACACTTGTCACAAGAGATTAAGGCTAAAAATTGCAGAGCAGGGGATCAGCACTAGGAGAGGGAATTTCCTCACTGGGAATCATCTATACAGCTGAAATCATAAGTCCAAACCAAAAAAAAAAAATTTCTTTCTGTCAAAACAAAATAAATCCATTTTCTAAGTGGGGAAAGACAGGGAAAAAATGAGAAAAACTTTTTTAGTTGCTACTGTCTCTCTCCCACCCCTCCACCATTTTAAATCTATTTTATACATGCTTATATACGTGGTCGATGTCTCCCCTGTTATAATGTAAGCTCACTGTTTTGTGTTTGTATTCTGAGTCCTTACCACAGCGCCCACACATAGTAGGTGCTTCCCAGCCATCCTCCAGGGGCTTCCAAACTAGTCTAGGACATCCCTCTCCTAATCCCTTTGTGCTCCCTTCCCTCCAGCTAAGTAGTTTTACTGTACGAGGCAGTAGAAGCAGACGATCTCACCCCTCACCCCAACTACATCCAGACAAACTAAGGCTGAGAATAACTCCAAAATTCAGGTCGTAAAGCTCCACCAGCCACCATCCCTCAAGCACAGTGGGGCCAGCCTGGCTCGACGAGGTCTGTGGGAGCAGCTCCTGTTCAGAGTCTTGGCAGGAGACGGCTTACAGAGGGGAGTGAAAGCCCTTCCCCAATAACCAAGCACCAAACAGCCCTGAGATGCTGCAGTATACGAATCCTCTGGTGATCCCACGGGCTAGCAGCTATCTCTTCCACACCAGAAGAGACGGCTTCTCTAAATGAGAGAGAAGACAGACAGTACAAATGCTTCAGGAAGACAGTGAGCTGTGGGTGGGCAGTGGGAGTACAACATGACATGCTGCACAACAAGTCAGAAAGGCCTGGGTTCAAATTCGACCACTGACACTTACAAACCATGTGACCACAGTCAGTCAGTCATCAAGCCTTTACTAAACACGTACTATGTGCCAGGCACTATGCTCAGTGTCTGGAGATACAAAGAGAGGCAAAAAATGTCGTCTCTGCCCTCAGGGAGCTCCCAATCTAATGGGGGAGACAACATGCTAATAATTCTATATAACTACAATAACAACACACAAAACAAATCCAGTGTAAATGGAAGGTAATCTCAGAGAGAACCCAGGGCGGGGGGGGGGGGGTCAGGAAAGGCCTCCTGCAGACGGTGGGACTGGAGCGAGTCCTGAAGGAAACAAGAGGTGGACAGGAGGAGGGAGGGCACTCATTCCAAGCATGAGGGGCAGCCAGGGCAAAGGCAAGGGTCAGGGGACAAAGAGCCATGGGGCAACAACGCCAGGATCAGCAGACCAGGTGGAAGGAAGCAGAGCGTAAGCAAACTAGAAAGGGAGGAAGGGGCCAGATTGTGCCACAGAGGCTTTCCTATTTGGCCCTGGAGGTCACAGGGAGCCAGGAGGGAAGAGGCATCAGAAAAACATTTTAAATTATAAAATTTTTAAAAAACAAAGCTAATTGTTTGTATGATCCTCAGAGACCAAAAGTCATGATATAAGGAACCTGTTAAGGGCTAACACATTTACTTAATTTAAAATAAAAAACATAAAAATAATTCAAAAGGACATTGAAATTAAGAAGGAATGATGCTGGCATACAAACAGATGTTATCTTTTACCCACCGGGCACGCTAGAGGGCATACAGTCCTCGAGTTTCAGAGACAAAAAGGAAGGTGAGATATACGCCCCACTCCTCACGCATGGCATGCCCAGTGGTGGGGGAATGGCTAAATGCATAGTGTGACGGGGTGTAATGAAGTGTGGCGGTGCCCGAAGGGAGGACGGGCAGGAGGAGGAATGCCCAGGATGCCCCCCTGCCACCCTCACCACGGGGAAACAAACGGATTCAGCATAAAGCAATCCAGCCTGACAGCTAACCAAACAACAGAGGTGGACAAGGACTGGACTGAGAGTCAGAGGGCCCAGGCGTTAGGCTCAGCTCGGCTACTCACTCCTGAAATGACCCTGGTTAACGCACATCATCTCTCTGGGCCTTAGTAAAGAGGAAATTAGCAACCGAGGGAAGGCATTAGAAGTAAGAGGGACTGGGAAAGACGTCCCACAGAAGGTGGGATTTTAGTTGGGGACCTGCAGGAAGCCAGGAAAAGAAATGAACTCTGAAGAATATTCCTTAACAAAGGAGCTGCTCTCATTTCCCTGATATTCCAAAACTGAACACCTTCTATAAGCCTGTTACTGACTGTAGCTACTATGACAAGATATGGAAGATTTTTTTTTAATCTAGGCCCAAGTCATCTTATTCTTTATGAATTTAGGCTCAACTTTGACACAAACTGGGAAATACGGTAAGCTACGAAGGCCAGATGTATCATTCTGAAAGGTCCCCAAGGGTAATCTATATTGCTAACACCAGTTTCAAGAGGAAGGAGGGAAGAGGGAAGAAGGAGGAGGGAGGAGGAAGAGGAAATCAGTTGGACTGCCCAGGTTCACACAGCTAGTTAATGCCAAGAGGAAGGAGAACACAACTAAAACCTAAGCCAAATTTTCTAGAATCAAATAACAACAAAAATGTTTCTTGAATATCTACCATCTACACAAGGCATTGCACAGACTACGCTCTAAATACAGAAACACAAAGAGCACCTGGAAACCCAGAAGTGCTAAGTTATGGAAGGAGCACTCGGTCTATGTAACCTTAACCTGTTCAGGCCTCGATTTCCTCAAACAGAGGTCGGACTAGATGAGCCCTAAGGTCCCTTCTGTCGAATGAATATGATCCAGATTCTGGGGCTCCAAAAGTAATCACAGATGCCCAACTACAGGTACAGAATAAATATTTATTAAAAGATTTATAGAAAAATAGCCCCTTATTTTACAGATGCAGCAACTGAAGGCCACAGAAGGTCAGAAACTTGCCTGAGGTCTTATCCAAAGTACACGGCAGAATTGGGCTCTGAACCCAAGACCCCAGTGCCAGACCCAGGTCTTTCCAGACCACTACACTGCCCTTCTTGGGTTGACAACCAGATGACAGGATACAGAGCTAGAAGGAGCCCAGTTCAACCCCCTCATTTTACAGCTGAAGAAAACAAGGTCCAAAGAAGTTATTTTCCCAAAATCCCAATGGAACAAGTGTGAGAGGCAGGCAATGAACCCAGGTTGCCAGCCTCCAAAAAGCCAGTGATCTTCCCACACTTTCTCTCTCTCTCTCTCTCTCTCTCTCTCTCTCTCTCTCTCTCTCTCTCTCTCTCTCTCTCTCTCTCTCAGACTGACTCCCACATAGTTTGTACATATTGCAATTAAATGGAATTTTTTTCTATCTCCCCCTTCTGAGTTTTGTTAGTAATACACAGCAAGACGGATGATCTGTGTCGCCTCATTTTACGCCCTGCTGTTTTACTGAAGTTACTAATCATTCCAATACATTTTTAAAAATTAAATCAGAAGGATTTTCAAATTAAACAGTCACATCGTCCATAATTTGGTCCCCCCTTAGCCACTGCTTAGTGAATGGGGCTGCCAAGGGAAAGAGCTTACAAAGGAAAAAGATAAGGGCAAGAAAAGATGCTGGAGGAACACACATATTCAGGAGCACAGAAGTGGATAAGGACTGAGCAGGAGAGCTATTAGAGTCTGGAGCACTGGAGGTGGGGAAGTAGGTAACAGGCCCCTAACCCCAAGGAAGCAGACGGTCATTTGCATCAAAAGCAGCAACGGTCAAGTGAGGATGATGTTTGTAGATGTGGTGACCAGGAGCTCACCAGTTAACACTGGCTACAAAGCTTCACCCAGAGTATAACACAATCTCTCTTCCATACTCACAGCACAGAAAAGCCATCAAGAAAATCACAAGTGTCATCATGTCACTGAAACTACATCTTCTTTAATTCCTTCAGGGAAGAGCTTATATCAAGAATCAACTTCCAATACCATTACTAGGTCTGTACCCAAAAGATCAAAGAAAAGGGAAAAGAACTTATGTGCACGAAACTATTGTATAGCAACTCTTTTTGCTGAGACAAAGAAATGGAAACTGGGGGATTGCCCACCCATTGAGGAATGGATGAACAAGTTGCGGTATGTAAGAAATGAGGAGGAGGATGGTTTCAGGGAAGACTTATATGAAGTGATGCAAAACGAAGTGAGCAGAACCAAGAGAACACTATATACTGTAACAGCAATACTATAGGGGAGATCAACTGTGAAAGACTTAGTAGCTAGTCTGATCAAGGCAATGATCCAAGACAATTCCAAAGGACCCATAATAAAAAGTACTATCCACCTCCAGAGAGAAAACTAATGAATTTGTTGTCCGTGAGCTGCAACGCAACTGAAATTGAGTTCTGATTAAAGTATAGTGTTTTCTGATTTCTTTGTCTTGCTTTTTTTTCTTTCACAACACGAGTAACATGAAAAATACATTTTACACAATTTCATATGTATAATGTGTATTGTATTTCCTTCTCATGCGTGGAGGAGGTGTGGAGAAAGGGAGAAAATCTGAAACTCAAAATTTTACAAATTAATTTTAAGAAAATAAAAACAATCAGCTTCCAAAGTAGACACCAGACCACTGCTTACAAGCTATTTTCCCCTTCTTCCTCCAAAAGAAAAATGCCTTCCTTCAGAAAGATGTGTCCTAGAATAACAAACACTTAAGTTTGCTATCAGAGAACCTGGATTTAAGTCCTGGTACTGCCACCTACTACTTGTGTAACTTTCTTTGAGCAAATTACTCCTTTTCTCTGGGCCTCAGTTTTCTCATCTGTAAAATGGACTGGATCAATCTCGCTCAACTAATAAGCATTTGTTAAGTGCCTACTATGTGCCAGAAATTTTGCTAGGCACTAGGAATAAAAAGACAAAAAGAAAAAGTCTCTGCCCTCAAGAAGCCTATATTCTATACAGGAGAAAGCGTGTACATAGAAAAGAATATACAAAATAGATATGAAATAAATACCAGGGAAACTGGGAGCAGGGGAAGAAAAGGAAACTAATAACCAGATGTGATCTCAGGGGCATAAGAGATGCCAACGTGGAAACTCCCTCCCCAGATGCAAGCCTACAATTTTCCATAATTTAATCATCTTAAAAGAGTTGCCCGGTCACCAGAATGTACTACTGGTGGAGCTGTGAATTAGCACAGCCAATTTGGAAATCACGTTGGAACCGTGTTCAAAGTCACAAAACTATGTTTGCCCTCTGATCCCATGATATCACTACTAAAGCGACACCCCTACAGAGATCAAAGAAAAAGGAAAAGACCTCATGTGAATAAACATTTACGGCAGCTCTTTCTGCTAGAGGAAAGGACTAGGAACTGAAGGGCAGTGCCAACCAAGTGGGGAACAGCCGAACAAATTCTAAGCTATGGATGTAACAGACTTTCTTTGCACAACAAGAAATTATAAAAGGAGCCATTTCAGACTTACGTGAACTGATGGAGAGTGAAGTGAGCAGAACTGGAGAACACTGTAAAGAGAAACTACCTTGAAAGACACAAGACCCCACACCAATGCAAGGACTCACAGAGCAGGGTAAGAGAAACATTTTTGGACACAGCCAATGTGGGAATCTGTCTTACTTGACCACACATACGCGTTACAAAGTTTTTGTTTTTCTTTTTAGCAATGAGGTGGAGAGAAAGAGTAGATTAAACAGAGTTGCGCCCCCCCCAAAAAAAAAGACTGTCACTGAAGCACTTTTTTAAAATGCACAGAATGAAGGGAAGCCAGAAGGAAATCACAGACAACCAGGACATGTTTGAAAATGAAGGGGTAACCTTATTTTTATTTGTATACTATCTATATATCTATATTGATACAGATATAGATATATGTATATGTGTGTGTATCTATTCACATATGTACGTGTGTGTATATATGTATGTGTGTGTATATATATATATAAATTATATTAAAAGTAAGTTGTACTTCTAGAGAGAATTGCAGTTTCATATACAATCCTCTTTTTCTATTGTACTAGGCATATGGAAATGTTCATTTTATTTAGTATCGTTAAGCTTTGAACAAAAAAAATAAAGCTATGACTTCTACCCACCACGGTACCCTGCCTCTCATAATATAACAAGGAATAAAAATCTCTTAACTAAATAGCTTCTAAGTTACTTCTCCACCCAATGACTCTGAGAATTACAGCTCACAGCGACCTGATCAAATCTGTCAGCCAGCCCTCCTCAAACTACATAATTTCAAAGTAATCATTCATGAAAAGTGCATTATTAGCCACCACTCTCTCAGTATTCGAGCACTTACTTTCTAAGAGGCTGTGGTCCCGGACAGCTTCTGCAGCTAGGACAGACTTCCCACAGCCTGCCATCCCATAGACTGTGACCCATCCAGGTTCGCTGTTGAGTTTATAAAGCTTTTCTTGGATCGACTTCACCAGCTTCTTCCTGGTCACAAACACAACAGGCCTCTGTGGTACACCACCTTCACACAGCACTGTCTTCACTGAAACCCAAAACAATGAGAACATAAAGGAGATAAGCAGAAGGTCACCCAGGCAAATGCCACTAAATCATCTTGGAAAGCCTCAAATTTTTTAGCACCATACATAGGTCTCCATCCAATTCCACAAAAGGTGAATATGCTATTGCTAGAGCTATGGACTGGTCCAACCATTCTGGAAAGTAATTTGGAATTTGGCAAAAAAAAAAAGTGACTAAACTGACCATACCCTTTGATCCAGAGATCCTACCACTAGGTATATTCTCCAAGGCCATCAAAGACAAAAGAACTCACAGACACCAAAGTATCACAGCAGCCTTCTAGTAGTAATAAAGTTGAGATGGAGAAAAAGGTGATGCTCGTCAACTGGGAAATGGCTAAACAAAATACGGTACGTGAAAGTAATGGAACGTTATTGCACTAAGATAAAAAATGCCAAAGAAACAAAGGAAGACTGATATGATGTGATGTGTGGAATGAAGAAACCAGAACAAGGAAACCAGATATAAAATAACTATAACAGTGCAAATAACCAAAAAATTGAATGTTGTTTAATTACGACCAATCAGGCTCTCAAAGATGAGATAAAATCCATTTCCTTCCCTTTACTGGACAAGTGGGGGTCTGTGGGTGTGGAATACTACAGATACTGTGCTAGTTATTTTTGCTGAACTGTTTTCTTCTCTTTCTTTCTTTTCTGTTACAAGGAATAACCTGAAAGGTGCTATTACATATATATATATATATGTATATATGTATGTGTATATATATATACACTATATTATATATAGTATATAGATATATATATTATATATATAATATAAGGAGATAATAAATGTATTTGGAAACAAAAGTAACAAAAGCAAAAGATATTAAAATTTTCAGTAAAAAAAAGCAATTGAAAAATAAATCTAAAAGAAAGTTAGTGAATATGGACAAACTTCAAAGTCCAATTATTAGCCATGACTTCACATTTTTTGTCTCTGTCCTAAAAGTTTCTTAGTCTCTCTGCTCACGGGGCTGGATGGACACTTCAGAGGCTTCATCCAAGAAACGTGGTTTCGGCAGAAACCGAAGCAGGAGACAGTGTTTGGAAAAAAAACAGGCAAAGAAAACAGTAAATGAATAGTGAAAAAAACAACAACAAAGGTGTCTGTGAGGGGAGCAGGCAGTTTAGGAGAAGGGAACAAAGATGAAGAAACTAAGACAAGACTGTATACCTGTCCATGATTGCTAGAGCAGTCTAAATCTGACACGTACAGGACTGGAGACTTAAAGGGAATGGTCCCAGGCATCCTTTCACTCAATGGCTATTAATTGGAGAAGACCACTCTCAAGCTACCTGAATTTCTGCCAACTTATAAACTAAGACCCAGGCCCAAACTGACCCTGACTTCTTACGAGCGAGAGGACAGAGAGAACAATTTTGAGGCTTCCAGCTCAGCAGCCAAAGGAAGAAGAAAACGAACCAGTGGCTAATTTCACTCAGAGACGAAAACAACAGCTCGAAGGCCAAGGAAGCCCCCTCGGCGACCTGGCCGCGTCTGCCCTCCACTCCCCTCCTGCTCCTAGCTACCTCACCTGAGCCATTCTTTCTGGGATACTAAAGCCTGGAAGGGAGAATATGAAGGTGCTAGAGTTTAAAGGAACCTGCTTTAGGAATGCAGGGCTCCAAGCAGCCGGAGAGTATCTGTCCTACACAGCAATTACCAAACTAGATGAGGAAAGCTGCAGCACCAAGATAAACAACATTGCTCCTGCAAAGTAACGGCTCACGAGGGAAGTTATCCCACAAGGAAACAGGCTCTGTGACCTCCAGGAGCCTGATCAGGGAGCCCAAGTTCCTGGTCTTCGTGTTATTAGCTGACTAACGTCAGTGGCCTCTAATGTCCTTTACAGCCCTCCTTGTGGCTTCAGTTTTCTTAACTGTAATGAAAGCCATGGACTCAAGCCCTTCTAAAGTCCCTCCCAACTTTCAATCAACCCTCTGACTTGAAGAACAGTTTCCAAGCATCCCCACAGCCCCCAAATTGGCCCTCCCTCTGTCTGTGACTACCTGCAGGCCTTGGGCAAGCTGCCTCACTCTTCTGGGGCTCAGACTCCTCCTCTATTAAGTAAGCCAAAGTTGGATTTGATGACCTTGAAGGTCCCTTCTGAGTCAAACTCTTTAATCTTACATCCCAGATATAATTCTATATCAGGTGCCCCTGGCCATGAGCCTCTTCACACAATCCTGGCTGGTCCCCAGGCGTAGTCAGTCCATCACTAACCCATTGTCTCTGCCCTTGTCCAACACGTGGCCTGCTCACTGGTGTGGCCTTCGAGGACCCCAGGTCACCTCCACATCACCACAAGGATGGAGTATTATGGAAGGACTTCAGAACAAAACAAGACGATACTAATGGGGCAGCTAGGTGGTGTGGTGGATAGAGCACTGGCCCTGGAGTCAGGAGGACCTGAGTTCAAATCCAGCCTCAGACCAAACACTTGACACTAGCGATGTGACCCTGGGAAAGTCACTTAACCCCCAATTGCTTCACCAAAAGCAAAAACAAACAAAAAAAAAAGATGATACTAATAGAAAATGTAAAAACGAACCGAGAATAACCATGACCAAACTACAATGAGCAGAATCTACCTGATTTTAAAAACTTAATGGAAAAGTACTCTATCCTACACCTTCATTTCTAAAGGGAAGTGATAACTGCTTCCTTGGGTGGGTTTCCTAACACAATGAAAAATATACTGTATTAAAGTACGTGCACCTGGGTTCAAATCCTGCCTCTGAGAGAAATCATTTGGGGAGATCCAGAGCTCCCCCCTTTTTCTAAAGTCCTGATTTCAAAAAGTTTAGTCTCTTGAAAGACATAACTGATAATGAGATTGAACTTTTTCTCTGTTGTTGTTTTCTGGTGAAGCAATCGGGGTTAAGTGACTTGCCCAGAGTCACACAGCTGGTAAGTATCAGGTGTCTGAGGTCAGATTTGAACTCCCGACTCCAAGGCCAGAGCTCTATCCACCTAGTTGCCCTGGACTAACTTTCAGACCCCACCCAGGCGGGGAAGCCATTGTGCTCTACTCAGTTTTGGATAGGATAAATTCTTTGAATAGAATGCCCAAGGGGTATGGAAGGTTAACACAGAAGTAAATGATACAATCAAAGTTCTTTTGAATATGTTCGGCTCCTCATTGTAATATTCATTCATTAATTGTTAACCAATCAGATTTGATTGTCACCCTGGGAACACACTTTTTGTCCAATGGACATACATGGCCAGAGCCCTGCCACCATGATTGTCTTTGCTCTAAGAGAGAGATGGCAAAATGACTAGCCTTTTATTAATAAACATACTGGCATTATTAATAAAATGATTACATTATCCAGAAATTATGTCTGTCAAACCTTTTAAAAGTTGCAATTCTGTTAATAAAGAGGTTGGACTTGATGGCCTATAAGTCCTTCTTAGCTCTAATCCTATAATCTCTGGATCCCATGAGACAAAATTTTAGTATTTCTTAACAGAACATGAGCTAGATCACAGATACTGACCATATGAAGTCACTCCATCCACTGAATCCTTTCCATTATATGAAGGAAGAGGAATACCATCTTGGAGAAGGAAAGCCAAATCCTTGTAGCCTTCATGTAGCAGAGCATTGTAGAAAGATATGTATGAATTATTATCTTTTTCAAGTAATACCCTAATGAGCATAGATGCTCTCTTCCTTTGGGTAGGCTAAAAAGGAAAAAAAAAACTTAGTATATATAAGGACTTTTTCCTCCCATGAGCAAGCATCCAGGATAAATTCTGAAAACTTCTAAGGCAACACAAGGAGCCTTAGAACAGGAGCCCTTAACCTTTCTTCAATATCACAGGCCCCTTTGGTAGCCAAATAAAGTCCAGGGACCCCATTTCAGAATCAGGTTTTAGAATAATTAAAGGTTAAGTTTCAGTGAAACGTTAGTGAAAATAAAACCACAATTTCTTCCCATCCAAGTTCACAAACACCCCCATCCCAAAATCCATCCACAGACCAGCTGGGAGTGTGTAGACCCTATATTAAGAACTCCTGCTTCAGAAGATAGTTAATAGAAAGACTAAAATTTATTAATACCTTGAAGAACTAGGCTGTATCACTGACATAGTACAATTTTTATCCATAAAGAAAACAGAAACAACAGGATGAAAATTTTATTTCAAAATAAAATTTACAATATCTGCTCACAATTATTTATATTTAAAGCCCAAACTACATTTGGACAGACAGGAGAAAATGTGGTAAATTATAAAAAAATTATTTTCCAACTCTTGCATCAACTAACATACCTAGTCCTTCTAGTATTGGGGGGGGCAGGGGGCGGAGGTACAGGGGATGTACCTGATTTCTTATTTTCTCCTCCTCTGACAAACTAAGAACCCGGTCAGAAATCATGTGATCCATGAGGTAGGAAGTCTTGATGTCTCTTTGCAGGGCTTCCTTGTGCTGAAGCAAACAGTTGCGAGCTTTGGCATCCATCCTCCACCAAGCCGATCTTCCCCTTCAGGACGGACAGACATGAGCTGTAATCAGGACACCAAAAAGCTAGAGTCACAGGGCAGTCCCAACCAAGCTAGTTTCTTCCATCCAGTAAATTAAAACTGGCTTTTGGAATTGCCAGGGCCATTAACAAGGTGGAAATCCCCCTCGCCAGCTCTTTGTCTGTGTTAGGCAAACCTTTCTCATGTGCTCAGCATTCCCAGCTGGGCAGAGCAAGACAAAACAAGAGGAAACCCTTCCCCCATACATATACACGCACACTCTCTGATGTCATCCCTCAGATTCAGGGCAAAGGAAGGTACAGTAAAAATCAGCCTTCCACAGTCTGCTTTCCGAATTCCTGAGCGCCAGCAACAAATATGAGTGTTCCAAAGCCCCAGTTACAATATTTAATATTAGTAAAAGCTCATGTTTCTAAGTCAATCACAATTTCCCACCGAGTAATTGTAGCAAGATTCTAAAATGGCTATTAACAAATGACCATGTTTAAAATAAATATCACCAAATGAGGTGGGGGCCCAAAATAGAAGTGCGACCATTTGTCTTCATTTGTCAATGTTCACAAATGCAGAGGGTTGGAATAAGTCAAAGCTTCTTTTGTGAAAACAGGAGGAAAACCATGCCTGGAGATGAAGAGTTTTAGGAGCTTCTGAAATTCTGTTAAATATTTTAACTAGGGAATATTTCAGAGAGGCAGCATGATGTAATGGAAAGATCACCAGTTTGGGAATTGGGGGGGGAAAAAAACAGGCTTTAAATCCTGGCTAACACTAGCTGTGCGATCTATGCAAGTCACAGAACTTTTCTGAGCCTTAGTTTCTTCAACTGTGAAATAGGAAATAATAATATTTGTGCTATTTATCTATACCACAGCAGTGCTCTGTGGAAAGTTCTTTGCCATAATAATAACATCCCACATTTATAAAGCACTTTCAAGTTTGCAAAGTGATCCTCACTATAATAATCCTGTGAAGCACATGCTACTATTATTATTATTATCCCCATTACACAGATGAGGAAACTCAGTCTGAGACAAGTGAAATGAGCTGCCCAGAGTAGATCAGTCTGTCTGTCTCTGACACACACACACACACACACACACACTCACCCCCCCCAAGCATCTGAGGAAGGATTTAAACTCCAGCTAAAGGGCATAGTGGATAGATTGCTAGGCCTGAAGTCAGAGTTCAAATCTGGCCTCAGACACATACTAGCCATATGACCCTGGACAAGTCATTTAACCCAGTTTGCCTCATTTTCCTCATCCGTAAAATGAGCTGGCAAACCACTCCAGTATTTTTGACAAGAAAAAGACAGATGAGGTCACAATATAGGGGGGAAAAAAAGAGTCAGACACAACTGAAAAAAAAAACGACTGAACAACAACTTACCACCATGCTTCCTCTTACATCTAATTTGAATTTAATTTAGGAAGTAAAAGCTGTGGACCTACCTGCACAGTGCAAGCAGTTTCCCCTAGGATCACATCCCAGTTCCCTCCCCCTCTCTCTCTCCCCCACATTTACAAGATACTGCTGAGAATGCACAAGAATTAACAGGCAATAATAGCAAAAGTAAAACTGCCAGGGCCAGCACTCCCTAAACTTACTTGGCCAGGGTCCACATCAGGTGTCTAAATGTACAGACAGAATCCATAAAGGCTGGTTAGGGGGAGTTCAGGGCATGAAACACTAGACCGAAGTCCGAGAGATTTTGGAGCAAAACAATAGAAATGAAACATTTTCACGCTGAAAAATTGTCCCCTGGAGATGGAAAAAAGCGTCTTCTTGCCAAAAACCAAGTTCTGTCACTTAGGTACAAGCCGGAACATGCTACCTGTGTGAAGTGGCAACAGCTGGGCTCTGCCACTCTGGTCAATGGAGGCAAGTAATTTACTAGAAACGAAGACACTATTTCCTCATCTGTAAAAGGAGGAAGTTAAGACTAGTTTCAACTCCAATCAAGGAACATTTGCTGAGGGTGCCTACCATGTACCTGGCTCAGAAATGAAAAAATGTCTACCCTCCAAGACCCTCTAAGGTCTGATCTCCATCCCCCAAATCCCTTCTGAAACTCCTTGTGCTTTGCATATGCAGATCTATGTGTGTGTATAGTGATACAAATCTATGTGTGCATCTGTATCACGTATATTCTGTGCATACACGTATGCATATACTGTATATACAGATAGATACAGATAGATACAGATGTAGACAATAAAGCATTTTTGAAGCTTGCAAAGCACTTTCCTCCTAACTCATTTGAGATAGTAGAAACAGGGTTTCCCCCACAGACAGTAAGCTCCCTGACGGCAGGGGCTGTTTCCTTTTACCCCCAGGGCCCAGCCCCGTGCCTGGCACATAGTAGGCACTTCAGGTTTGTTGACTGACTGACTGATAGATCGCTCCGGTCCCTCGCGCCTGGAGCAGCGGGTGATAGGCAGGCGCTCAGCCGCTTTGCACAAACCTTTCCCGGGACGGGCTGTCCGTTCTCCGCAGGCCGCCTGCAGATGCTTGGTCCAGGACGAGACACTCCGTCCCCCGCGGCGGCCGCGGGCTCGCTCACGTCCCAGCTCTCGGACCCCCGGAGCCCCGGAAGCAGGGAAATGCTCCCGGAGCGCGGCGGGGGGCCGGGCTCCAGCCCGGGGAGGGGGGAGGAGCAAGTCTGAGCTTTTACAAAGTAATTTCTTCCTCCTCCCTCACCTCGGAGGACCAGGGCGAGGCTCCCGCGGCTGCTCGGGCGCCGGCTCCGTCTGCGCTGGAAGCGGACTGCCTCAGTCACATCCAAGACTGAGGGGAGGGGCCGAGCCAACCCGCAGCCCTCCACGCCCCGCCCCGAGGCCAAGAGAAGCGGAGGAGGAGGCAAGCGCGCACTCGCGAGCGCCAGCCCGGGCTCGGGCGCCGCCGGCTGCGCGCACAGCCAAACCAGGGCTTTCCTTTCAGGGACGTGCCAGCTCGCGCCCGGGCCTCCACAGCCCACACTGTAATTGTTCAGGCTGCCCAGGCTGCGCGCGCACTTCAGGGACTGCTGCGGCCTCGCTCTCGCGCCCTGACCGCCGCAGTCCCCAATATGAAGTTCAGGCCGCCCAGGCTGCGCGCGCAACCAAACCCGGGCTTGCCTCGGAGGTGGGGGTGGGGCCGCTTACGCATGCACGCGCGCGCGCGCGCTCTCCATCTAGCCGTAGCCTGGAGGACCGGAAAGCCGGGCGGGGAGGGGCGGGGCGGGTCCGCGGGTGGAGCGCGCGCGGCGGGGACGCGCCCAGAGTGGGCGCGAGCGGCCCCGCCCCCCAGGCTCCCAGGGAAGAAGGAGGAGCGGTGCTGCCGGCGGCTCTGGACGCCCTGACAGACAGACGGACGGACGGACGGACGGACAGACGGATGCTCTAAGGTAAAGAAGCGGGCGGGGAGGCCCTCGGGGGCCCGGGCGGGGGAGGCTGCGATGCCCGCCCCCCACCCCGGCCTCGTCACGGTCAGCGGCCGCCCGTGTCCCCCCCCAGGGCCCGCGGACATGTCCGAGGCGAAGCATCGCAAGAAGGCGGGCGCCAAGGGGGCGCCCCCGGAGCCGGGCCGACGCGGCGAGGCCGGGCAGCCCCCGGAGCCGGCCCGGGGAGCGGAAGGCGGCGGCGGCGGCGGCGGCGGCGGCGGCGGCTGGGCGGACCCGCGGACCGTGCTGTGCCTGCTCTCCCTCGGGACCAGCCTGGCCTTGGCCTGGTAAGTGGGAGGCCCCGCGCCCCCGTCAGTCCATCCATCCATCCGTCCGACCCCGCCCCCAGCCTCGTGGAGCAGCCGCTGCAGGCCCGCCCCTCCTATTACACGGGGGGAAACTGAGGCCCAGAACAGCGCCCCACCTCGATACCCCCATCTCACTGCCCTCATGTCTAAGGGAGGGTTAAGTAGAAGGTGTCTCCAGGCCTCAGTTTCCTTATCTGTAAAATGAGGGGGCTGGACGAGGAGACCTCGGAAATCCCTTTCAGGTCTAGATCTATGGTCTTGTCTGCCTCCTCCTCCTCCCTGACCCCTCTTTAGCCTTTGGTACTGACCACGACCCTCTTCTCGTGGATCCGCCCATCCCACATCTCACCTTCCTCTTGCTTCTTCTCCTGCCTCCCTGACCACTCCTCCCTCCTTGGATGGAGCGTCCAGGGGGTCCCCAGTATCCGTGGGGGTCCCGAGGGTTCTGGTCTGGCCCCTCTCCTCTTCCTCTGTTCATGTGGTGATGTCATCAGCTCCTGTAGATTTAATTACCATCTCTGTGCTGATAATTCCCAAATTTTTATGCAGCTCTAGCTTCCCTACTGTTCTCCAGGCTCGCATCTCCAGATGTTGTCTGACGGACATCCGGAACTGGATGTCCTGTAGACATCTTAGCCTCAGCCTGTCCAAGACGAAGTTCATCTCTCCCTTATCCTTCTGTTATTGTCAAGGGCAACACTCCCCTCCCAGTCACACGATATGGACACCTCGATGTCATCCTTAATCCTTCACTCACTCTCACCTCCCAAAGCCAGTCAGTTGTCCAGTCCTGTCAAACCTACACATCCTTCTTGGAAACTTCCACCACCCTGTTGAAAGCCCTCATCACCTTCCTCCTAGACAATAGAAATAAGCTGCCAGGTGATCTCCCTGCCTCAGATCTCTCTCTGCCTCGGTCCATCCTCTGCTCAGCTGTCAGAGTGATCTTCCTAAAGCACAGGTCTGTAAATTTCAGTAGTACCTTGTCATCTCCAGGCACAAATATAAAACCCTCTGCCTTTTGAAGTCCTTCATCACCTGGCTGCTTCTTACATCTACGTTCCTATATTCTACATTCCATTCTTCTTACATCTTACTCCCCTCCAAGTATTCAACTGTCCAGTGACACTGGCCTCCATCATGTTCCTGACAGCAGACATTACCTAACTCTGGGCATTTTCACTGGGCTCTCTCCCCTGTGCCTGGAATGCTCTCCCTCCTCGTTGCTCCTTCCTGGTTTCCCTGGCTTCAGGTCTGAGCTAAAATTCCACCTTCTGTAAGAAGTCTTTCCCAGTCCTTCATGTTAGTGTCTTCCACAGAGATTATCTGCAAGTGATATATATGTGTGTATATATGTACATATATGCACACATATATATACATACATACATATTAACACACATACACATTTGCATACATATATATCTTAGTTGTACATAGTTATCCACATTTTTACTTCCCCCCACATTAGATTGTGAGCCCCTTGAGAGCAAGGACTATTTTTGCCCTCCTTCGTATTCCCAGTACTTAGCACAGTGCTCAGCACATAGTAGCTACTTAATAAATGCTTGTTGATTTAACTGTCTGGCTTGGCTAATCTAGACCTGTCCCCTCTTTACAGAGGAGGAAACTGAGGCCCGGAGTAGTGTGGAGAAAAAGAACTGGTTCTGGAGTCAAAAAACCCAGTTTCAAAACTCACCTTTGACATTTCATGCCCGTGTGACCCTTGGATCAGTGACTTCATATTTTTGAGCCTAAGTTTTCTCATTTTTAAAAAAGAGATTCTGAGTAGATGGCCCCTAACATGCCTTCTGGCTAGATCTATGGCCACAGAATCACAGAATTTCTGAGGGAGAAGAAATTTCAGCAACCCTTTAGTCAAACCCCTGCAGAAAAGGCATCTCCACTGCAACGTGCCCGGCAAGTGTTCATTCCACTTCTGCTTGAAGATCTGTAGAGTCATGGGGTCCACATGCTACAGTAGACTCCCTGCTCCAGCCGCACCTGCCCACAATGTCAGTCAGCAGGCTTTGCTTTTCTCTGGGTTTTTTGTTTATTTCTTTGCTTGCTTTTTGTCATTGTTAGTTTGTTTTTTACCAGACCTGTGATTTCATGGCTGTAGGGAGTTCCTGGTAAGACTTTCTCCACCAGCACAGATCAACACTTTCTCTCATTTCATAGGCTTCCCAAGTTGCCTGGGACACTGAGGTTAAATGACTTTCCGCAGGCCACGTAGTCAGTATGTGACAGAAGTAGGCCCTCAGCCCTGTTCTTCTAGGCCCTGACACCAGCTCACTAGCCACTATGTCACACTGCTTGTCAAGCATTTGTTAAGGGCCTAGTATGTGCCAGGTACTATGTGAGGAGCTGAGATCGAAAGACAAAAATAAGACCATTCCTGCCCTGCAAGAGCTCACATGTCACCAGGAAGATTCACATTCACAGATAAGCATATGCAGGATATATAGGAAATTTAAATGATGGGAGGGTTGGGGGGGGGACCGATAACTGGAGGAATCAAAAAAAGTGTCTTGAAGGAAGTGCTACTTGGACTGAGCCTTGAATGAAGCTAGGGGTTCCAACGGGCAAGTAGTGAGATGGGAGAGCATTCTAGGCCTTGGACCGGTCTGTACACAGGTACCAGAAAGTGGAATATTACATCATATCTGGGGAACAGAAATCAGCTAGTTTGGCTGGCTGGTAAATGATGGTGGTAATGTGTAATCAAAATCTGGAAAGATTGACTGGAGCCAACTTGTGAAGGCCTTTTGTATTATATCCTGGAGGCATCAGGGGACTGCTAAGGCTTCTTAAACAAGGGAAGTTTAAAGATTATTTTGGCAGATTTGTGGGGAATAATTTGGAGAATGGAGAGGCTAGATGCAAGAAGACCATTTCGGAAGTTATTGCAGTAATCTAGATAATAATGGTAGCTAGCATTTGTATAGGCATACCTCGTCTTACTGTGCTTTTGCTTTATTTCGCTTCTCAGGTATCACTTTTTTTTTTTTACAAATTGAAGGTTTGTGATAACCCTGCTTTAAGCAAGTCAGTTGGAGCCCTTTTTCTAACATCATGTGCTTGCATCATGTCTCTGTGTCACATTTTGGTAATTCTTGCAATATTTCAAACTTTTTCTTTATTGTTATGTCTGTTATTGTAATCTGTGATCAGTGATCTTTGATATTACTATTGTAATTGTTTTGGGGCAACACTAATCATGCCCATATAACATGGCAAACTTCGATGATAAATGTTGTGTGTCTTCTGGCTGCTCCACCAACCGGCTCTTCTTCCACCCACCCCACCCCCATCTCTCTCCCTCTCTCTTCCAGTCTCCATAGTCTTTGCAACATAACAATATTGAAATTGTGCCAATTAGTAACCCTACAGTGGCCTCTTAGTGTTCAAGTGAAAGGAAGAGTCAGTAGATGGGGCAAACTTCATTGTTGTCTTATTTTAATAAATAGCCACAGCCTTCAGCAGCCACCACCCTGATCGGTCAGCAGCCATAAACATCAGCCCTCCACCAGCAAAAAGATTAAAACTCACTGAAGGCTCAGATGATGGTTAGCATTTTTTAGCAATAAAGTATTTTTTAATTAAGGTATGTACATTTTTTAAACATATGTTATTGCACACTTAATAGACTACACAGTATTATGTAAACATAACTTTTATATGCACTGGGAAACCAAAAATTTGTGTGTCGCTTTATTGCGATATTCACTTTATTGATCCAAACCCGCAATCTCTCTGAGGTATGCCTTTAGGGTGCTTTAAGCTTTGTAAAGCATTTTACAGAGATCTCATTTTACCTTCACAACAACCCTAGGGGTTGGTGCTTTATTATCTCTATTTCAAAGGTGAGGAAATGAGGCAGGGAGAGGTTAAGCATCTTGCCCAGGATCACACAGCTGATAAGTATCTTAGATGGGGTTTTAGCACAAGTCTCCCTGGCTCCAAGTCCAGCAGTCTCTACACTATGGCGCCACCTAGCTGCACGGTAGGGGGAAGGAATGCACAGAGCCTGGGTCTTGCGTGACCAGTACACTAGGCCCAAGCTTTCATCATACCTGTGGTTGTTATTGGAGAGAAAGTAACAGAAATGAGTAATGTTGAGGCACAGTTGATTTGGATGAAACTTGAGGGTGACTCTTAGGTTGTGAACCCAAATGACTAGAGGAACGTGTCCTCACAGAACTAAGAATAGGGATATTAATGCACAGTTGATGGAACTGTGATCTAGTCCAGCCATTCTGGAGAACAATTTGAAACTATGCCCAAAGGTCTATCCAACTATGCATACCCTTTGACCCAGCAATGCACACTACCAAGTCTGTATCCCAAAGAGATAAAAGGAAAAAGGTGTATATATACAAAAATGTAGTAGCTCTTTTTGTAGTAGCAAAGAGGGGATGCCCATCAATTGGGGAATGGCTGAACAAGTTATGATATATGATTAGGATGGAATAGTATTGTGCTATAAGAAATGACAAGAGGGTTCAGAAAAACCTGGGAAGAATCATTTGAACTGATGCAGAGTGAAATGAGCAGAACCAGGAGAACATTGTACATGGTACCAGCAATAATATAACAATAAATGTAAATAATAAAAAAAAATGAGTTCTTTTTCAGACATGTGAGTTTGAGATGACTAGAGGGCATACAAGTAGAGATGTCCAGCAGACAGGCGGTACACAGAACTGAAGCTCAGGTGACAGATGAGGATAAATAGGTAGATTTAAGAATCATATGTAGAAAGATAATAGTTGAATCCTTGAGAACTAATGAGGTCATCGAGAGAATGTAGACAGAGAAGAGAGAATCGTGGACAGAGCCTTTTCACTTTATTATTACAGGCCCCTGTACCTCAGTGCCAAGCCCATCCCCAAATTGCTAGAAGCCAACTTCTTTTTCCCTTGTGATTTCTTACTTATCTTTGCAGAGATAGCAGATCTCTGTTTCAAGTGGAGAGT